ATGATGCAACTGGAGCCAGGGCAAGACCAGGTTCAGAAATACAAACCCCTGCTTCGAGAGCAACTCAAAATCAGCACTGCCGTCGGCGATCCAAATGCCCGAGGTCAGCGAAACGAGTCCCTCGCTTGGTTCTGGTCAGTCGAAGTCGACCTTGGGGGTCCCGATCACTCGTGGAATGAGGAATGTGAGTTCGGGCATGCTTGATGTGTCCCGCACTCAGCTGACGGAGTCATCCGAAGTTTACCGAGTTCATTGGCTCCGGGCAAAGGCACTACGGGATCGATGGAAGGAAGAAATGATGTTGGTCCAATTGGAGATGGATTGGACATGTAACTTTTTCTTGTGGAAAGCAACCCAATGGGGTGACAGGATGCGCGAATCATTGGTGAAACACCTTCCGGGTCATGCATGCTACTCGGGAAGGCAATCCCAAATGTATTCATTGCTGGCACAGGATGCCCAGGCAGCATTTCAAGACCTGAAGACCGGGTTTATAGATGCTCGAGATGAATGAAATTTTTTTGCCAACGATATGAAACAGCTACTTTGACCCAAACATTTTAGTCCCGGGAATTGGCCGGGTCGACCCATGTCGGAGTTTGAAAATTTTTATCAATCAACCAGTGGCTCATATCTTGACCTCCGAACCAACTGCCATTGTCATTGTCATTTCCAGCTTCATAATCCTGCATTAACCATGTCTGTATTGCATACCCCCCAACATCCCCTTCTAATTCTCAGACTTCCGGCAATGGGTTCCGACCCCTCACACTCACTCAGGCAGATATTGCAGCTACAATGTCAATGGCTGCATCTCGCATCCGAGCGTCCATCTCTCAATATCAGATGGAGGCTGCCCACACCCAGGAGCCATCTGCTACTCGGATCACGCACTTTAAAGCCGGGCTGCAATGGGAGATAGCTGTAAGAGGCTGATGACTGTGGTGGTCAATGCTGACATTTCCAACAGACTTTTGTGACTCCCATCCTGCAGTACTCAGCTGCAAGGAACATCATTTCGGTTGTTCCGAGCCCGGTTGCTCATATTCTTCAGTTGATTCCCGAGCTCACCTGGAACATGGTTCCGGACCACATCTTTTCATCCCACCTATGCCAGTTTCAAGACGTTGCAGATCTGGGGGATCCCTCCCGCATTGTATCCACCTATGGTACTCCATGGTGGACCGGATCAACTGCCATCCCGAACGAATTATGGCCATGGGATCAGGTATTCGCTAATTGTGTCTGTCACTACCAGCATTGGCTAGTAAGACTTTTACAGAATTTCCTTGAGTGATGACTAATCCTTTCTAGTCTGGCGTTGAGGACGAACGTCTTGTTGTTCCCGAGCAGGTGGATGAAAGCTCGCTTGCAACGCTGAAGGCACTGAGGTGGATGAGGGAACGCCTCCTGACAGTGATTGAGGATCAACAAGCTGGCATCCGTGAAAAGATGGCAGAGATTCAGATGTACACCGCCGTCCTAACCAAATTGAACCCAAGGGGACCAGAGTAGTTCTAGTCCTTCAGTTCAGAATGTTGAAGTCTAAATTCTGTACATGATGAAATAAGTACTGAAAATTACATACTGACTTTCGAATATCTGACCTATTGCTATATGCTGAGTCCTGCATACCAAATATCGAGCATCGAGATCCAGATATCTTGAGTTCCAAATATTGAGTCCCAAACATAGAGTCCCGGATATCCAGTCCCGAAGCCCAAGATTCGAGACGAGACTTGAAACTCGAACATTGCTATGAGTTGCGAGTTTTGAGTCCCCACCGAGTCCTGACAATCGAGTCCCACAGCCCGACTATCGAGTCCCAACCATCGAGTCCCAACCATCGAGTCCCGACAATCGAGTCTTGAAACCCGAGTCCTGACAATCGACTCCCGAAGCCCGAGATTTGAGTGCCGACCATCGAGTATCGAGTCCCCAATATCGAGACCCAAAACCCAAGCAGCCCGAAGCCCGAGATTCGACACGAAACAAATCAAAACTCCAAACACCACGACACTTTCTTGAATCACCGAGTACCGAAACCCGAGTACCGGGTACCGAGTCTTGAAACCCGAATCCGCACTATCGAGTCCCAACTACCGAGTCTTGAAACCCGAGTCCCGACAATCGACTCCCGAAGCCCGAGATGTGAGTGCCGACCATCGAGTATCGAGTCCCTATTATCGAGACCCGAAACACGAAGCCCGAAGCCCGAGATTCGACACTAAAAATGACACTCATCAATTTTGGGAGTTGTTTTCTTGAATCACCGAGTACCGGGTACCGTGTACCGAACCCCGAAACCCGGTACTCGGTAGTCGGTGAAATCGAATATCGAGTCCCGACTATCAAGTACCGGGTACCGTGTACCGAAACCCGAAACCCGGTACTCGGTAGTCGGTGTGTGAAATCATACGAGTCCCGACTATCAAGTACCGGGTACCGTGTACCGAAACCCGAAACCCGGTACTCGGTAGTCGGTGAAATCGAATATCGAGTCCCGACTATCAAGACCCGAAACCCGAATGTTGAGTATGGAGTGCCTGACATCTATCATGTTTGAAGGTGGGTACTAACACGGGTAACTACCTTTCTACTTCTTCCAATCCAACCTTGCCCATCCACACGACGGAATCCCAGCATAAACATGAACAGCATCCCTCATATACCATGCCCAGGCAATCCGATCCCCTTCCACTGCATGAACCGCGTGTCTGACAATCCTTCCCGAAAATGCAATCATGCACCCCGGATCGTACCTTAACTCCAGCTGCAGGCTTGGCATACTCATCCGAGCATTAGAATAATTCCCCACGCTAGTGAGAATATCGAAGCATTCGGAAATCGATGAGGGGTCTCGATGATTCGGGGTTTCCCGATTGCATATGACGGTGAGGCTGTTAAACACCGTTGCCCAGTACTGGAGAGTCTCTGACATCTTCGGCAGTTCCTTGCTTCGTGCCTTTTCTCCGAGGCTCGCAAAGGCTTGCAACCCTGCCCAGTACTGCTCAGGATGCATCACCCTGAGTGCCGCTGTGGCAATGGCTGCTGGCTCGCAATGGCTTTGAGGATGTTCTCGGAGGATGGTCCCTTCAATGATGCAGATACCTCCGGATCGGACTGATTCTATGGGATTGGTGAGTTTAACTACCGAGATCGCCATCTCATCAGATCCTACCTCGTGCCCCTGCTGAAACCATGCCGGAGATAAATTAACGCATCCGGGAGTTAGGACATCATTTTCCGAGCTTGGTGTGAACCACTGTTGATTAGTCCGCCAAATCCCATCGAGCTTTATGCTTTGTTCGAGCATGGGAGCTAGCAAATCCGAGGCCGCCCAAATTTCATTCTGTACGTACCATTTGATGTTCAATATCCATCCAGTCACAATATTATAACACATGGGTGGCATCGGTCAAGGCGTCTGGGAGGTACCATGCGATGATGGCACCGGATGCATCAAGAATTGTCGCGGGTATGTCGATCAACTTTGTGCCCTCATGGCCAGGAGGACACCTCTCAAGCAACTTTTCCTCTCTCTCTTCATTACGCCCCGTGTCCTTTGGGGAGATCAATTTGCTATATCTTGCAATATCAATCGGCATCTGAACTGTGATGAAGCAATTTGACTGAAAACGAATTTTCCGAATCTGCAGGAAGACTCACTGGGATTTTTATATGCCTTTATGAGCCGATCAACCAATTGATCACAAGCCATCACCAGATCAGTGTCTAGGTTTGGAGAAGGTATAACTGGGTCTCCTCCTGTCTTCTCTGCATTGAATTTCTGTTCCGTATAATCACATGCCACATGAGTGACAGTCAGGGCCCAAGTGCGCAAGAGGGTTATTTCATCATCGGAAGTGGAAGAAACATCCATGATTGAATTGATCTTGTGAGATCAGAAGCTGAATCCTGAATGTCCGCACTTTGGTGTTAAAGGGGGTGGAGATTGAGAGGATCAGATAAGGGAGCCTTGGATGATCTGAGCTTTCAAAGATCTATTTCTCTTATCATCTATTGCTCAATGAAATACCACATGATTGGAAGTCTGTTGGATGTCAGATACTCGTTTGTCGAGACCCGGGCCTCGGATCTCGGTACACTTCACTCGATTTTGATACCCGGGACACCATAGTTGGAACTTGTCTCGAATCTCGGGTCTCGGGCGTCGGGTCTCGGGTCTCGATGGTCGGGACTCGATATACGGGACTCGTTGGTCGGGACTCGATACTCGATTGTCGGGATTCAATGGTCAGGCGTCGGGTTTCATGACTCGGTAGTCGGGACTCGATAGTCGGGACTCGATGGTCGATTTTGGATTCGATAGTTGGGGCTCAGATATTGGTACACTTCACTCAATTTTCGGTGGTCGGAACTTGGCATTTGGCATTTGGTAGGCTTGGATGATGTTGGCTTTCAAAGATCTATTATCATCCATTGCTCAATGAGATACCAGATGATCGGAAGTGTGCTGGACATCACATATTTGTTTGTCGAGACCCGGGTCTTGGAACTCGGTACACTTCGCTCGAGTTTCCACTTCACCCCTTTGCAAAGCTCCGTGCCATACCACATCATTAGATGACTTTGAATAATCACCTCCTTTGATTTGGATGATATACAACTAGCTGAGCTCCATCATGTCTACATTATCATTCTCCTGGGCCCACCCGTCTATCTTATATACCCCCACGTCGGCCTACCCATCTATGCAATATATGTCTCCCGTCGGCCCACCTGTATATAAACATCTTTTACCACTCCCTCGGCCCACCCGTCTACAAAATAATATTAATTCGTCGGCCCACCCGTCTAATATGATATATATCTGGGCCCACCTGTCTATGTGATAACAAGCACCCTTGATATACCCGGCTATTTGATACATATCTACCTTGGTACACCCATCTACATAATATCCAACTACCTCGGCCGATCCGTCTATTGAAAATTCATGTCCATCGGCCCACCATCTACTTTACATATTCCCCACCTGGGCCCACCCGTCTCCATCGGAATAATAACACTCCCGGCCCATCCGTCACAGTCGAGGATATATCTACCCTCGGCCCATGGTCCGCTGGCCCGTATCATACGGGATATTATGCACGTCCGTCCAGTCGTATAATACGGAGATATGTTACTGCAATATGTGAAAAACTCGCTCCCCACCTCCATCTCTCTGAGATGGTAGCTGCATTATATAGTGAGTTGATTGTCCAGCATGTGCAAATTCAATACTTACTCAAGAACTACAATTTCACCTGTGGTTGGGTTCTGTCCTCCAGCAATACAGGTGAACTTAAGTCCACCCGTCTTGTGGGACAGGTGGCGGAAGACATGATCAAGATGTGCCTCGAGTTCATTGAAGGCCCTGCATTTGTAGGTGAGAACAAGTTTCCAATATGAATCAGGACGTACCTAATCTTCTCTCTTGTTCAACATCTTGAACAAAACCAGCTCTAGCTAGCTCTTGTTTTCTTTCCAGTTCGTAAGAGCTTCCTGGCTTTTCTTGGACCTCAGTCCCTGATGCTATCATTTTTGGCAGCATATTTGGCACGAGTGGCGTCCTTCCGTTTTGCAAGCTTTTTGCCACGTGTAGAAAGACCCTCGGCCTGATTGCCGCATCTGCTTCCCCCTTCACGCGCTTGTTGTAGAAAATCTGTGAGTATATCTACTTCTTGCGGAGCTCGCCCCAACACCTCATCTCCTCCGCTCAGAGTTTCCGAGGTCAAGTGCCCCTTTCAATCCGCCTGAGCGGGCTAAACACGCGACATTTGTCTGCCATCTCTACCACGTTTTGATCATCTGAAAGGCCATGCAGGTTAGTATTATGCAGCGTATTTTATGTGTTGAATACTTACTAGCTTACGCTTATCCTTGACTGCGGTTAGCTTTTTTATCTCAAACCTCTGTGAGGTCTCCCTCTACAGGGACACTGTTATTAGTAACAATTATGCTCTGGCCATCGTGTCTCGAACATGCTCCACGTTTCATTGATGAATGGCTTGTATACTTTTGCTGTTTTACAGGCAATATACTGACCGAGTCTGTCTAACAGGAATTTGGATTGTTCTGTGTTAGCCCAAGACTTAGGCCCACAACGACCCATTGATGAGTAGATGGAGGGGGGGTGCATAGGAGATGGTAGACCCGCAGTTAGTATGAAGGTGAAAATAAATTGTTCGTCTTAAAGGCCAGTTCTCAGTGAAACTACTCTGTCCCCTGTTCGTGACCAATGCCAGTGTTACTTTTTTTCAGTCAACCTGAATGAATGTGCGAGTCTCGCAATCTGTCGTCTAGCAGAAGTTCAATGGCATCAATAGATGAATTGCACAGTGCCCAGGCTAGGCTGACTGGGCCGAATGTTTTGATTAATACATACAAGGAGTGTGACTCCCCTTTGGTCAGATCTATGACTTTACAGTAGCAACTCAGGAATACTACATTAGCATTGTCTGTGCAAATAGACAGTGTTCTTCGTGTTCTCGCTTTTGACATGCTGTGCACTAAAATCCATTAAATGTACTTGTATATGGGGATCACGAGGAAACGTCTTTAATTCACTGTACATGATGAAACAGTTTGTATATAATACAAGAGATACAGTCGCTTTCAAATGTACTGAGAAGTTAGACTTTGAGAAATCGATGATGTGCACACGCGCACCTCTGACTGATCCCATTTAACTGAGAAGTTACACACTCCAGGATGGATTAACATTGCAAGGTAGTCGAGTGTGTTCTGTCGCATTCAAATGTACTGAGAAGTTAGACTTTGAGAAATCAATGATGCGCACATGCACACCTCTGACTGATCTCATTTCTAACGAGAGGTTACGCACTCCAGGATGGTTAAACATTGCAAGGTAGTCGAGTGTGTTCTGTCGCATTCAATGGAGTCTTGATCAAACAGGGTTCAGCATCTGAACACTGTGAAATGAAGCAGAGGTCATTGTGCTGTGCATCAGTGGGAAAGAGGTGGGACCCATAGGAACACACCAGAATTTTGTTGTTGAAAATCTATCAACATAGTCATTAGAGGGGAAAGTAATGCACGATCAAGACAGGTTTCAACATCTGAACGCCGTGAAATAAAGCAGAGGTCGTGCGTGCATCAGTGGGAAAAGAGGTGGGACCCATAGGAACACACCAACTTGAAGGATGATAACCATCACCATGTTCTTCGTCTTGAGTAGTATGACTGAGTTCAAATTCTTCTGATGTGCCGCAGTATTGATTGATGGAGAATCAGGTTTCCATTATTTGTTAGCCTATACTACTCAGACATATTGACGGCAGGCAGAAAATGACAGCAGAGAGACGCACCGTACGCCACCCATTGTATCAAGGATCATCTTGAGCACAGCTTTTGGGTCAAGAATGTTCAAATATCATTGGCAATGCTAGCAAGTATGAATGAGATGAGAATGAAGCATATGTTGATACTAGACAGTACATACTCGTGATTAAGACTGGTGTTTGGGTCAAGACATGTTCAAATAACATCGATGACAATCATGATAGTCTATTTGAGAAGCAAGTATGAACAGTGAGACTGTGACAGAATGAAGTATATCAGTTGATGCCGGACAATACATACTGATGATTGACACTGCCAGGCGTCTGTGCTGCCTACATGGTTTGAACAATAGTTGGAGATAATCGATTTAGCACCACATGAATGGTATGTAACACCCATTCAAGAGTCGCAGGAGATCCTTGAGTCTACAGGAGCCAGTACTATATGACGGTAATTAGAATTGTCATCCCAAAGTGGTAACTTGGCTTACTCGTTCACAGTTCAAACATTAACATCGTTCATTGCTTATATCTATAGCACTGCACTATTTGAAGGGAGCCTTTTGAATGTGCTCTATCATGTCACCGTCTCCCAGTGAGTAAGTTTTGCAGCTGTCATCATGCATATTCATGATCCCAAGACAAGTGTTCTGAACTCCAAGATCTAAAGAATCGCACACGGCAAGTTTCCATCTCCCTTCTTGTATTAAAATTGTAAATACTGATCCTTTCACTACCAGCTATCATGGATGTCATTCCCACAAGCTACGGTCAGCTCATCTTACATTCAAGATCTTGCATGCCAATTTGCATGTCTAACTCCGATATGGTGGCGGTTATTGTGAACACCAAGATCTGAAGAATCGCACAGGCAGGCAGGATCGGATGGCTGTGACTAAAATGATACAGCAGCTTGGCGGGGGCAAGTCTGGTGCAGGCACGACGCTTAAAAACTCCATGGCTTTCAACATATTGAGTTACTCTGTAGAGCACGGTAATTCGTTTCATCTGTGAATCATTCTCGCTAACAAACGCGGATGTGTGCATATACAGAATTCCTCGAGCTTGGCCATGAACTTTTCAAAACAAACACCGACTTCTTACCCGGGATGCCTCTTTCCCGTAGTCCTCACTAATTTTCAGTGTGTTTGTACATCACGCCTTTTGTTCATTGCACAAGGGTGCAAACGGTGCTCGCAGCTACCCTCACTCAGTAACTGCCTTCTCAAGGAAGGGAGTGAGAGTTGGAGAGAAGTCGTGTTAGTAAACAGCATGCCATGTAAAAGAACGAAGAGTCAAGTACAATGAGTATGATAGTGACTAGGCATGACAGTTACCAATGAATCGCAGTTCCTATTACAAAGGTGTCAGGAATCTGACTATGTCAGATTTTTCAATTGCCTTCCTCAGCACTCTCTCCCCAACCTCAAGACTCACCTTGAAAAAACAGCATTGGTAATTCCTTTCACCATGGGCACATAATCCCTGAAAAGAAAATTAATTAATGTTGAGGCGTTAAGATAACGATAACCTGCAACTTACTCAGCACTGAAAACCCTGGTAACGCCCACTTGTGACACAGGTGAAGGGCGGAGGAGCATTAGCATCTGCTGGTTATTGTACAGCATGCCACGATAGAAATAAACGTGGCAATCATCTGCAATAGTATTAGTGACTTTTGCATACCTCGCTCCTCATAGAAAACAATGTCGTCACAGTCCTCAGCAGGCGCGTAATGCGTGCACCAACGGTAGTACGTATGTCCTGTTTATGTCCACAAAGTTAGTGTTGATGTATTGCAAGGAACACATGGCCTAGATAGTACATCTGAAACCAAAGTGAGTCTCGTACAAAGATAGAGGATAGTACACACCATTGATGTCTTCTGTCAGGTCGTTCGGGTCGACATTCAAGCCATGACAAACTGCAGGCACATAGGAGGACTCGGAAGGTGTGGTACACGAAGTCGGAAGCTATGGGGACAAGTGACCCAATGATTCCTAAGTCAATGAAAGTGAGACAGGCAGATGATTCAATTGAGCAACAGAGAAGGGACTCATGAATGACTCGCGACATCATCCTCCAGACTGAGTGCAGGCCTGTAGCCAGATCTGAACCATGTAGGTAAATTGGCGGGATGGTTTATGATGTGAAGCTAGAGGATGAAAGCAATGTATCTCAGCCTTAAATACAGGTAACCATGGAACTCACAAGTGGTGTAATGCATGTAGCTTCGAAATTGCATCAAAGTCCATACGGCAGAGTCGGGAAATGCATTCTTACTATATAATGCATTGATAGGCGAATGCATTATAATACTATGCGGTATTGATAGCCAGATTCAGACAAGTGACCCAATGATTCCTAAGTCAATGAAAGTGAGATGATTGAGTGATAGAGAGGGACTCACGAATGACTTGGACATCATCCTCCGGACGGAGGTGCAGCCTGTAGCCAGATCTGGAACCATGTAGGTAAATCGTCAGGGATGGTTATGATGTGAAGCTAGAGGATGAAAGCAACATATCTTAGCCTTAAATACAGGTAACCATGGAACTCACAAGTGGTGTAATGCATTAGCTGCGAAATTGCATCAAAGTCCATACGGTGTCTTAATAACCGAGGGTCTTATATGAAAACGTGTAAGAATTGTAATGACACCACAATTACACTGGATAAGACTTCTTGCCAGTCCTCGATTAACACGGTCTAACGACTTTCTTCTTTCGTGTAGATACGTGTGAGTCTTGGGAGGCTCGCTAAACCAATCAGTCAGATTAACTTAGCCGGAGCTTTATTATCTCTGATTTAAACTATGGGATTGTCTAGGATATACCGTCTAGACACTTGAACTGGTTTCCTGAATATATGGTTAACTGTTGAGAGCTGGTCTCAAATGTGACTACTTGGACCAAAGCTCGTGTTTGGTCAATATACAAATACCTGGTGAGAACGCTGTGTCTCACAATAATAAACAACAATGACCAAAGCTCGTGTTGGTCAGTATACAAATACTGGTGAGAACGCGGTCGCACAAATAACAACGTTGACCAAAGCTCATGTTGGTCAGTAAACACTACGTGTGAGAACACTTGTCTCACAAAACTTGGGTTTCTATCGCGAGAAACTTACGTAATCTCAAGGGAAACACTTTCCCTGCACTTGTCTGGACAGTTCTTACAAAGGAATGGGCTTTGTAAGCAGCATTTGTTCAGACTGAAGCTTCTTAGGTGAGAGTTCAATTGGCTCAAGTGGGAGTTCTTGAATGCAACAAGTTGGGAGATCTATTTTTTGGGGGAGAATGGGCTCTTCTTATATACATTTTGTGTGGAATATTATGTAAGTAAAAAGGTGATGTAATGACTTCAGAATGTGGGAAGAATATTCCAAAAACTGGAGCAGAATGTTCTAGCAGGTGCAAAAAGAACATTCCAGAATATTCATGGTGGGATAATGACATCATTCTGAGTCACTATGAGTCACTATGAGTCATTATGAGTCATTGGAATGTTCTAGCAAATTCCATGGAACATGACATCATTATGACATCACTATGATATCATATCTTTCAAACCAAAATAACCTGCAGGAGTGTAGGTGAAGTCCTATGACATCATTATGACGTCATACCCTGTAGGTACAATTTTATGAAGCATCTGATTAGTCAGAGCATCCTAATAGAAAAGCAAAGTAAAGAAACACTAGAGAAAACAACTCAGAATAATGGAACAATAATAGTACACAATACGCGGGCTTTTTAGATAGGTTTTTGTTAGGCTTTGAACTTTTCTCTATGGGTTTCTCTAGCCCAAAGTGAATAAGCCAAATGAAAGGCAATACATTAACCTTCATTTTGCTTCTCATATCAACTAGGTCGTTATGTGATTCCCATCTCACATATGACTTTTCTTCAAAACATGGTGGATTCATGAATCGCTGAGGGAAAACTGAAACTATTGGACCAAGGTTTGATACCAAGGTATGGGTTGACTAGTCTGAGGACTAAGCTAACAGACTTTGTCTTTTAGGGGGATACCTAGTAGTCATGTTCATGCATGATTCCCAAATCATGCAGGACAACAGCAGAGTCGGAAATGCATTACTTACTATGTAATGCATTAATAGGCGTAATGCATTATAATACTATGCGGTATTGATAGCCAGATTCAAGCACTGGGAAGGACTGACTGCTCGATTGGATGGAATGGGATACATTCTGGAAGCTCTGAGACAAGAGTGGGAAGGCTATAGCCCGGTTCAGTCTTTTCTTGGAAATTTGTTCTCACAGTTCATGAATGTCTCATACCTACTACAGTATACACGTACTACTACTCGAGTGCATTATGAGTGCCAGTGAGGGTAGTCCTACCAACTCAATTAATTACCAAGCTGGCTTATTCCCTGCTCCTTCACTGAAGAATCTGAACCGGCGAAAACGAGTGAAACTCAATGTGTATACACCTCCCAATGCTGGTGCACCAAGTGTGCACGCCGTGTACACGTTCGTCTCACAAAGTCAAGGCTTTACTGCACGAAGTTCACATGTTCTCAGTTTGCCGGCCTCATCTGAACAACTGGTCAGTATGAGATTGGAGGAAGAGGCCGGATTAGACTATGATGGACATTACTCCCCAGAAGGGCAGGAACCTGGCCTAGAAATTGAAGCTGAGGCTGCCAACAGCAATAGGCGGAAGCGCAGTGCAGGAGTAAGTATTTTCAATGACTTGGCCTGCATGTGTACATGTAGGTTGAACACTGACGCCCTATCTATCCAGGATCACCCACTCTTGACATGGATCAAGGGACCGGGACCATTTTTTACAGGAACTACTACAACATGAGGGCCGCGGGGACTATGTATACGACACTATCTGCAGAAACTGTCACTCTGGCACTCCACAATTCCGCTGTAAAGATTGCTTCAGCACAGAGCTGTGCTGCCATGATTGCGTTATCGCAAGTCATACTAAAAATCCTTCGCATAGGATCAGGTGAGAGGCTATCAAGCAGATAAATGTTACATGTACTTAGAATGATTCTCAACAGGAGTGGACAGGCTCTTACTTTGTGACCATCTCACTGAAGACGCTAGGGTTGCGTGTGCAGCTCAGTCATCCAACAGGTGAACGATGTCTGATGCCAGAAAGGGCCTACAATGACGATTTCACTCTCATCGATACCAATGGAATCCACGAGATCGGCCTTGATTTCTGTGGCTGTGAGACCGCACAGACACATACAATACAGTTACTTCGTACAGCTTGGTTCCCGGCAACAACGACTGATCCACGTACCGCTGCCACTTTCTGAATCCTCGAACAATATCACATTCGTCGTTTGAATCAAATTTTCAGGCTATGAATTTTATCACGCTGTTGCACGACTCTCAGACAACACAGGACTTCACTCACAAAAGGTATGTGTTCTACCTCCTTACTCTTGTTCAAATATCCAGCTCACTCGTGTCATCAGGATTGTTATGAAGCCTTTATGCCGATAGTGCGCAAGTGGCGACATCTAAAAATGCTCAAGCGGGCTGGCCGGGGATATGATTCTGCTGGTGTGGAGGGTACTGGACATGGTGAGTGTGCTGTGATATGCCCAGCTTGTCCGCAACCAGGAAAAAACCTACCTGATAATTGGAATGATGCACCGAAAGGAAAATGGTACAAGTGGTTGCATCCATATCTATACTCACTTGGCTGACTGATGACTAGTTGGTTGTATGGTCTCTTTCTAGCAATTGATGCGAACTTTCGCCTCAAAAGGCGCATGGTATCTAAAGACAGCGTGGACCCTGGCCTCAGTCACGGATGGGCTTATTTCGTCGAGGAGACCGCTTACAAGGCATATCTACAAACCTACAGTGGCAACCCGCAGGAGGTGAGCTTTTATTGTATTCACCTACATATTTTACTCTGACCGCTATATACACAGAAAAGTACATGTTCATCCCATAATGCGGTGAACATGGCAGACACGAAGGTATCTCATGGTCTAGCTGCCACAGGAGTTGGGACCGTTGATTGTGCACGACACAACATGAAGTTGCCGAATGGCGTTGGCGATCTACAAAAAGGCGAAAGGTATTTATTAAACCAACTGGCAGTTATTGATGATACTGACTGAACTTAGATACATGAATATGGATTTTTTGTTCTTCTCGACCCTCCGTGGACGCTGCATCGACACACTCAATGTCTCGTACAACATCGCTTGCCAGTGGCACAAGAACCTATGGCAGAGGATGTCAACAATGCCACTCGACCTCCATCTAGACCATCTGGCGACATTCGTTAGATTTTTCGTTCCAAAATTTCACCTCCCCACACACATTCTGACATGTCAGACCAAGTTTTCTTTGATTTTTCGAAGTATGTTGGACGCACTGATGGCAAAGCACCTGAACGCGGATGGTCAAATATCAACCCTGTGGCCTCTAGTACCAAAGAAATGGGGCCAGGCTCACGGAGAGACACACTCGACGACCATTTTGGTGACTGGAACTGGAAGAAGGTTGTGGGACTTGGTATGTTTTGGCTGCAACTTGGTACTGACATGTATGATATTGTATTTGCGACAGGTGCCACACTCCTTCGTAAAATGATCGAGGCCAAAGAGGAACATGAGGCGCATCAAACAGCATTCCAAGAACTTGATGAGGCTCTGGCGCCAGAGACGACGGAGGCCTGGAAGGTTGAAATCGAATCCTGGGAGGAGAACCCAAACGATTCATCAGTCACAAATCCATTTGAAGCAAAGGTTATTCGTGAGTAGCACGCACTAAATCCGATCATGGGGAGCTACTAATGACTCGGGTTACAAGCTGTTACACAAGCTGCTGTCTGGCTCAAACTTGCCCAACTTGAGGCATCTGAGCTCCATCAAGGCACTGACACTTCGATGCACGCTGATGTGTCCCCAAGTATATTCATCGCATTGGGGATTGACCTAGAGAACGAACAGTATGTAGTATTATCTGACTTAATTTTCATTCTATTCATTTCTTTGTAAACAGGCGTCGTTTGAAAGTAGATATCATGAAGCAGGGTCTGCATGCCACAGATACGCAAATGGGCATGGTCCAATGACTGCGGAATGCATTACAATGCAAAATTGATACTTGGAAGTGCATTCAAGCTCTCTACACCCCTGCAGTACAGCTCTTGGAATCCAGGGTCCAGCCGCCTTCCCACAGCACCTCAGACACAATCAATCCCGAGGATTCCCAGCTCTGACTCCCATCCGCTCTGTGCAGCAAGCCTATACCTTGTAATCCCCAACTCCTCACCATCGAATGGGAATTACGACACGCTCAGGCCAGAGACGCCCTCGAGGAAATCAGACAAAGTCTTCGCCTGCGGGACTACATGTATACCTTCAAGAGGGACTGGATACGTGGCCAAAGCTGTGAATACTCGGGCCCAGAACGCCCTCAGTCGCAGTTGAAGCCAGGGCAACAGCTGCAGGAGAGAAGTATTGTGCAGCTCGCATGGCTCTCTCATCTCTTGCGCACGTACTTGGACATGTTGGCTGGGATAACAAATACAGGGTTCTTGAGAGGAAGGACGATATACGCAGGGATGTCAGTTCCAAAGCGAGGGGAAAGTGAAGGTCGAAGACAGTTATCGTGGATATGGCTGGTTGAAGGAGTCGGGGATGATGAAGATGAAGTGGTACAAGATAGTAAGCTGGAGTGTGAGTCACGACAGAAAGACGCTAATTTTGCCAGCAGGTCTCAGAGTCGAATGGTGCAAAGCTCGTGCAAGATCCATGCGATGGGCAGAAGAAGTTGAGCTACTTCAGGAGGAGATGCGCCGGGTGTCCTGCTTTCTTAGGTGGCACGCATCATGGTGGAAGAAGAAGATTGTGGAACACACACTTCAAGTTGGAACCACCGCTGACAATGAGGGTCTAAGCGCCTATGCTTATCGTCAGGCTCAGCTCAGAGATGAACTCGCCCACTGTTTTGAGATCAAGTGGGCAGCACATCTCCCACTGACTGCAGCCTGTAATACTACGTGTCCAGCAGATAGTGAAGCCGAGTTAGATCTCTACCTTCCTGAATTGTTACTTCCTTAATATCCAATCTTATACGCAACGTTGTAACCTAGCATGCACTGCCGCTGGCTCATATCAATCGAGAATGTATTTGTGGCTCAAGAGTCAAGTGTGCCTGGTCTGGCTCTTGTGGTTATCGTGAGTTAATGCATTTGTTTGTCTTGTAGTTACAAAGGTTAATGCACTAACCCTCACTTGTAACTACAACGGGTATTGCATTACTCCTACACAAAGTTGTGGGTATGTAGACATTCAAGTTGGACTCTTTGCATGTTTAGTACCTTACCTCTGGCATGCAGAACCATGCTGGATCCCTGGTCTGACTGGATATCTGGATACGGAGACAAGCACCAGACTATGTGTAGCGTTTGGCTTGCTAGCTATCACTGAGTTACGTTCGTATCGGGAGCTGCTGCTAACACAAGCTTGAACTGATTACATTCCCAAATCCCATACGTCCATACAATTTCAGAAATATTGACGTTTCTGCTGTATCGCACCATCAAGAGTCGTGGAGGGTGGGGGATTGACAATCGTCTTATGGCCAGCCTCTTGCAAGATAATCTGCTGTATTGTAGTTGCGGCTTTGGTTTGTGCCCGCAGATCAATAAATATCTCGCATATTTACTTTCTGACTGTTGCAGCCTTTTCTCTTAGTGTCATTCTCACCGCAATTCTTCTTCCAGTAGGTTTTTGTGTACGTTCGAAGCTGCTCCATTAACAAGAGACGTAGATTCCAGTTGGACACATGCTTGCAGAGTTTGTCCATTCTCACTTTGGAGGAAGTAAGGTTACTTATTACACAGCAGATGTCAGGTTGTTGTTCAAGCTCTCTTGGTTACACGGATGCACAGGGGCTTCTGGAGATCGAACCGTCTCAATGCTTCCTATGGCATCTCCACAGATACCTCTCTCTCAACGTGGATGGAAAGAACCCCAGATATTGCATTGATGGTGTACTCCGAGAGCTGAAAGTGGACGATGGACGGACATATACACAAGTCTGTTGGACATAGCCCACTGCATGTACCATCGTTCTTTAATTACCCTATATAGTATCCCGATTACTCCCAAAACGCTCCCTTACTTACATAATAGTACTTTCTTCGTCGTTTTCCCTCAGTCTTCTACACGAGACTAAGGATACGTTCGTTCATTCATAGCTTCACTCATACTGACTTAGTATTGTAGACTAATCATGCCTGTGTCTGATAAACCCATCAATCAGTGTGCTTACTCACTTACATGCAGTATCGCAACATGATGTGTCACACATACTGACATGCTACATGTAAGTGAGTAAGAGAATTTCTATGATGTACATACTACATACTGCCATCATACAGGACTCGCACACTCCTCCACTATCAGAGTCCTCCCTGGTGACATTGATATAACAAATTTGACTGGGGACGAACTCCCGGCCACAATCTATCCTTTTCGTTGAATGCCTTTTGCTTCGGTTTGTCTTCTCAAGCACGTCGCATTGTTTCCCTCGACAAGGTGACTTGGTTTGGCTCGAGACTACAATACCAGTATATATTACCTCGTTCATGTGTTTGTTAAAATGAACCCAGTCTGATCAAAAAGTTACATCCTATGGGTCCCCCCAATGCAGATATAACAACTTGGTGGTGAAATTTTGTAAGTGTCGCGATCATCGCGTGTATGACACCACTGACAGGCTGTTCACCGTCCGTGTTCATCACAAACGGCTTTAGGGACCCGGAATCCAACAAGGTTCTGCCATACTATTACCAACAGCCACATTTAAAACCCACACACAGTGGCGACCTCTGTCCGAGCACCACAGACACGATCTGGAGCATTTTTGCTGTGTACTGTGTACACAGGCTTTCGAATAAGTTTCGTGAAAGACCATGATACACGAGGCACTTCGCTAAGAAAAATCGCCCCGAGACAGCGGAGGGGAAAGATGTCAGCCTGCCAGGGGTGTTTACGGACTCACCGGAGAACTTCAGAAGTCAGGCCAGTTAAATCAGGTTGTGTAAGTCTCCCTGAGAGAAATGTAACGCACGAGGCACTTAGGTACCCGCAGCACCAACCGCAAAAAATACGATTAAGCGCAAGGCACATCTTTGAATTAATACCCACGATTGATGTCAATGGCTAATAGCTACACACCGGTGTTACCGTCAAGAAACAGCTAAGGAGAGCTGAGGATGTAGAACGACTGCGAAGGATGGAAGCCAACGGATGTGTTTTCGATAAACTGGCATTACGTGGATCTCGGATTTCGATCAAACTTAGGAAAGACAGGACACTGTGCAGCTGACAGGATCTTCTCGCGTTCGGTAAATATTGAACCGAGACCGTCCGCATTGCTACACCGTGACGGCAGCCGTTATAATAGCTTCAAGTCGAGTCGAGCGGAAAGAACTCACCGGTAAGAGATTTTACACTGCACTTCATCACCATGAGTTGTACCTGTCAGGGTGGAAATCTTGCCAATCTTTGTAAATCCCGGGAAGCGAACAACAGCATTTACACAAAACGGCCCGGGACGCCTGATTCAAAGGACACACCTGGCGCAGACGCCTGCAGCTGCAGGCAGGGCGTACGAACTTTGAAGGACTCGGAGAAATCTTATTGCGACATAGCTGAACAATAACTGTACAATGCACATACATCATCCGATGCATGGTACTGGAGGCAAGCTTCAAGTTGTACTGGATCTTGCAAAGACGCTCGCGGCCTTTACTAAATACCTCAAACACACGTACTGGTAAGCGTGGGTCGTACTTACACAAGCAAAGTGTAGCCGAGACGATTCACGAAAGCATGGACCCATTCTCGCCTTCGGTCATCTGTGTATGTATTCCAATTTCACCAGTATACAATACTACTTACTCAACGTTTAACAATAGAAACGATCTACGTAAGTCAACCGGAAACCCGAAGTTGGCTACGAAAGGGTGAATAAATGGACATTATAATGGTCCATGATGAGAAAGAAATGTGTCGCAGGAGAGCAGACGTACAGGTGTTAGGATGACACCAGAAAAGAAGGGAAACGAGAACTGACAATAAGGAAAACAGATAAGACAAGCAGATAGTGTGTTTAGAATATATTTGGGATGAATGTTCTGTATTCTTGTCAGTAAATGAGGACAAGAACTAGATGGGTATACACTTACACTGCACTCATTCCAATCGCGAATGCCGCGACGCCCCATGCAAATGATTTTTGCCTTGGCTCCAGATGGAACCTTCCAACCCGTTTGTTTGTTGCAATTTGCCTTTCCTGCACTTCTGGTTCCTTAAACTGGAACGTAAATTCTGTACTCTCATCTTCATCATCCCTCGCGCGCTTTAATGTGTCGGCCTCCATCAATGGCACATCTCTCTCTGCCTTCAACCGCTCAATCAATTCCTTCTGCTCGGCTATGTCCTGAGACATATTTGGGTGCGTAATTTCAATTGTCTCCGCCTCCTCTTCCACAACAGTCTCGTCGGATCCCCCTGGAGTAGTAACCTCGATAATCCGCACAGCTCGCGCAGATGACTTGGGCTTGGGAGATTTGGTCGTTGGCGAAATAGGTGCCGGTGAACGACGTGCCGGCGAGCGAGGCGCCGGCGATCTGGGCTTGACGGGTGATCGAGACGGCAGGGAGACTGGGACAGGTGCTGGACTCTTTGTCCGCGCCGATCGGCGCGGAGGAGGTAAGGTGGAAGGCGCAGGATCTGCTACCGGTACAGGAGAAGTTTCCCGCCTGCGTTTCGGGGTCGGAAGTGTGATTGACGGAGCAGGAGTCGGGAGTGTACTACTCGCAGCAGGAGGCGATCTCGGCGTCGCTTTAGGTGTTGTTTTTGTCGAAGAGCGACGATAGGCTGCAGAGGGGTCGGGGGTGGCCTTGGCGACATGAGGAATGACGCCGCCCAAACCATATGTTTGTGCAAATTCAGGAAGGAGAGCAACCTCAGCGCTGACCCATGTTCCGGCAAGACGCACGATAGAAGGTTCCTTAGCGGAGCCGTTATTCCCAGCGAGATCGTAGGTATCCTTTACCCAGACAGTTTCGCGACGTTCATCAGCTTCAGAAGCAGTAGGGAAGGCGGCCCGGAACATAGTAGTCAGACTGATGGCACCCGTATCAAAACGTCTCAAGATGAAAGCATGACCGCCGGGCTAGAAAAGGTTGATCTATCAGCTATTATCAAATTGGATTTAACCGAACATACTGTAGGAATCTTCATGCGCCCTACCTTGGGAGGGGTCAGCTTGTGATAAGGATGAGATAATCAGTATACGTACCAAAACCTCATGGCCATCACGATCAAGCGACTGATATTTAACAGGGGGCAATTTAGAGAGGTCGACTAGGCGAGGGTCAGGATGGAGACAAGCATTATAGAAAAGGACTTACGAGAAGCGATATGAGGATTCTGGTGTTTGAATGGAAGTTCAGGCCGTGGTGGCAATATTGTTGGGGGCATCGTACCACGGTGACAATCAAGTATTGACAAGTTAGAAGAGATACAAGTCAAGTCAAGTCAAGACTTGGGAAAACAAACCAGGACCAGCTGCAAATATAAAACGTTCAAACTTGACTGTCACGTTTAAAACGCGCCGTGTGAAAAATCAACACTTCCCATGTGGCTGTGTAAACCTCTAGTTTCGCACTCCGCTTTTGTTCTATGCTCTTGTTCATGGACCATTATATAGTGGTTGTGGACGTGGTCACCAGCTTCGATTCTCAGATGCTGACCATCATGCTGGAACACAATGGCGCCCGCGCGTACTCTTGTAATCAGCCTATTCACAATCATGGATACCGAATGCTATGAGTTTCATCCACAAGTCAAATGGCCACACCTGGTTACAGGCTTTGGCTGCCTGTAATCACTTGTCGTCATTGCGCGGTCTCAAATTGTTACCAAGTCCTGACCCACGGTGAAGTCTGCGCATTGTGGGCCAGAGGTTGGACAATGTCAAGTTTGGGGTCGGACCCACCCAACGACAACGACTGAGTGGATAATAAATGATATCATTCTGCCTGTAACTACCAACCATCTATCAATAAACCGGAAAGCGAATGAAACATGCACATTCATATACAGAGATAACACATACGTACGACACGCTGATTTTTCCGTTTGTCTCAGTCAACTCATAAAATTTCAGGCCGTCCAACCAGTGCCTCCACAAGGTCCTTAATCTCCGCCCACCAAGCTGTTTTGCCTCTGCGGTTCTTCATATCTGCGTGTTGCACCATCTCCTGGACCGGCACCCATTCAAGAGTGGACCCTTGTATCGTGATAACCGCAGCGCTTTCAGGTGGCGCCTGCTTCACTTTGCCAACTTGTTTCAGCAGGGCATCATGATGGTCTTCAAGGAATGCCATGCATCGCAGAGATAGACGCGCAGCACGTGCGCGATCCATAGGTGACGGGACTCCGCCCTGCAAGGTGTGTCCAAGGGAGGCGGAACGCGAATCGAAGAGGTTACCACCTTCTTCCTTGAACATCTTCGTCACAACATCAGTGGTGTAGACTGTCGACGCGCACTCATTGCTGGGAAACCATCTCAGCAAGTTCACTGTTTGAATTTGAGCAGTAAAACCAACCGAATGACCATACGACCTTCACTCTTGCCCTTGGCGTCTAGCCCATAGCGAATCTTCAGGAATTTGACGTCCTGGCGAAGGGTATCGAGGTTCATGCCCTGCTCTGGAGTGTAGACAATACTGGCACCAGTCTGTAGGCGCATTCATCAGATTCATATTCTCCAAATATTACCAATAGACTACTCACTGCCAATGCGCCCATGGTGGCAAGGTAACCACACTTGCCTCCTTGCGTCTCAACCACAAACACCCGATTCCTACTTGCACTCGCACTCTGCTTGATCGAGTCGCATGCGTCAACAAGCGCATTCAAACTTGTGTCGCTACCCAAGCTGAACTCCGTCATTGGCACGTTATTAGATATCGTAGCTGGGAGATGAGCCATTGGGATATGGAATGCAGGGTAGTGCTTCCGGCCGGTCTCAAGGATCAGCAGCGCATTGAATGCCTCAAAACCGCCGATCATCAGAAGTGCGTGGAAGTTATGCTCTTGGAAACGTGCAGCCACTGCGCCGAGGTCAACATCTGGGAGGGTACGGTTTGTACCGAGCTCAGAACCGCCACGGGAGGTCCAGGCATCGACACCGAGCCAGGAAAGCTCGTGGATGTTGTCATCAAGCAGGCCGCGGAAGCCGTTGTGCACTGCAAGTGCGTGATGACCTTGCTTGACACAGTAACGTACTGCAGCTCGGGTGGCCGCATTCATGCCACCAGCAGGGGCACCCATGCTACGTAGAATGAGACAACAGTCTGTGAGATGTAGTATGCAAGGACGTACTGCATAATTGCAACACGCATTCTCTGTGTGGCAAGATATCAGATTAAGCTTGATAGGATATGATAAACTTACTCTGTAATGGGGCAGTTGCTTCTCTTTGAATAGCGTCGAGGTGGCAAAGAAGCCCTCCAAGCTCTGAAAAAACTCGGGGTCACGCATGGACATTGCTTTTGCAAAGTCCTTCGCGCCGATTGCATCAGCTACCGCACGGGTCATCGCGACAGCCTCCATGAGTGGCACACGGATTATTTTGTTCTCCCTTACACCAATCATGTACGAAGGAGTGTCGGGTGTAGCCTCTAAGAGTGCCTTGACGGCCTCCTCGCCTTGTAGTGTCGGCTGGATCGAGCTGCAATGAACAATAATGAATGAACGAGTCATGAAGACCTACCAAAATCCGATCGAAAGCGCAAGGCCTGCCACCACGCTGGGTGTGTCCAAGCGTTGTAACACGCGTATCGAGCCCAAGACGTTCAGTAAGGACATCTCTGACGTATTCTGCGCGAATAGGCTGAAGATCCGCATCGTGTGCACCCTCGGCGACAATGACGATTGTTTTACGCTTGCCAGCTTCCCTGTGCTGTAAAGGAGGCTTGAGACAATAACAGTGATTCAAAGGAATTCGACTTACGCCACGAATGGCTTCGCACAAGTCATCCTCCCAGGTTCCCCCAGGGATAGTTTGGGGCGGGCGTTCAGGGATAAAGATAAAGTCTGCTCCAGAACTAAACTACCATAAGCAGTGTATATCGGCAGTAGTCACAACGTACCTAACGCCGGCAAGTAAAGCGAGCCAGCCACAGTGTCTCCCCATCACCTCCAGTACAAATGCACGCGAATGACTCGCAGCAGTTGAATTAATGTTATCGATAGCTTCGCAGATACGGTGTAATGCTGTCGGTGCACCGATAGTCAGGTCTGTCATGCTCATGTCATTGTCAATCGAGCCAACAAGGCCAACGATCTTGAGATGTCCGTGCTTCTCTGCCTGCTCTTCTGTGATCATACCCTGAGTGAGCAGTTGTGACACGAGGGAAGGCCATTCGGAGCGAAATAGGTCGGCACCGGTTAGGGAACCGTCACCTCCACAGACGGCAAGAGCGTCAATTCCCTCTTTGATTAGGTTGTGAGCGGCAGACAGACGACCTTCTGGAGTACGGAAGGCTGCCGATCGAGCTGTCCCGATGAGAGTACCACCCTGCCCGGTAATCATCAGCACACATGCGTTGTTGGGGAACATGCACATACGCACCTCAGCAAACCAGCCTCTGACATCATCCCACCCCACACGAACGATATATCGACCTTTCAATGTGCGACCATGGTGATGATCACCCGTTCCATCTCGTAGAAGGTCGCCATCTCCAAAACGGAGGTTCTGCGTGAGATTAGTGGGTACTCCTCGATGAGCACATTTTAATGCAGATGCATCAGCTGGAAGGTCTGCATGGATTGCATGTGCCTGTGTGTTGCCCCTCACAAGCCCCTCATATCCTTCCCGTACGATCCATGTTTCGCAGCCTCTGTCACATAAATGTTGATGGAAATTGAATACGATGAAGACGTGGGAATTGGAACACACCTCAAGATGCCGATCTTGACGATGGCACGGACGACAGCGTTCATGCCAGCGCTGTCGCCTCCCGAAGTAAGGACTGCAAGCTTCATTTTGCCTGTGGATTGGGACATCGCGGGCGCAGCAGATGAAGATGGTATTTAAGGTGCTTGGCGGCGATAGTGAAATATTAGGTATGTGGGCCGATCCAGTGTCGTACTATGGCTGTATCAACTAACAGTCGCAGGGCTATGGCAAGCTAATCCAGGTCACCAACCAACTAAGTACATATCGTATGATATGCGGTCGGACTCAGAACCGACTTGGACGTTTTCGGCTGTCATTTCGGATTAGCCTATTTGGTTTATTTCCCCGATTTATCAAACGTTCGTCGATGTTCAATGTTCAATTAATCGGATAGGCATCGTCAAGACTGGCTCTACTGTAGTGCGGGGCCATGAACCTTCTGGACGATTTTCTTTTTGCAGGCTGCGACGGCATCATCCTGGATCGGTCAGGGTATCGCGACGCTCACGCGCACAGCCTGCTCCCTTCAGTGAAAACCTTAACTGCTCAGGCTAGTCTTCTTTGATGTGACTACGAGTGAGTCTTCCGTTGCGGCATTGCCATCTCATACTAAGAGCGGCCTGAAGTTGCAGCTGCGCGAGCACAGAACGTGTCATAGCATGCAGTACGAATCGTGGCTGCCTGCAGTACCACTATCCTTTGTCTAATATACTATCAGCGCCATCTCCATCTCTTCATACGGATGGGTTGGGCTGATGCTTATGGTATAATCCTACCTCAGCTGGCTAAAAAAGTGGCGGTGGGCGCGCCTCCTCAGTTGTACTCACACAACAGATCCTTCCTTCAAGTCCCAAGCGTTTACTAAGTATATCATTCTGAGCGGACTTCTGCGATTGGTGAAACTTCATAGACGGTGGTTCGTCTTGCTGCTACGCTAAACGGAATTGCTCCTCATAAAACCGAACGCACTATGGTCACTTGCATCAAAATCGTTCCCAATCAAGGGTGGAAATCAAGTTTGTTGGGCCATGCGTTAGGTTCAACTTGTCCTGCTTCCTTTTTCATCATCGAAAGTGCATTCTCAACACAATTCTAACATGCACCTCCTCTATTCGAAGAGTCGGGCATTCGATAGTGCACTTACTACTTGAACGGAAAGAACACTCCAAAGATGTTCAATGACAAACCCTGCCCCTTTTCCGTATCCTGCTGAGAGGAGTAAGGTGGCTGCAACAAAACATGAATAACAGCGAGTGTCGATATAGTTGGAGGACAATGGGGAGATGTACAAAGAAGAAGATGCCAACATTAGGAGTGCTGTGATGGTGGCAAAATACCGTACTTCTGCAGCCGAATCAGAATGACACTCAATCGTAGCCCAAGTCCAGCAGCAGATAACGGTAGCTTACTGTTGCGATCGAGTTTCACTTCATACCTAAACACACGACATCAGTGGTCTCAAGGCAGCCTATTGAACAAAGGGAACAGCGGGGACAATCACGTCTGACTTAATATAACCGTCAAAGGTCTTGCAATCTGAGTTCCAGCAGTAATGGATAACTACTGGTAGGCTTACTTTCCAGTTTGTACAACTGAAATGGTGCGACGCCTCCGTAGGGGGTCATAATTAGGCACCAAAAATACTTGGATACTCATTATGATGATATCTGGGTGATGAACCAGTCAGTACGACGAATTCAGGGTTGTTCAGCAACTCCAGTGGAATCGATGGGAAGAAGGCATGATGTTATGCATTGACATTGGGATCCAGGACTGATTAATGATTTGTAAGCATCTTTGTGGTCAGGGCAAGACGAAAAGCAGTTGAACTTAGGGGCTACAAGTTAAATACGCGGAGTATGAAAGTGTTTATCGATGTGAAATCGTTTTGTGGGGGCTAGTGCACCGTGAGTGCAAACTTCAAATTTGGCTGACACTTACTATGCGCGGACGACGCCGTCCTTGTTCGTTCACTCGGACAGTGCAGGGCCTGCAGGCTGCACAGTATCATGGACCGAGTACTAATTATTCGCGAATTTGAAGTCAGCGCGCGTGCAACGTGCATGCCCTCATTTTCGCTTCTTCAGCTGGGATCCGAGCAACGGTCCTTCTCAGCTTATTTGTAACTCTCCACATATCCCTCTTCACCCTCTGTTGGTCATGGCAGCTGGTGAACTCTCCATTACAGCGCGGTACGCTCGTCATCTCATCCGCGAGAGCATATCTCGCCAACTTTGTGCTTTCCGTGAGTCCCACGATACAGAACCATCCATTCATCTCCCAGGTCTAGGTGGTACCTGCTCGAACGATGCCTTATTTGGCACCAATAGTGCTTCTGAAGAAGGAGCTCATCTAGATGTCAAATTCTGTATTATTGGTGCCGGAGTAGCTGGGCTGTATATTGCCATGATTCTGAAAGAACTTGGTATACCGTTTGATCTCGTGGAAGCCTCGGATCGCGCCGGGGGACGCTTGTATACTCATAGATTCAGCGAGGCTCCTCATGACTACTATGATGTAGGGGCGATGCGTTGGTCCGAAATTCCGATGATGAAAAAGTAAGCAGGGCATTTTGGTACTGAACTTAATTCTAATATGACATCAGAGCACTTGCTCTATTCGAAGAGTTGAATGTTCCCTTAATTCCTTACTACATGAATGGTAAGAATACTCCGATGATGTTCAACAACATTTTGGGTCCGCCTATAGACGTTTCGGAGTACGACCCATTCAAGTTCAGCGTCACGAATGGCGGTATGGTCCCAGACAAGTATGAGGCCATTCTACTCATACGAGCGGGGCGCTAATATTTGAGGTCAGGTATGTGGCTATTGGAGTACAGAAAATCCTTCAGCAAGCATCAGCACCCTACCTGCAGCTTTTGAAGGAAGACTTCGAGCAAGGTTTCAAAAAACTCATGGAAGTAGACGACTACTCTATCAGGGAATACCTGCGCGTGTACATGTAAGTCATTGCCCCATAATTTTCCATCGTTTGTGTTAAATGATCACTAGGCAGCTTGATTATCACACCAGTAAATGGCTAGAGACAAATATTGCGTACGAGGTGCTTTGACTGCATCGCAAATTGCACTAAAGTTCGTATCAGGCCCAGCGACTTCTTTGACCAAGCTTTTACCGAGTATGTCATTCTGAACTCGGAATTCAACGATCAGAAGGACTATGGATGGAAGTGCATAGACGGCGGCTCGTCAGTTGCAATTTCTGCTATGCTGAACAGGATCACTCCCCATAAACCCGAGTATCGCACTACGGTCACTCGCATCGCTTTGAATCGTGTTCATGACAAGGTGGAAGTCAAGCTCGTTACTCTACCGGGTCAATCATCCGTGCGTCAGTATGACTCGGTTTTCAACACCACTCCCTTGGGTTGCTCACAACACATGGACCTCGTTGACGCCGAGCTGCACCCTGCGCAAAGAGATGCCTTGCGTTGTTTGCGATACGATACATCCTGCAAGGTCGCGATAAAGTTCAAGACGCCATGGTGGATCACGCGATGCGGCATAACAGAGGGTGGTACATCGTTCGGTGATATCCCTATCCGCACGTGTTGCTATCCGTCCCACAGCATCCACGATGATCCGAAAAAGCCAGCCGTGCTCATCGCCTCATATACAGTGGGTCAGGATGCCCAACGTATAGGTACTCTGATTAACCGGGACTCACCTTCTGGGGAGTCGCAGCTCAAGGAAGTCGTATTGCGAGACCTTGCATGTTTGCACGCCAGGTCTGGGATTACCTATGACTTTTTGGCAGCGGAGTACATCACACATCATGCATATGACTGGAGAAGTAATCCACTCTCTGGTGGGGCATTTGCGATATTTGCTCCAGGGCAGTTCAGTCACCTGTACCCGTACCTCACGCGTCCTGCTGCTGACGGCAAACTGCACTTTGCGGGGGAGGCCTCGAGTGCGCATCATGCATGGGTTGTGGGTGCACTCGAGTCCGCGCAACGAGCCGTGATACTCTCGTTGCTGAGATTCGGACGGCGGGACTTGGCAAAGAAGGTGGAAGAACGCTGGGGACCTTCGTCTGAGCTAGATTGGGAAGGACAGGAACCCGCATATGTGCAGGCGATGCTTGGTTGCTTGGAACCAAAGTGTGTAGCCACGACGGAAACCCTAGAGAGCCACAGCGACCCAAATGAGGATCATGGCGTCAAGGATGAAAAGTCTAGTGCTTCCGTCACTAATAGGCCTGACAGTGCCCTTAAGCTATCTGGGCGGTCAGAAGGATGTTGCATAGTATGATAGGTCTTGTTAGAAAGTTCGCCCGATCCTCGAGGGGTTGATATAGATGCAATCACCATTATTTTTATGACTGGAAAGATTATTGCATCTTCTCCCGATATCCTAATGTCCCCTGTCACTTGTACGATATCAAAACTGTTGTGTTTGAGAATGATCTCATTGAACAGGTACGACCTTATATAATTAGGGTAAGTCGTCAAGGTACAAGTCACGATAAGAAGTATATATAAGGTGGTCCAGGGAGATGGAGGTGTAACCTTTGAAATAGCTTCGAGTAGTAGCAGACGTAACCTTAAAAATATATTCAATGAGTAAATCTAAGTGTTGTCCTTGTTCATTCAAAAACTCCGAGCGTGCATATGCATCCCTCTCACCATCTCAGACTGTCACATCCACTTCCCCACAAATTCAATAAATACGCGTTAACCATATGGCGTGCACAACTCTCCCCTGGCTTGCAAAATCACGAAGGAGCCGGAGATGCCGATGCCGAGGACAAATTTGACCATAGGCACGCCGAAGCATGTGGAGAAACCTATAATTTAGGCGAAGAACTGAAGGCTGTGGTCAGGTGATGCGAGGGTGGGAGGAAAGGAAATAGACTTACAGCGGCTATGCTCGCGTTTGTTTTGCAGAGATCCGCGAGGGAGTTGCCCACCGCGAAGATTGTGAGACCAATTATTGCATCCGAGAGTCGAAAAACGAAACCAAATGTCTGTGTAGGTTGTTAGTACGATGAGATGTGTATATCCAAAGAGATGAAAGGATATGAACGACAGTAGCAAGATGCGGATTGAAGGGAAGAGAAAATATAGAACGGACCTGCAACAATATTGACAGCCACTTCTGTGATTGCCATAATCCATGCGATCACAACCAAGAAGCCCGTACTATACCGCGCCATACGTACAGCAGGGTGGTTTCTCAACAAAAAGGGAGAGGTGATAATGACAATAGAGACCAATCCAATGGCTAGAATAACAAGACAGAAGTAAGTGACTTCGACAACAGTCTTTGGGGCAGGATTGCGGTGGGCTGAGGCCTCGAAGACGCAAAGTACTTATATAAGTGGGGAAAGGCACGGCACAAGAAACCGATGTTATCATTGCGGTCAGACACGACGAATTACAAGGTCGGTCACGGTGTGTTGTCAGGGTGAGTTAGTATCGCCTCAGCCATTAATGGGCTGCAAGCAAGCAAGCTGGTCGTCTCTGCTCTGCGGCCCGGGATCAGATCTCGTTGGCGCCGTGTTAAGGTTAGGCACATAGCACTGAGCCAGTCCGTCAGCCACGCAGGGTACCTTCCGGCACAAAAGGTTTGGCACATAGTAGCCAGTCCATCAGCCACGCAGGGTACCTTCCGGTACAAAAGGTTCATCCGTCGACCACGCAGCCTGATGCTACATTCGCACAAAAGCCTTGACGCACAGTGGAAAACCGGTAACTTATAGAATGGAGATCCGATTGAACGGTCAATTGTCAACCAACAGATTAAACACCGCGGTGATGAGAAGCGGTGAGAAAGCCAGTAAACTCTAAATTGGGTTTGTTTCGCAAATGTGCTTGTATCACGCACTCTTCTCGGACTCACAACTTAATATTTAATCTCCGCATCATTCAACAAAGAAACAACAAGATAAAGACTACCGATCTTGAAATGAAATGAAATAGCCCTTCAGCATTCTGTTCGAGTCTCCGTCTCTGGTCTTAATCTCTCGAGCCTCCATCTCTCATATTAGCTTCTTCTATCTCTTTCCCGAGTCCCCGATTGCTCACAGCTCTCGCTATTGTATTCTGCGACTCTCTGATTGCAATAAAATGTGACCGAGTCCCCCGAGTACGGAACTGCCAGGCGCCTCCGCTTGCCTACAAACATGAGACCTATCCTAGGTGTAGACTGATTTATCGTTGTTTAACTTGTTTGACCGAGTTGAATCAGTTCGCGACGCCGGTCAAATCATTCGTGACTCAGCTCTCGAGTCATGGGCTTACGCATGCGAGGCCCCCCTTCGTTTAGGTATATACGAGGCTCACCGACGAACGTCAGTCTTCCGTCTCTATTTACTTGCCCTCACAGAGCACTTCTGCTCCGTGCACGTCTGCACCTCAATTTGAACTACTTTAAATCTACAATTGATCATCCTTCATCCATATGATCACTGAAATCAATAACAATGCCAGTACATCGTCACAAGCCCAGTCTTCTGGATCGATTACAGGGTCAGGAGGGCCAGGGAATATGTCCCAGACCAACGCCAATGGACCGGCTGCATCCCAACAAAGTTTGGCGAAGAAATGCTTAGACTACGTTGAGGACTACAGATGCTTGCGGGTCACCAAACTTGAAGCCAACGTCATACTCATCGAAATTATCGGCGCAGAGTTATTCAACAGATCCACAAAGGTCTCCACTGTTGCCGGCGGTAATGCTGTGCACAGTGCCTTGGACGACGACATGCTTACTGGCGGCAGGCAAAGGAGTTTTGGTGAAACGCGGATGTCCTTTAGGATAATAACAGCGAACTCGCATGTTCAGTTGGGGGCCAGCAACATATTGTGAGATATCCATATCAAATCCATTTTCCTGCTTAACTGACAAGGTACTGCGCGAAACTTTACCTGCTATGATGACTGTCGAAAAGGCGGGAGCGCCATTGGGAAGGGGCTGTAAGTACTATGTAGATAGATGAATGAGCAAAATACGAAGGTGGAGTGAAGTCACATACGTCACTGGCAAAGAGATGAAGGGAATGCACAGATTTGCCTTCATCGTCAATGATAGGACCGATAGTTATCCGCGCATCCAATAGATAGATCCCGTCTTCGGCCGAAGCAGTGTTGGCATTAAATGTGAACACATTTACACGAATATCTCCGATTTCTGGAGTGGCAATGAATCCGTCGTATCGCCAAAAATTCTTTTTGTCAATCTGATATCTGCTTCCATTTTGAAGGCTAACAACTCCATAAAATGAAGCAGAGGTTGCCATGGTGGTGAGGAAAAAACAGTAAATAGGAGACAGAAAGTACTATGAATGCATGAACAGCGTACCGTGGGAACAGAGTCACAGTACATTATTAGTGGTAGTCAGAGTGGACGATTATGAAGCGATTCTGCGTGTGATTACGAGACGATTCAAAATTCGAAAATCGCATGAAAATCGCCATCCACTTTGAACACCCCGCAGCGAGAACGGATTCTCAACGCGATTCTGGTTGGATTCGTAAATAGGTACGTATACTAAAACTGACAGTTCCTAAGGTGAGTTATACATATGTTTCATCTGTTTTCTGATATATTTCACGCACTTGATATTATTGATCATGACTGTGCTTTTTTCGCCTCTTTTACGAGTGCTTTTTTGAGCTTTCCAAGTCAATGGAGATGCTTGTCGGACGCCTTTTCTTTTGGGTGCCATGCTGCTCGACTGCGGAGAGGGTGCTCAGGTGCTTGCTTGCGGGATAAGTCTATTTAATTAGACATTTGTATTGTAAAATAAGAGGGGTACAGCTAAAATCCGATTCAGAATCGCGTGAAGCGCCTCCAGAGGCGCTTCGACGATTCAGCACGATTCGACATCAAATCCGATTCTCAGCGTCCAAAATCGTTTTCGAAATCGCAGGCCGAATCACCTCAAAATCGTCCACTCTGACTACCACTATTATTTGTCCGCGAATCGCGGAAGCTTTAGTGATAAGTCATTTTGTTCCAACAGGTTGCAACTCAACTTTGCTCAGTCGAAAATGTGTAATCGTAACTGGGACACAGACTCGGACTCCAGATTTAAAGTCTCAAGCTCCTTCAAAGCTTCAAGTTTCACACATGTGTCCCGAATTTTGAAATACGCTCACAAATAAATACCTCCGCACCACTTTGTCTGCTCATACTACCATCGTCGATATTCACTGGCAAGCAGGATCCTGGCACTAGCATTGAGGTTTTCAATAAAGCTAGCCAGTCCAGTCAATACTCCCGACCCTCTGCATTTCTGGATGCCCGTGTATCAAGTATAAGTAGGTGTATAATGTGATGCTTGGGTCCGTATAAAAGGGCTTTGCGTTCTTGATCAACTTCAGTGACCTGATCACAAAGATTTTTGGGAGGTCAGTGAAAGCGGTACGCTACTGACATCAATACGTGACTTGTTCTGATTTCACTCAGAACCTACAAACAAACAGCACGCGCTATGATGACAAGGGGAGGCTTGGGCCGTGATTCTTTGTGGACGAGGTTGGAACCATAAACTTGAAACTACTGCACAGCCTTTGTGCCCACCCGTAGTCTCCTGTAGTATTCCTGTGGAAATCTTGCAGTGTGTTCTTTGCTTCTTCATGTCTCTGATACACTCATAACGTCCTAGTGTATATATCAAGCTGGGACAGGAGAAGATCAACGAAGAACAAGAAGTCGGTTTTCCTCCGATGGCGTGCGGTCATGCAGGCATCTCTGTCTTTTTCTTCGGCCTTCCCATTCTATTTTCAACCAGGGGTGGTCTCGTATATGGCGGGGTGTTTCACCAGCCTGTGCTAATTGATACAACGCTGATGCATCAACTGTATGACGAATTTAGCGCAGTGCCTTTTGCATCATCAGAATCGCATGTCATTACCTTATTTCTGTGCTCTCGTGACCACAGCTCAGAGAGGCGACAAATGCTGAAGACTTGTGAGGAAGGTACACATTTGAGGGATTTGTACATCGGTGCGTCTGCCTTGAGGCGTTGCAGGGGCAGTGGGAGATGTGAGTCATCTGTTCGGTATGTTTAGACTGATGTCAGTTTTCAAGTATCATTTTAGGTTAAGCTGGCAGCGTGTGGCCTTGTTACGAGACCTCACATGAGCTGTTGCGGTCACCAGATTCCGGCATGCGAGGTAGAGAGTTTGATACTCGTTGAGAATTACTGAAACGGCAGGCTTTTCCACCATCTTATCATGCCTAACGTTAGACTGATGAACGCCATTATTTACTAATGGAACCCCTGAGCTAATACAAGTATGGCAAGAACATCTCGAGAGTGTCATTGTCACCAACTTGAACTACCCGAAATCATGAACACCTTTTTGAGCTTATTATGCGGTGTTCAAACATCCCGCGTCACACAGCCGAACATATTTTGTATTGTCGAACGGGTCGACTTTTTTTTACTTTCTTTCATGTGTCAATCTCATGTCAATCAAAGCAGGGTCAAATTACATCCTCATCATGCCTATTTCGGTGATAAAAACACTGGAGGGTCCCATATCTACCACGCATGCCTCCTTACGGCAGGTTCACCACTCGCTTGTATCTATCCTCCGAATATGACTGTAGTCTCAAGTGATCCCAGTTGGTGGCCGCTAATCAAATCAAATCAATTTTATAGCTATTTCGTAGGTTCGTGGAGATTCAGTGGAATGATGTCGGTGACGTTCTAACCTTGAATGTGATTTTACAGTCGCCTCCTGTGCTGCAGTGATATACGATTGGGGTGAGCAAGATAATATCATTAAAGAAACCTGCTGATCTTCTCATGATATTTTCAGCACTCGTATCCGGACAAGAGGTAGGTTGATGTTATTGCCGGGGTAACCATCTCATCGATAATGGTTTTATACTAGTTTGAACTGGTCTGGGTGAGCAGAGTCCCATATTAGAAAACAACATCCAACCAAGTCTGGGGCAGAGGAAACGTTGGTCTCTCGCGACTCTTCTATATCTCGGTGTACGTGCATTGTGTTATGAGCGCAGTTGGCCAGTTTTGCTTACTTCAAAACATTCTAGGTGCGCTACCTTGGAATGCCATACGCGGTGTATGTTTTTTTACGAGACCAGCAAGTCAGCGCTGTGCTAATAAGACATCTTTCACAATCAGAATTTTCATGCTGCGTATGTCTCATATACACTATGTTTGTTGCTTCTGACTGGCTGTATACAGAAAGTCTTCCGACAGTCTCGGTGACAGATGCAGTGAGTACTCTGCACAAAAGCTTGCTATCCCCGTTCAAACAACCACACTCCTGTATAGGGGTGAGTGAGTTGCTTACCTGCTGATTCAATATAATGACAGCGATAGCTGTGAGTTTGTTTCGAATGTTTGTCTTCCGAAGCTCATCGCTCGCTGGGAATTTTCAGGCAACATTATGTACTCTGCACTAACTTGGATGACTGTGGTCGTGAATGCAATGCTGGGAGGTGAGCTACTGAGCTACGATACCTCAAATGATGTTGACTTGACCGAAACATCATGCAAGTCATCATTACCACTCGGTTACATGCAATGTATCAGCGATCCAGAGAGATGCTTGCCTTTCTCGTCTCAATCCTCCTGGCTATCACGATCACCTGCGGAGTGATCGGCGTGATAGGAGACAGATACACTGTGGGAGGTAAGCTGAAATTATGGCCGAAAGACTTAAGTGCACCAGGCTCATCAGACATACAGAGCAGTTCGTCCTTTCCGGCACCTATCAGTGCACTTATGACTATGAGGGAGACGCCGGACTTTTGGACTCCTTGGCGTGGATACTCTACACTGTATGGGAGGTCCTCGCACTGTGTCTTGCAGTTTGGATTTCTGTTAAATACTTCCGTACACTCCGCCGCCCGTTGACTGGATGGACAATGGGGGACTGTTTCTCGGTGTTGATAAAAGCTCACGTGATTTACTTTGCTAGGTGAGCTCATCATTTCAAACGGGGTTATCTCTAAGCTGAAGTTCCGGACGTGCAAGCTTTGTCGCTGCTTCTTGCTTCCAACTCGGTTTTCTCTCTCCAGGGATCCTGGTACGCCGATCCTTTACTTATTGGCATCTGCTGGTCATCATTGTTCACCGTATCCGTAGGATTCATCTTCAGTGGGATCTGATGTCTACGCTGGACTGCTTGAATTTGCGTCAATCGCGCAGATGTTTGTGCTGGGACCACGCCTCATTCTTAGCATTCGAGAATATGATGCTAACCTCGTAACCGACTCCGATGCAGGAATCGACATGCTTCCAATCGTTTTCCAGGAGGGCGGCGATGTGTCAATTTTGGGCGATGTGTAGCACTGGAAAGGCTTCAAGCAATCAAACATTTGTCGGGTACTCTTCCGAGGAGGGCCTGAAACCGTTGTTCGAAGTTTAGCTGTGATACTTATTTGGTATTCCAATGCATATTTGACAGTAGAAGTAAGCGTATACAATGCCCAAAGATAAATAAAAGGCCCTTGATTGTCACGCCTGTTGTCGTGTCCGCTTTCGAACTGGATGCGAGGGCAAGATAACACCACTCAAGTCTGGTTAACTGATTACGCATCCATCACGGTATATCCAACATCCACCCAGGCTCTCATGCGATCCCCATACCGAATAGTAAGAACGATAAGCCTATGTGCCATCATAAGACTCGGTGACTGCAGGTGTTCTACGACAGTACTCCACCATATCCAAGAACCGCAATCATGGTAGCTATGTTATTTGTCGTTACCAACCCAAGTGTTTCAATCGATGGAAGTACGGCTGCAGTCACTGGTGCAAGAATGATTGCACGGAAAGCGCTGCGAGAAATGAGGACTAGATCAAACCATGTATACTTGGTGACAATGGTCACACGTCCACAGCGCTGGCTCGAAATATAACCGAATGGGTCACCTGTTAGCTCCTTGCATGGTTGTCATGATCCAAAGACATGGACGTTTCTCGCGCTATTCATCTTGATGAAGATTGGATAAAGGTGTATGGAAGTGTTCATGATAGAGGTGATTGACGTGTTCAAAGAGGACTACAAGGCATTCATACAAGACGATCTGTCTGTCCACGCTCCATGGATACTATGAAGCAGATAAGGCCGTGAGCATGATTGTTAAAACCATTCCTGGATACTACATCGACAATTTGAACGTATGGATACATCATGCAGAGTTAGCGGCTATCAAAGCACTGCGACATCATATGCAGGTATAGATTTAAGTTAACACGTTCAACACTAAGTCCCAAATACCGACTGTCAGAATCAAACTCCAAGTATATGGATCCTCTTACCATCCATTAGTCATCTACCACACCAGCTCCACCCATATATTCATTCCCATGACCGCGAAATACGCGCCAACTAAACAGAATCCCCACGTGCGAGTCAGTACGTACCCGTTCAGCGGGACGATTACCAGCGTTGCAATGAGCAGTGTCAGCAAGCCAAGTATACTGCTTATGAGCGTAGGTGCCAAATGTAGTGGGTATGGCTCGCCACCAGCTTGTGAAATCACATAGGAGCCAGAGATGCCGACTCCAAGAAGAATGTTGACCATGGGCCCGCCGAAGCATGCTGAGAAGCCCATGATTGGGGCGAAGACCTGAAGGCTGGGTCAGGTGGGCCGGTGGGGGGAAAGGAAGTAAACTTACAGCTACGCTCATGTTTGCTACGAGATCCGCGAGGGAGTTGCCTACTGCGAAGATCGTCAAGCCAATTATGGCATCCGAGAGTCCAAAGATGAAACCGAATGTCTGTGTAGGTCATCGGTACGACGGAAGGTGTGATAGGAGAAAAATATAGAACGAACCTGCAACACATTGACAGCCTCATCAGCGATTGCCATGATCCATGCGATCGCAACCAAGAAACCCATACTACACCGAGCCATACGTGCGGTAGGGTGGTTTCTACCATCCGCAAACACGAGCACAAGCGCAGCAACCGCAAGTCCACACACAGCTGTTCCTAACGCAAGGAACATCAAGTGATCCGCATCATCTAAATCAAATGATCAACAGCCAGCTCACACTCAAAATACAAAAGGGAAGTGGGCAAAGAGAAAACATACGCACGGAATAACACCCCTAAACAAAATAAAGGGCCTAGGACACATTGTGCAGCCATCAGCCATTTATTAAACTCGATCTCGTGGAGATCCTGCTGCATCACTTCCTCCGCAATCAACGCACGTTCGATGCCGTCTTCCTCAAAGTCCATCAACCGGCCATCTTCCCCGGCATTATGATGGCGCTTAGTGCATTTTCTCCGATGCAGATCCATTAGAGTCATATGGGACCACGACCACAGGTAGAGTCAACGTGAGCGCCATTACCGCAGGCGCGGCAAGCAGACTCGCTATTTTCCCTAGTGCATTCTTTTCTCTGAAGTGATGCAGCGCAGGGAAAAGGATGTAATACGTCTTTTTCACGACCCGCCATGCACGCTTGAGTTTCGAGGGAGGAACGTACGGCTCCACTTCTGTCGTCGTAGTGGACGCGGTGTCCGTTGGTGATGCAGGGGTGTGCGAAATGGATGGAATGGGTGATATTGAAGTAGAAGCGTGTACTTGCACGTCGATCGCTGACGATGATTGCGATGGCTCATGACCCTCTGAGATGATATCATTCACAAGCAGCCTCGGACTGCGTTCGTTCAGAGGCAGTCCTCCTAACGTTGCGTCCCAGGGGTCCTCCTCGCTCAATGGAGTACGGCTTGCATGGCTCCCACCACGTCGGTGGTAGTGGCCACCCGCGTAGGGGGTGATGGGACTGTCGAAGATGGACAAGCTGCTGGAAGTGGCGTGCGCCTGAAGGCTTGCCACCACCTGCCTGAATTCGAGCGCCCCGACCAGCGAGAAGGACGGCATCTGTGAGAGGTGGGGTGAACTCAGGGGCGAGGGAGTACGCTCCCTGCTAGGGGGCTGTGCATGGAAAGAGGATGATAGTGCGCGAGTTTGTGAAGGTGTTGGGAGTGCAAGTCGTGGGGGTTGGGGACACGACGATGCCCGGTGTCGTGTCGGTGGCGAGAGAGGCACGGTAAGCGTATTGGTGGGAGGGGCAACTGCATGTATTCAGGGATGAACGAACATAGAATGGTAGGAGTGAAGGGATAGAATAGACACGCACCTACATCTTGATATGGTTCTACTATAGTTTCATCCTCGCCGTATTCTGCTCGAATGAGGGCTTCAAGCTTCTCCCTTCGATCGCGCCGCCGCTCCCACCAGCTCCCCACGACGACAATTACGGCATAACACACGTACATGGCTACCAACGATGCGCACTCTCCCGCTCTGATGTCGCCATCGTGGAGTATCACGAGCAGCGCAACGACAGAAAGGGTGAGGAAGCCGACGTCCCTTAGGAATGGGGTTCGGTCAACCTTAAATGGCTTGATGATGCACATGCTGCCTGCCACGACGCTTACTATAAACGAGGCAGCTCCAAGCAGCTCTCCGATGGCAAGACTTCCTGAGTTTGCACGCATAGCGGAGAAAGTGCTGAACACATCCGGGGAGGCATTTCCGAATGCGAGAAAGGTGACACCAGCAACGTTTTCATCGAGACCTAGGAAGGTTGCAATGGTCGCCAAGTTTGGAGTGAAGAAATCAGATGCAGATATTCCAAGTGTGCTGAATAGAAACAGGAGCCAGATGACCAATCCAGCGAAAATCAGAGGTCGGAAGGGTGGGGGAGCGCAGAAGTAGTGGGACAAGTACGGAATGCTTAGGAACGTCTCAGGCGACGGACATGACTCGATAACATGTGCACATTGTAACGAAAGGTCCGAATAGGATAGAGGAGAGCAGTTCTTCTCTGTAGTTGTCGTCAGCGTTGGGCCATTCCGCTTCCACAGGGACTGCAGAGACTGGTCTTGGTAAGACTGGCCATATCGGCTCTGTGACCACAGAACTGCGTTGATAACGAGGCATGTAACAAAGACAGCCTTTGCCCCTGCGCTAGACATGGTAGAAAGACAAAACAAGACAGAGCTGAGTTGGGCGTTCCAAGACTCCAACTCCAACGTCTGACGCACTTGAACCTCGTGCCCTTCATTTATATTTATGTACCACTTCAATCAAAATTGTCCTACTTTCCTACAAACTTGCATTTTTTTAGCCTCGAGCTCAGTACTTGATATGTTCGAACTTCTAAATTGCGCAGCTACTCGGGGTCACGCGCTGTGTAGACATCTGACATATGTTCTAGCTCTTGAAGAAATCAGCCAGGTATCATCGTCATCTCCGGGAGAGGCTAGCTCTCATATCATCAGTACCGAAAGGCATGTTGAACGCTGCCAGTGCGTGTCACAATGAATTTGCCCGCCCCATGCCCACCAAGGCATTCTTCAGTCATGTTCATAGGTGCCATTTAGACATTGAATCGCCTGCTTACCGTGAGATAGTCGTTCCTGTGTAGTATTAAGTGATGATCATTCCCAGAATGCAGCCAACATTCAAAGAGGTCAGCAAGGCGGGCAGTACTGCGCTGATTAGTAGTATGCTTGACTGGGACGGACGGACCTACATATGAAATAAGATGTTTGCCCTGAAGACAATTTGAGACATAGGTTCTGAACATTAATGTCGATTCATTGGCACTTCATCCAGGAGCTATCCACGTTTTTACCGGTGTCCGTATGCAGGCGCGTTTGCAACCATGGGTTACTGGTACATTCTGGGGGACCGCTTGAAGAAATCGTTGATTAGAACATGGATGCCATGCCTGATATGCAGCATGTTTCACAGTCAGAATCAAATTGGTCGTTCGCCGCACCAGGGAGGAATTTACACCGATATCTGAAGGACTACACGCAAGGTAGATTGACAAACCCCCAAGGTCAGAGCCACCAGCTGCTATGCCCAAGGCATTATGTAAACGAAGGGCAACTCTGTCATCAAACACCATTTGCAGGCGGCCAGGGGGTCTTTAAGAATCTGGTACCAAAAGGTTAGTCTGAATGATAAACGCACGAAAGACGTGAGGTTGGGTCGCAGGCCCACATTGGGGTGCTACCATTCCACGTCCCAAAGATAAAGTGCTTCTAGAACGTCTTGCAAAGAAGCAACTAAGCCGCAGCAGTACTTATGTATCTGTGAAGTAAGATTGAACTCAAATGTCAGAGACATAAATGAGCAAGCGCACCGGATCAAAGCACATGCAGACAAGCCAAAATACTTTTGCGGGCACGATGAAATACAAGAAACGCGTTATTGCGACTGCTTGTGTGAAAGTGAAGTGTGTATATTCAAGAGCATTTCCAGTGATCAGTACATAGTGTGCATGCACGCTACCAAGACAGGGATCATCTCCGAACACCAACATTCGCAGCAGTGCGACCGCTCTGCGACTTCCACCCCATCCACCCCACTAGGACGTTCTTGGCAAATATTTCTCCAAAACCTAGCATCACCCCCATTTACAAAAGGAAGTAATAAGTTGATCGCAAGAGAGGTAAGGAGCAAATTCATTCGTGTCCGTGGCGCGATTGTACTGTCAAGCAAGGATGGGATGGTGGAGGGTGGCACGTTGGAGGGCTTGCGTTCTGCAGAATGTTGCTCCTGAGGTTTATCACGTCCTGTGGTTTGTTGAAGTGAAAAATGCGGCGGAGAAGGTGACGAGGGAATAGAAGTCTCGGGAAACGACATAGATGGATAGGAAGAAGTGGGAGACGAATCTATATGCTCCCATTTCTGCGACGGAGACCCGCTATCCGTCTTAAGATGTTGAGAGGCCTGTAAATGACTCGACGGGCCCTTTTGTTCACTAACAAGATGCCCAGAATCCGCAAGGGATGTCGAGGCTAGAGAAGCAGACGAAGAAGCCAGTACTTCGCTTGCAGCGGCGAATGAGGACGTAATATGGGAGCCCAATGCATCCCAGTTTTCTGGCTCCTGGCCGAGCGCTTGCCGTTCTTCTGCTTCACGTATCCTAATCTGTTCCCACCGTGCGCGCTCGCGCTCTGCTTTGGCACGAGCTTCGGCTGACTGAGCACGCCATTCCTCTACCTGAGCCTCATATTCTCCCTTCCATGCGTCTTCTTCGACCGTTTCAGAACCTTCTGGGACCTCCAAAGTTACTGCAGGTGCATCTGAGAGTGATGTAGGAGCGGCCGGAATAGAAGTAGCAGATTTAGGCGCAGTGTCCGTGTGCTGGAAGGCAGTCTCCAGTGCTGACTGAAAATCAAAAACTCATTAATCACGAGTTAGACTACAAACATTAAAGAGATACCTGGAGTATGTACTCGTTGCTTTGCGCGAGGGGACTTGTGTCTGACATCGCCGTGGTGCTCCGAGTCGATGACCCGATGCTGTTGAGTCTCAGAGGCTCCGTCTGGCAAGCTCAGTCAAAGTTCTCACGGTTCGGTTCATTGTAAGTACAATTTCCCGATGTAGGGTCATGGGATATCAACGTAACTGCCATGGACTTGAACAGCTTCGGATCCTGCCTACCTTCTCTACTGCCATGGTCGTAGAATGGTGCACTCAATTCTTGGACCCGCGAGCTTCCAAAAACCTCAATGTCTCGCGAGCACTTATCATTCTAAATCAACCTTTTAGTGTCAAATTGTTAAAGACCCTCTGGGCCGCGTCCGAATGGCGTTCTTGCGCCGACGGGGGCGCTAATCGTTTATATGATGTCTTGGGTGCAAGCGGTGATGCAAACCTTCGAAGTTTGTAAGTCTAGTTTCGAGTCTCGCGTGTATGGCTAGTGACGTCACAGGTTCCTCCCTGATATGGTGAAGGGTGATCTCGACTCTTTGCGAGATGATGTTAAATCGTACTACACTTCACTGGTAAGGCCTGTGTTTTGATCGACACTGTCTCAACAGTCCCCCAGGATGTACCAGTAATCTACGATTCCGACCAAAATTCTACGGATCTCATGAAATGTGTGCAAGCACTAGAAGAGAAAGAACGTTTAACTGGGCAGGAGGTAAAACCTTTTTTTTTTTGGTTCAATTTGAAAATTTCATTTCCCGAACAGTTCGAGATTGTGATTCTGGGAGGTCTCTCCGGAAGGTTGGATCAGACTGTACATACACTATCATACCTCCATAAACTTCGCAAGACCCGCAAACGCGTCTTCACAGTCACCGACGATAATGTAGGATGGGTCCTTAATGAAGTGAGTCGTGCTCCTTTTTCAAGTGCTGTATCTCACTATTTCAGGGTGAACATCTCATCCACATCAACCATGACGTGTTAGGACAAACGTGTGGACTCCTCCCTGTCGGCATCGACTCAACCATCCTGACGACGACTGGACTGCGGTGGAACTTGGACAACACGGAGTCATCATTTGATGGACTTATGTCCACGTCAAATCATCTCGTGCCAGGACAAGACGTCGCGATCAAGACCTCGAAGCCAATCTGGTGGTGTGTAGAGTTAAGGGACCACTAAGAATATATGCTACTCCTACATTATTTGCATAATTAGACTCGTATCTTAGATATGCTAGAGTATGCTATGCTATACTGTAGTTCCTTATAGTACTCGCTTAGAATATTGTGGGGATTTGATAGGGCCCTGGTCGATACTCGAGAAGGCGGCCGTGATTCAGCACGTTCCTGGACCTTATGGTCCTGACAGAGCTATTAGTAGAGATCTTAAGATCATTCGGCTACAAAGGTCTGCCTTGGGAAGACCGTGACTAGGTCAGAGCCAACCATTATGAGCCAACCAGGAATCACTGTTCTCTACTTTGCTGCTGCGTCAACAGCAACTGGCTTGACGGAACAATCGGTCACCCTCCCTGCCTCGCAATACCCACTCTCCTCATTGAGCGGTTTATTGGCGTCATTGCACCCAGACGTCGGCCTAGACAAGATCCTTGAGTCTAGCCAATGGAGCGTCAACGCCGAGATGGTGGACAATGTTGAAGGGGTAATATTAAAGGGAGGAGAAGAAGTCGCTATCATCTGCCCTGTGTCAGGTGGATAAGAATCATAAGATCACCAGAAATATCTCTCAGAAGTCTCGTGGTACATTGCAGGTGAGTATACTTCAAAGATAAGACCACAATCTTCTCATCGTGCTTTTGCTTTCAGCGATCAAGTTCCCCACAGGATGAGCTCAAGCCTAGAATCAGTACTGTTCTTTTTAGCTGGTGTTCTCTTTGTATTTCTCTACCCGGAAACACATCGAAGACTACATTCCAAGTCTCATTTGATGACGGACGATATGGAGAAAGGCGCCAGCTTAGAGAACAAGCAATTGCCAGCGTTCACTGCTCGACGCCTGACGCAGACTACTTTCTTGATCGTCGAATGGGATGACATCTTCAATGAACACCCATTCATCTATGTCAAGGTAGTCCCATCCGCTAAGACCATCCTCATCATGGACACAGGATGTGGTGGGGCTACACATAATCCGGAGATCGGTCTGAAGAGCTTGAGAGAGTTCATCGAGACCGTTGATGTTCCTGATAACAACGGAAAGCCTCTTAATGAAGGAGGAAAGATGAAGTATATCGTGGTGGAAAGCCACTGCCATTACGATCACATTCGTAGGTGTTCTTTCTGATACAGCTTCGTCGACCTGCTGATCACTCCCTGGAACTTAAAGTTGGCGTGGAACCATTCGCCACCGACAGCCCCATTCTCGGCTCAGGCCACTCGCCTACCTTCGTCTCTCCAGAGAACTTCCCTGTAAGCTCAGAGTGCAATGCTCTAGGCTTACGAACCCCGATCTACGAGCTTACTTTGGTACCGCACCTACATGAGATCACCTCATCGTCAAGTTTATCTATGGGTCTCACAGTCTTGCATACCCCTGGGCACACTCCTGACGAGCTTGCCTTGTGGGATGCAGACGAGAAAATGCTATACGTCGGGGACACTCTATATGAAGATGATCCCATCATCTTTCCAAGCGGGGGATCTTTACCCGTGTGGTTCTCCACCATGGATCAACTCATCGAGCTCGTAAAAACGCAACCCGATGCTGAAAATGTGATGATCAACTGCGGGCACGCTACTGCTCTCCGTCCTGCACTTGAGGTGCTTAGGACGTGTAGGAAGTTCATGGAGAACGTTGTCTCTGGCGAAGAGCCACTGAAGAGACGTTATTTGCGTCGGGGGACGTGGTGTGTGGAATTTAAGGAGGACAAGGGTCGATTCTCTTTGATTTGCCCCGAGAGGCTGGTTCTCGAAGCAAAGGGTGAAGCAGTGGCGTGATGGATTCAAAAATAAGGCTGTTGGACTACATGGTAGACTTCATGGTGCTAGAAACACTACACTTGTAGTTCGAGTATCAAATTACACAAGCGGGGGCGTTGTTTGCTGGTTATATATATCAGTGTCAGCATGTGCATATAACGATCCGATTTGTTGCACAGAAGTACATCAACTGGAGGCAATGAGCGCGAGCGTTGTTTACGACGGACTTTGTGTAGCAGGTGATCCAAAGTTCTACTTCGTAGTAGTACCTTCCTCCATAAGAGTGATATAAGTGACTGGTTTATTAGTCCTAGTCACGTCCTGGCGCAATTCGGAGGTCTACGACAACCTCATGATATCGCGAAAAGTCAAAGCTAGATACTCAATGAGCACAAATGACTGACCAATAAAAACTAACTCACCGATAAGGGTATGAACTGGTGGTTAACGACCTCCTAATATTTCCCGCTCTAACTGGGCCAAGAAGTCGTCTGCCTCTGTCTTTGGTTCCGAGTCATTAGTCCCTTTCTGCTTGCCTTTTCTGTTGGGTCGGTCCGAAGCATCAGTTACCTGCCTCTCCAGCGCCGCAAACGGTTCAGATGTGTCCTGCACTTCCAACGTCACAGTTTGTGAAGTATCGGGCTCAAAACCTCGGCCTGCGGGGGTTTCGTCACCTTTGACCTTTCTCCGCTTCGCATCTAATATCTTTCGCCTTTCCTCAATGTCTCTCTTCCGCTTCTCCATCGCCCTGCTCCTCGACACGCCCGCACCAGTGCTATCGTCCCGCATGCCCTCCACCTCTCCCGGTTTAAGATCCACTGCTCCGGTGTCTTGTCTTGTCTTCTCAGTCTCCATCCTAGCTGACCGCAGTTCTTCCATTTGTTGTTTCCTCGTCTCCTCGTCTGCAGAAAATTGATAGTGCCCAGCACCTTTAGCGCGGACCTCCTTTGAAGCATCGTAGGTGAGAAGACAATGGATTATTGGCTTCCGAGTAAGCCTCTTGAACTGCTTGGATACGCTCTGCGGAAGGTTCGAACACTGGGAAGTAATTGACGGGATTGTAAATGACGTCCCTGAAGAAAAAATAAGACCAGGGTGATGAGGATTCGCTCTTTAGCTTACTTGTCCTCATCCGGTATTGGTTCTGTATCTTCAGTACGCGGAAGTAAGTGCCGAGGGATTTCGGACCTGCGTCCTGTTCGTTGTCTTCCAAATTCATCTTCGTATTCAATGATTGGGTCATCCTAAGCATTATATGAGCATCATCCCAGAGGGTCCATCAGGAGTACCTACGTCGTCTTGAGGCTGTTGAGGAACCGTCAATGATTCATCCATATCATCGCTGTCCGACTCAAAATGATCACTAGGTCCTCGAGAGTCGAACTAGAGTCTGGACATCAGCAAGCCTGTCATCGGATGCATGAAGCATACATACATCGACGAGCAAAGCCTCGTACTGCTTGTCAGTAAGGCCACCAGATTTTCCCTTCCGCAGTTTCTCGTAGATTTTCGCCTTCCTCTCCAATACAGCTCGCCCGGACTCGATAGTCACCTTACTGACTTCTTCCAGTTCTATGTCGCGCGCGGCACGATTTTGAACGCCTTTATTGGAGCGAGTCCATACAGTCGGTTTCTACGTTATGTTTGTATTCAAGCCTCCCGTGTCAGTTACGGTATTCACTCACCTTGTCAGGCCTCTTGACCCCTCCCACCGTGTATTTACTGCCTCCTGCAGCCTTGGTCCGAGCAAATTCATCTTCTTTCTTTGCGATTTCTGCTTTGAGGTCGAAGAAAGAACTCGCGCTGACACCTGCTGCTCTGGCTTTGTTAGTTGGCGCCATCCAAGGAAGGGTGAATTACTGTTGAATTAGTACAGTGTCTAGATCTTCAATCAACTGTGATTATCAACTTCAATTCTTCAAATGAACTACAAGTGACATAGGTGTCACATGACTCGCAAACTAAGTCTGGACTGCGTACAACTACATAGATTCTAGAGACCTGGGCCTAAATTTCTGCTCTCTATCTCTCGCACATTTCTTTCACTGCCTGCGCCTCAATCTATCATAACCTCACGTTTTAGCAAGCAAGCATCATCAGGAGAAAACACCTATAGTGAGAAAAGCATGCGAAGCCGGTCATTTCCTTGAACACAGGAGAGGAGTGGGAGAGCACACGGAAGGTGGTTGCTTGTGCGACCAATATGACATTTCCGTCATCGAAGCAAGGATGAGACCGTTTCTGGCGTGTTGCCATTTAATGTAAGAGACTCGGAGGAGAGCATTAGTGTGGAAACCTTTGACTAGATGAGTAGCGTGGAAAGTAAGAATGGCTGGCTCATTCTCCGTCCATAGGGGGTCCCTAGAATTAATTTTCAGTGATTTAAATCGGTAATTTGTGTGGCGCAGGAGAAAGCAAAAAGAGGGGGAGCGTGAAATAGGCCCTCATGGGGAGGGGGGGATGCTGCAGATAGCTCTGATGCGGGGCACGCAAGGAGACAGGACTGGCCATGGCTTGTATGTGCTCACGGAAAGAGGAGACCAGCCCGAAGCTAAGAGCAAGGCGGAGCCGAGAGACTAGGCATGTCACCCAACCGAAGGGAAGCAGAGCCACCAACCATCTTCGAAGGAATTTGACATGAAGAGGCGCCCCAGCGATTCTAGTGACTCGCTGTGTTGCACAAGCTGGATGAGTGAGGGTGACAACGCGGGGAGCCGAGTGGGGTTGAATTGCACGAACCAAAGATACCATGATCGCTAAGTGCTTGATGTACGCAAAGTGGATGAGGATAACATTCACTCAACGCGTTTTCTTTAGATCAAGGGCACACTGAAAAAGTCAATATGGTGGTAGGCACTCGTGACGCTGGAGTCCAAAAGTAAACGCAGACAGAAGTGGTGAGATGTGATGTGACTGACGACGGCCATACTGGTATGCATGTACAGTCGTTCTTTTCGAATTCCACAGTTGAATACATTCACAACTGGAGAATTGCATTACTAGGCCTATTGATGCAATAGATGGGCCATTGATAGTAACGCTGTCCTACATGTCGAGACTGTCTAATAGACTTCTCAGCCTACAGTGACTTGCCCGATAGTCACCAATAAACGTGTGAAACGATGAAAAAAATGCGATTGCACCATATCTAAATCATACAACGGAGCCGGCCTTAGCTGCAATACGGGGCCACAGGTCAACCTGAGGATTAGCGTTAGAGACCTAATCCCCCTCATTTTGAAATGTAAACCTACACATTCTTTTGCAACAGGGCCGACAATGACCGAACCCTTCATATCACCCTTGGGGTTAACAATGACACCGGCGTTGTCCTGTAGAATTGGTTACATATCTAATGATGCGAACAAAATTGTCTCGTACCTCGAAGTACAAGAAAACACCATCTCTCCGACGCCATGCCTTACGTTGGCGGACAACAACAGCGGGCATAGCTGCAAGTTGATCTCATCAATACAATTGATCGATATAAGGTGCAGGGCTAATACACACTTTTTTTCCTCAGTTCAGGTTTCCCCTTCTTTACTGATGCAACGACCATGTCGCCAACACCAGCATCAGGCAATCTGTTCAATCGTGCACCGAAACCATAAGGCTCGATTATGAATAGTGACTTGGCACCGCTGTTGTCGGCACAGTTGAGGACGGCACCAACAGGGAGACCAAGTGTCATACGGAATTTCTTTCCAGAAGAGCCAACTGAAATTAGGGAATGAGATGTGAGCCATACATGTACATGGGAGAGCTACCGCGATCTTTCGCCATTGTGTAGGTTGCTCGATGCTTGCTGGATCTTGCGTGACCGCGACCACCTGGGTATGCTCACTCACCAAAGTTTCAAACTGTACAGTTACACCGGAACTTTCCGGACGGACACACTGTCGTCTATTCGTACCTCTACGCCAGTATGATGCCACGCCTCCTGCAGTGTGCACTCCTCATGCCTGCGTCCAGCCTCGCAAGCTGCGCTGCTGGCCGCATACGTGGGCTGTGGAGACAAACGAAATCGTGAAAGACGAATATCTGACCCCCAGAAAAGGGTTTCAGAATGGTCTTCCTCAAATCCTAACTCAGCGACACAGTCATATTGTCATATATACCCTGTGGCTTATGTCCTTTTTGACAGTGTGTTGTTATATTCACCGACGTACGAATATGATACCATGGTTGTAAGCGTCATGTTTTATTTGGTAGTTCGCACTTGTTGGAGTTGTCTCTCACAGTCGAGATACACTAGTGACAGATCCTTAGGGCAGCGCCAGCTATATATACAAGGCCACGCTATGTAGCAGTGATTCATAACGATGGTTCTGCTTGGCACATCCAGTTATAATCGATCCATCCCGAAATTACGTGCAGCGTGCAGACCACGAGGAGATCGTAAATGATATCGATCAAGGGCACGCCGAGTGCAGAACGATGGCGTACGATCGCATGGTTATTTACATTTCCCAATGATCCACTACGAGACAACGACGTCTCGGCAACATCGAATGTCGAGGGGTGAAGCGCCAGCCTCCGACCTCGCCCCACCTCCCTGCCTCCAGCTTCATTGGCGTATCTGCATTATAATGATGGAGAAATGTACATGATGCAGACCTGGGGATCCGATTGTACATATTGTCAATCTGTAGAGTATGACCTAGAAACTGGCCATTTCATATTATAGGCACTCGAAGAGACAGGCCTCCCAATTGCTGAGTATAACTTATGAGGGCTCCCCTTCGGTTGGCTCTAAGACAATATATTGTGTTTACAGTAGCAAGTCAGGAAATACTATAAGACAGTGTCTCTTCACGTTCTCACTCTCGACAACGCTGTGCACAATGGACCGTGATCAAAGGGGTTCAAGTTAGTCCGGAAGTCGAGCACGGTTTGCGCTCAGGCTAGCGTCAAACCTTAACATCCATTGAATGCAGTTGCATATGCGGGTCGCTGAGGAAACTGTCTTCAATCACTGTCCATGACGGTTTGTATAGAATGCGGGGAATGGAGTGGCTTTCAAATGTATTGAGAGTTGAACTTTGAGAAAGTGACGATGCAGCACGACGACGTGCACGCGCGCGTTTCTGACCAATCCCATTTCTACTGAGAGGTTACATACTTCCAGGATCGTGTACAAAAACGAGTGAGTTGTCTGGCGTTGCATATCCAGAAGTTGGTCTCTTCCGAGGATGCAAGCGGTTATGTCTGGTGAGGCTAGGACAATTCCACCATTACCCTCGAAAATTGTACTTGTCGGCAAGCGAAAGCAGTAGTAATAGGCGCAAGGAAGCAGTTCCAAGCAGTTGGTCTCCCGGACGAGACTGATGACCGCAAGGACATTTTGTTGTGCGGTTGCGCGATCGTCCTGATATTCAGGATCATCGAAAGATGCAAGCGTCGTTGGAACGCCGCGTTTCAGTCGCTGAAGTGCCAAGTCACGGGTTAACATTTGCAAGGTAGTCGAGTGTGTTTCAATGGAGTGTGCTCAGCTTCTTTCAGGCTGTCTAAACTAAAATAAGATTCTACATGACTTCGTCAGTGAAATGTATGATTGATATCCCTTGTCCAACTCACTAAACTTTGGTGTGACACTTGCACTCCCTTTACCGGACTGACACAAAACAGTTTGAGCATGCCGGTGCAACTTATCGAGAGGCGAAGAAGGTGCGTAGCCATATCCCGGTGAAAGATCATGGCATGCGGTAACTCACGGTTAGGGTAAGGCTGGAGCGCGAGCAAGCTTTTCATGGAGATAACTTCATGGACGAAATGGACAACTGCGAAGCGTTCATGTTTCTCCAGTCGTCCGAAATGTAGCACATGTATGCTGACTTCTGCGGGTTCATAGAGCTCGCACGGAGACCTCCAGCCGTAGCAGGGTTCTCACCTGCAAAAGTCAAAAGAAAATCCAGTGGTACTGACTGAAGAAACGGAAAGACTATAACTTTATGTTCAAAATGTTAGTTTCGATGATCACATGATTCGGAATTCTCCGATAATACACTCGAAAAATGAAGATGTGCCATCAGTGATCGCAAAATGAGTGACATCCCGACCAGAAACGGAATTTTTGACTCGTCAGGGAAAAAAAAGGCCGTATGAACGATTTTTGGATCAGAGATAAATTGGGACATCAAGAATCATCATGCATTTGACATGAGCGACGTTCGAAACAGTGAGAGAGACTCGTTGCGGATTGGTTGTTTGTTCCTGTAGATGATCCGCAGAACTTTCGACATGGCATATGATCATGACCTTGCAAACAAGGTGAAATCGCCCGGAGATTTGTCTAGAATTTTGTCGTTGAAAATACATCAACATTCAGCGTCTTCGGGAATTGGCCGGAAAACAATTGTGTCATCGAAGTTGGTGGTCCAACAACGGCATGAAATGAAGCAGAGGTCGCCATAGTACTCAGCAAAGAGACAGAATATGATGCATGAACGCGCAACAACACAGCATGACGCAGTGAACGAAAAAAGCCGTGAAAAAGAGACAGAACGCAATAATACATCATGACGCGGTGGACAACATGCCGACGGTTATTAGTGCTTGTTGTAGAATGCTAATTGAAATCAGTGCCGTCTCATTGCAGAAAATTTGTTGGAGACGAGTGGGTCACAATGATTTCGCAAAACTACAGACTAGGTCAGCCAAATACTCTAGAAATAAATCGAAAGCGAACGTTACTAACGTGGCATCAATTTGCTTAACCTGAGGAAGCGCAAGCATTATCTTCCGTCTGTAACCTGTACCTTCGGCCTGTTGACAAGGATTACCTTCCAGGTAAATCGTTTCAAGGGATGCTATATTCTTGAGCTGCGGCTCGAGGGCTCGCAGATCAGCAACCTTATTGTTATTGAGCTGACCATAAAATGAGATTTGGGTTCTGTCGCAGTCAATAAGGCACGTACCCAGAGCTCCTCTAGTGATACCAAATGCGAGATATTTTCGATCGCTGGAACAAAGTTCGTACCAACGTCGAGCGTTCTTAGCTTTGTCTGCGCAAGAGCTTAAGCATGACAGCGGAACAATTAACCGAATACCTACGTTGTTCTCGAGACCTTCCAAACGCTCGACTCCATTGTGGCTCAGGTAGAGCTCTTCCAAATCAGCTAGTTGACCCAGACCCTCGATCTTCGTGATCCTGTTAGACTGAAGAGACAAAATTTTCAGTCTGCTCAGTGTACTCAGATTCTGTTGTGTTGTATGACTTTGAGCCTCAAACCATGATAATGCGATGCACTGCACTGCACCTCTAGTTTCGTGAGCTTGTTCTTTCCGAGCCACAATTCTTCCAGGTTGACCAATGCATCCAACCCTTCGATATGCTGGAGTACCAGCGTGAGCTATCCCTGCGAATGATTGGCTGATTGGCGCAAATTACCCGTATTCTATTCCCCCCAAGTTCGAGACTTCTTAATGTCCCTCCCACAGACTCTAAGCCGGTGATTTTAGAGATCTTGTTTTGAACGAAATACACGGTCTTCAAGGAACGTAGATGCGACAGTGCCTCCGGCACTTGTCGTAGAAGGTTGAATGAAAGGTCCAGAGTGCTACGCGACTTGAGAATACATCAGAGACTTAGAGTGAGAGAAACGTTACTCACGTTAGAGCGGACATATTGTCCAACGCATCTCCCACAGTCTTGAGTTTATTATCGTACAGGTCGAACTCTTCAAGCTGCGTGAGCAGTTTAAACACCTCTGGATCTAGATGTGATATAGCGTTTTGTCTCAGACATAGCTTCCTCAGATGCCTTGCGAACCGATCGAGTCGAAGATTAGTCAAAGAGCTCAACCGCGAGTGTACAAGTTCTAATTCCTAGTCATGCATGCCTCGATTAGGTAGACAATGAAAGACTGCGTAAGTACCCACGTCGGTTTCGTCCGGAAAGTCTTCCAACAGATCACCGTCATTTGCTTGCGATCCATCCGCCTCGGCTTCCCCATCGGAGTCACCATCTACCGCAGGAGGTGGTAATGCGACACGAGCTGTGGGGCTACCAACGGGTCAAGATGCGTTGAACCGGAACTTGACATTGGAGCTCACCGTTCAACGATTCCATTTTTTTCATGACTCGCGCACTCCACTGATTGTTCATCCGGCCGGTGCATGATGAGATGACAGGTCCGTGTGAGCACTAAGCAAGCCAAGGACGATATAGATCCGAAGGCTAAGTACTGAGCCTTATGGGACTTACATAACTAGCGTGGCTTCTTGTGGCTGTGTAGAAGGAATGACAAACTTTGACCTTGTAATGGAGACTCAGACCGTGCCATTGAAATTCTGACTATGAGAACAGACCATATTATAGGTGGCTCTGAACGATAGATCTGAGCTGCGTGTAGTATCAGTTACGCAGGATTCCCCCCATCATTTATGTAGCTGACTTGACACTGGCACTGCATAAAAGAAATTTATTCAGGGCGATCCTTGACCCGTCTGCGAGTTGATCGGCGTAGCAAAGTTTTGAGGATCGCGATTTCACGACCAGAAACGTGGGCAAGCACGAGTACAATCGATGGTCCGACCGCAACCAAACTCCTGATTTTATGATTTCAAATTAGCATATCCACTACGGTAAAACTACACAAGGCGTGTATCCATGTGTTGGTTGCACTATGTAAGTCCGAAAGGAACAACCCGGCGAATTGCATCAATAATATTATATTTTGGCGAGGAAGGTGTGCTTGCACCATTGGCCGAAAGAAATGAACCGGAAACATAAAAATACTGAAACGTAGCATTTCACAGAAACAGGGCCAAGGTGTCGCATAACGCTCGTGTAAGCTTCAAGTCGTTCCAGGGCGCGGTCACCGGAATCTGCTACGCTCTGGTGAGGAAGGCAGTGAAGTCAGGTGGCGATCCTGCGTTTTTGCCCGTTCAAAAGCGGTAGGATTTGATGAGGGCGAGGGATAAGGGTGATACGACCCGCTGCGAGATGACGAGCCAGGCACATCATCCTGTCCTCGTGGTGGACGGAGAGTTAGTTGACCCGAAGATAACGGAGATGGGGAGGGTTGGAAAGGGCTGGACGCGTGATAAGGGAATGTACGACCATCAACTCGTGGTTGATGATGCGACGGTCCAGAGGAGGGCTGAGAAGGGTGGTAGTGAACAAAATTGAGACCAGGCAGCGGAGGTGATGGTGAAGGTCGGTTATCTTCTGGTGCTACAGGGCTTGGTTGAGAGTAAGGTTCACTACCAGATCCAGAGCCAACAGATGATGGGGAAGCAAATGTGCTCCCTTCAAGAGCACCGCGACGAACTGTCGAAGGAGCGCCGGCAATAGGTATTGGAGGAGTAGACGGCACCGCAGACTCCTCATTAGCCGTAACGGCTCCGGTCTTGTCTTTCTTCCGACGCTGTGTCGACACCACGTGTCCTTCCTTCTTAGCACGAGAACGGGCGTAGCGTAAGCCACATCTGGTCAATGAAGCAGAAGACAAGTAAATATTAGTAAGTAGTCTCGTCGCATGTTGTGGTATCACCCACGCGTTACAGAGTTCCTTTCTGCCACTTGGGCCCTTCCTCCATTCAGGGCTAGACGTTGCCTTGCAACTACTGCATTTGAGAACACCGAGAGGGCGATTATTGGTGCTACGTGGCAGTGTGTCCTTGTGTGTTCCGGGGCTCACTCGGTGCCTTGGAGGAGGTACAATGTCGGTACCACAGGGCGGCGCCGGCGGTACACTGGCCTCGAATGCTTCGAAGCCGGCCTTGGTACTGTAGTCCTCAGGACTAGGTGTAGCTTGATAGTTACTTAAGGACGCTCTGTTCTCGCCATAAATTGGAGACGGTGATGGTCTCGAGTAAGGCGACTCGCGCAATGTGCATGAAGACGATGGGAGGGATGCCATAGAATGTGCAGGGCTTTGAGCAGGCCACCTGTTAAACTGGGAAAGCGAGGAGGAAGGTTCCGGATAACTCCCCCAGGGCGAGTGAGAGTATTGGGACGTCACAGACTGCGTGTAGTGCCCGTAAGATTGTGGCATCGAGGTAGACACAGGCGGGAGTGTGTACGGGCTTGCCGACATGTCATAGGGGTGATGTTGGCTGTGTGCAGGCATGTAGGGGTCTGTCGACCTCGTGAACGGCTGAGACTGAGAATAAGAGACAGACAAGCTCCGCGAAGCAGGCTGTTGGATGGTGTGGCATGCAAACGTTATTGAACCTATATCCGCTTGCTTAATAGAAGCACATGGAGTTTCATCAAGGAAGCGCTTACCATGAGGGATGAACACGCTTTCTACTTCGCCTATTCCAGGCATTGTATCTTGGATTCTCCAACGTCTCGTGCAACTCGTCTTCGCGCTGTTATCCCGAGTGGACGTTTGGATGCCCACCGCTCGCCTTGCAAAGTCTTTTGCTCCTGGCATACCAGGATACTCTTGGCTGCTGTCCGACGGCCAGCTCAACAGAAGACGACAGTCCTGCTGACTGTAATTGGAGTTGAACAAGATCTGGAAAACCCTAGTCGTAGCGGTTGATTGAGGCAAGTAGTATAGAAGCCGCTGTTGCAACAGTGATATCTGTTCTGGGTGCATGCATGGTGTGCCACACCAATTTGTCCATGGAGTTCTGTGATGTTCATCATTGTCACCAGGTTCAAGATCGACGACTGCATGGATAAAGCATAACACGAGGCCCTCTGCAGCCCAGTTAATGACGATGTCGACGACCATGTAGTAGGCATCCACGGAAACCTTGTCACCATCAGGCCACGGTTGAGTAGGCCCTTGATGACCGAGGATGCGACGGACGCGAGAGAGACGGCAATACCTGACCCTGGAAAAAAATGGGATCAAGATAAATCCGTTTTCAATTGGAATCGCTTACCTAGTAACACTACCGTGCATTGTCCTTTGTTCAAGAGCCTCTGCGAGATCAGCTCGTGCAGTAGCCTGCTCTTCGGGGTGAACAAAGGATAGGAGGGACTTGCCAATAAGCAAGTCGGCCTGGGTTTCGAGATGGTTGGCAAGAACGGGATCCAGATAGACAAAATCCAATTCGGACGATAATAAGGACCAGTCTAAAGGTGCCATAAAGTACAAATCATGGTTAGTGAAATCATTGACGATCAAAAGAAAATTACAGGATTGTGATCGGGTTGTGGATGCTCCGAAACAATCGGACTGGAGACCCTTTAGGGAATAATAGACTTTGGTAGACTCACAGCATCTGGTCTCGCCAACCTTTGGCAAAGATTGAGACATTGAATTGTCGGTAAAAGGTGGAAAGGGTGTTGAAGTTGAGAGGGCGGACATGCCCTGATGAGGATACCCTTCCAAGGAGGAAAGGGGTAGATGGGATCTATTTGGCTGGTTATGTATGGAAGAGAAGTCGCCCATGGGCTGGGTTACATGTTCAAGGCCTCGTTGCGTTGGCACGAGGAAGCTCATGGCTAGCTAGAAGCTTGAAAAACGAAGTCCCGTAAAGAGACTGCCAATAATAGTTTACAGTATGTTACAATCAGTGGGTCGTCAAACAACGGAGGTTGAAATCGGGATCGACGGGCCTTGAGAGTTACAACAATCGATCGAGCACAGGTAGGAGCGGGCACATTCGTCTAGGACGGAAGGAGGGTCCGGATAGTCTCAAAATTGACTTTCAGGTTCGACTTTTGTGCAACTTGTTTAAATAAACTAAATATCTCCGCTGATTTTATATCAGAACTCAGACTCCGTTTAATTCGCCTGCGTTCCATACCTCAGAAGGCACAAAATTCGTAAATTTAAGAGGCAGTACCACCGCATGCTGCTCTGTTTTCTAACGACATATTTCATCCTCATGACGGCGGTGCCGAGCTCACCCAGGGGAAGTTCCGATCAGCATAGATCCGAGATTTCAAACCAAGTAACTTCCACAAATTTCCTACCGTTAGAAGCATTCAAAATTTTCCGTAGCCTGCGGGCTCCTCGGCGTAGGTGGGCTCCATCTTCAGTGTCCGGAAATGAAACGTTCATCAACTGTGCACTGAGTGTGCCGATTGTGGCAAAAAAGTTGGTCCCGCATTTAAACCTGAATTCCCATTTCGGGACGTCTTCTTCGTCGACATCCTTTTACCAAACCAGTCCTCTCCAGTCGCTGATTGAGCCCCATCCCATCGATGCCCGTCCCAGCACGAGTTCAACCAGAAAAGAACATTTGGGTAGCTGCGGGCGATGGCGATTTAGTCAGGGTTCGAGTACGTAACTTGTCTTCGCTTACGGTAGGCGCTGAGTTTATCTCGTTCCTTCAGGAACTTATCGAACAGCAATGCAGGTATCATTTTATAGTTCACATGATGAGCTCTGATCCGGTCCCTTCCAGCCACGTCGCCCAATGCTCCCGATGAATTCACATACACTCCCATGCACGCTGCGGCATCATACGGGCAGCTTGAGATCCTAGCATACCTATTCTCTCAAGGTCAGTGATAAGATCCTTGGCCGCAAAATGTAAAAAAAACTTCCCTTCCAAGCACAGGAGGAGACGTCAATGTCACCGATGAAGACGGAGATACACCGCTATACGCTGTTGAAAATACCGAGACGGCACAATGGCTATTGGACCACGGGTCTACTTTAGACCATCAGAATAATGATGGTGTCTCCGTGCGTGAGCTTGAAAATGATGCATCACCTTTTCGCTGATATATAATATGCATCAGCCTATTGAACATTTACGAGAGGACTTTCCCGAAATTGCTGGATACCTGCAGTCACGCCTAAGTCCTTCCTCATGCGTGATGCCTGGGGCGGTGTCACCCTCGCGACCTTCTCAACATCAACAAAACATCGCAACGGAATCCCTCACGTCATCCCTCATGCAGTCTGTTCATGATATTATGCAGCGCTCTGAAGCAGATGGCCGGGATCCTGATGAGGAGCTGAGACAAGTCGTTGGCAGAACAGTGTTAGAAGGGGTAATAGCAGGGTATGAAATGACAACGGATAGCGACGCTGCACATAATTCCGAAGCTAACTCACCCAATGGAGTCAAGAGACCTCGAACGGATGGCTAATAGTAATTAATATTCTACCTGCCACCAATGTGGATCCATACAAGTCCATACTACGTACATAGCTCCTGGCTGTTTCACACTGAGAAAACGAATCACCCGATCGGATGATCGTCGTAACGATTAAACACTGATCATGATCACAGTCGATCAAATCAGCCGTCACCCGAGGGACGCTATCCGTAAAAAGTTACCACCCTCGGAGGCAACAGTTACTTCTTTAAGACATGTCTCATATGTTATGAGAACGGGATTGGAAGTCCAAAATACCTGAGACCCGGATGTCCGCAGCCGGAGTGAAGGGTGTGCGCCCAGGCTCAGCACAGCCCAGCACCAACCAGCACCAACTCCGTTAATCCTTTCGAATTTATCCGATCGAAACTGCTCACGTTCGTGGAGTGAGAATAGATGGGAACGTGTAACGTTTTGAACTGGTACAAAGTTTCCGAGGAAGTTCGTTGATTACGACGACGTGTTCGAAGGTGACTAGGGTATTGAAGCTATGCCTTTGTGGCGCCTTTGCCCATGAGCCGCGGGGAGAATCAGTTTTGGGGTGATTCTGGGCGATTATCTATTGGCACAGCGGAAGACCTGTGTGATGCAAATATGTCCATGGAGATCCCACGGGTATGGGCAGGGCTGGCACGAGTATTTTGGATAGCAGTTAATTCACCCGACATCAATCATGACTTGTCTGAGAAGCAAAACATAAGCCTTCTACATGAACACGTTTGTGGGTGCAGAGGTTCGGAAAGTCGCGAAATGAGTAGAAGAATGAAGGAGGTCGCAAGGGTTTGGAGACTTTAAATTTGTGATTTCAGTGTGTGTCCAAGGTTAGATATAAAACGCGATACGACGCGTTTATAAACATGCGTTTTCTTCAGATTGCCTGTTTAGGATACTCACTTCTCTTCCTCCAAGATCATGACAGACGCTGCAAGCTTAGCTTCTTGTTTCACTTTTGATGACATTTCACAGGCATCTGCACGCATCGATGGATCTGATAAGACTCCCATTCTGAAATTAATCAGTGAAAGTCACGCCAAGGGTTATGACTTTGTCTGTCTTCCTTTGACTACCCCAAAATGGAGAGAGCGATGGAGAAATATGTGCATCGTGCCATCAGCAAATGCAAATGACACTGATGAAAATGCCACTGCAGAACAGCAGGCGGAGGCATGGAGGAAAGCACCGTCTTTCCTGCACGAGGAGGTGACCATCTCGAGACTTGGTAAGTGAGATCAACGAATCATGTCCTCAATCATGCATCCTGAGTGGCAATGCGATAGATGAGGCGGAGCCTGTAATTGTGATGGCGTCAGACTGGCTTCAGCTTGACTCAACGGATGACTGGGTTAGGCATGACTCAGAGATCGTGAGTCCATTCTGTGAAAAAAAATCACGCTTACCAGCGTTGTGGAGCTATCTTCGCGGAGCTTACTATTGTTCTGCACTAACCCGAATCTGATTTTTCAGGCATTGCGCCAGGAAGTGGCCTACGCGTCATATCTCAATGTCCAGACGGTCATTTTACCTCCACCTAGGCATCGATCACAAGTTGCATCATATGCGCGCGCCATAAACGAATGTCTCAAAAATACAACTTATATGAACTTCTCGATACGTCTTCCTATCTACGATCCTGCCGTCTTTCAACCGAAAGAATCGCCACCTATTCCCCCTTCGACATTGAGCACATCGTCAACCCCATCTGCACCCTCAACGCCGAAAATTGTGATACCGCGAGCTTCCACGTCAAAATCCTTGAAGGCCGCACGGGCTCCCGAAGGAGAGATAAATGCAACCTGGGAGATGTGGGACATAATACGCACACTGTGTGACTATAACACACGCTTGACGCTCAGTATGCATACGCTTTACGTCTTGGAGACAGTACTTGACGAGCTGAATTCCAGCACTCGATCTCACCCTGCCATTACCTTCTAATGCCGGCATACTCAACAGATGGATAGCTGAACCCGTTCACCATATATTCCTCCCCGCGTCCACGTTTATCGCAAATGTGAAGGGCTACCCTGTCCTTCCCAAGGGTACACAATCCTTTCTACGCAATAGCATGGCGGTGAGTTAACGCTGTATTTCTGCTATTGGGCAGATGATGAAACAAGAATCGATTAGCATCACCCTATCATCATCATGTCAGGGGTTAGCTCGGGGTTACATACCAAGGGTGGCGAATCAGCATATGCACAATATGTGCGACATGTCGAGAAGACAAGCTCGGCTGTTCAGGCAGCAATGACGGCAGGGACAGTTGAGCACTTCGCTCAGGGTTATCAAGACTACCTCCAGAACCCCCTACAAGTTGATACATACACCTCATTTCCGCATCCTATCGTACTGATGTCTGTCTAGCCGCTGATGGACAACCTCCAGAGCATTACGTATCAAACATTCGAACAGGACCCTGTGAAATACCGCAATTATGAAGAGGTGCGTTTCATCTGTTATGAACCGAAGTTGTACAGTGACACGTGAAATATGTAGGCCGTGTATCACGCGTTGATGGACTGGCCTGATAGTGATCACATGTGCGAATCAAATTTGGCATGTATTACAAGGCTTAACCCTTCTTCGCAGTGTGATTTGCGTTGCTGGGGCAGGCCGTGGCCCCCTTGTCGAACGAAGTTTGACGGCCATCAAGAGATCGGGAAGAAGTGCCTACGTGTACGCAGTTGAGAAGAACCCAAATGCCTTTGTGACGTCTGTTTGGCTCTCATCATCTTCACATTGACGTCTGACTGTAAATAGGCTTCAGGGCCGGAAACAAAATGAATGGGGTGACTCTGTTCAGCTGTTTTTTGGCGACATGCGGCATGTGGAGCTCCCTGAGCAAGTGGACATCCTCATCACTGAATTACTCGGTTCGTTCGGCGATAACGAGCTAAGTCCGGAGTGTCTCGACGGCGCAATGAGGTTTTTGAAACGTGCGGATTGTTTACGCTCATCACCTCATTTCGCTAACCGTTCTCCAGCTGATGGTATCTCCATCCCATCATCGTACAGCGCCCATCTCGCTCCGCTATCTTCATCGAAGTTGTACAATAACGCGCGAATCAGTAGAGAAATCAAAGGCATGGAAACACCATATGTGGTGATGTTCCAAAACGTCAACATCCTAAGTGGGGAGGGCGGAGGAGTATCAGGCCGCTGTGGGCGTAAGATTCAACAATGCTGGGAATTTGAGCATCCGCGAAAAGATGCGACCGTTGATGAACGAGGTAAACCTGAATAGCGGACCTTCGGGTTAGACGGACGCTAATTACGTCGAGTGTCTAGGCTTACCCCTGACGAATAGTCACAATGTCCGCTCCGCAAAGCTGTCATTCCATATTCCTCATGCTGGAGTTATGCACGGGCTTGCCGGTTATTTCGAAGCCGTCCTCTATGGGCATGTTGGTCTTAGCATTCATCCGCATAGTAAAGATCGGGTGTCGAAGAACATGCTGAGCTGGTTCCCGCTCTTCTTCCCATTCAAAGTAGGTGTTTTCATTGACATTCCCTGGTGGCTCTGGTTGACATTCATTCGCCCAGGAACCTCTTTACCTACCTAGCAATTCAGAACTGCACGTATCAATCTGGCGACTTACGAATGAGCGGCAGGTATGGTACGAGTGGTACGCCGAGTCGTTTTTGCCCGTGTTCAGTACTCCATCGTCACCTGAACACTCGGAGGATACGTCAGGAGATGGGTCCTTCTTCGCATGTACTTCAACTCATGTTGCAGTCCCGAGTCCTGTGATCGACGCCATCGATGCATTTCCATCTTTAGAGCGTTCTGAATTGCGCAAGAGTGGAGAAGAACCATCGAGGTCTACTGCGGGCGTTATCAAAATTGGGCAGACTTCGCTGCACAATCCTGGGGGACGAAGCAGTTGGATTGGATTATGAGGGGCATTTTACTGGCATGCACGCATGCATGCGGGCTCCAAGGTGATTGTCGAGCATGTTGTCACTTGCATGCTCTTTTAATGTTACATAACAAGATTGTCTTTGCCCCAAAAAGAACTGTTTGTGATACGAAGTTTGAAGTGTAATTATGCTTCATATGGTCTCACTTATCCAATCGTAACGGCGCCCGGCTTGCTTATTCCTGGCATGTTTTGTGTCCATTGAACTAAACGCAGTCCATTTCATTTTGCGTTGGCAAGTAACTGCTAATCCTTTCTACTGTCAATGCATGTTGTTTTTCCACTCATATTGCAGACGTCTTGACCAGTCTTAGCCAAGTGGTAAGGACAGAAATCAGTTGCAGGTTCGAAACCTGCTCAACAATCTTTTTTTCTTTTACCATACCTTGAAATTCACCCATGGATGGATCCTTCAAGGTCATAGTCAACTTGAACAGATTAAAAATCTGCTCTCTTTGGTGGTGTGGATCTGAAACCTGCCAACAAATGATTTTCCCTGAGGACCGAGGTGCATAGCAGCATACGTGCCAACCAAGATTCTCGACACTGACCAGAACCGAACAAAAAATGTTTACATAATGGGGCCGGAAGCCAGAAGAAGGCCGGCACGCAAGCTAAAGACAGGGTGCCACAAAATGATGGAACCTCCCCACCTTTAAATTTCAAGTCATCCTTGGTTGCATTAGAAGAGCCAACGACCGAAGGAGTGGCCATTGATGAGGCATCAGCGAGGCTGGAAGAATTGAAAGTGGCAGATCGAGCCATGTCGTTCTGATGCCGCCGCTGGGTAGTTTGCGTGCACTCTTGTTTTATGTCGATGCTGAGGCAGAACAAAAGATTTATTTTCGATTCCAGCGGAAAGACCTGGGCACCGGACAGAGATATCAACAGAGGTCGACGCGAAACTGTAAAACACCCCATAACAGAAGGCTTGAGACACCATGCAGGAGTGACCCACTGAGGCACGCATAACAGAAAAGGGGGGTTCAGTGAGACAGACACAAAGACAAGTTGACAAGCCTACATATTTAACAAATAAGGTGTCAAATGATTGTAACCGAAAAGGCCAGAACACGGTAGCCGGCAGAATTTTCACGTTCAAGCAGACGCCTCCACAATCATAGCAGACTTTTGTTCTTGCCAGTCGCTCGATGACCCACTCATACTTTCATGATGGGTGGCAGACAGCCTGCAGACAGTCACACCAAACGGGAATGATCGATCGATAATATGGGAAGTGCCGGCGGAGTTACAAAGGAAATAGACGTATCCTGCCGACGAAGATCCTCCTCCACTTAAGGGAAGTTAATGCGTGATCGTTGCAGTTACTATTAGTAGTTCCACAAAGTCTCACCGCCTTGTAGAACAATATTTAGCCTCAACAAGTTTCGTTGCATGAAAATGCAGTTTGGTGTCAGCTGGTTTTGTTAGCATCAGTACCAGTCAGTTTGCGGCTGACAAGAAGAGCATTAGTTCAAATCCAAATGGAACAGACGATAGTTCGCGGAGGTTCAAAAATGACTCTGCCGTGGTGTCGGCAGGGCAACAAACTCTAAACTCCGCCAAGCCTTAAGAGTGCCGTCGTAACGGAAATATTCCATTTCCTTCTCGTACTTTTATTTTCTCGAAGTTCTTGATACAAAACACCCGACTCGCTATTCGCGCCGCACTCGTTCAACAAACTTATACCGACGATGAAGTTCACAACCGTTTTCGTGGCCCTCGTTTCCGCCGTTCCAGCCGTCTTTGGTCTTACCGTCAACACACCGTACGTGTTCTCTCTTAGGTCTCGTCGTACGGGAGTACTCATCGCGTGATGCAGGGCTGATGTTGTTGAGTGCCGTATGTACTCTCCTATCAATTGGTATCATGCTCTAACACGGCTCGTGTCCTCTAGAGCCTGTTTTGTTTAGTTGGTCTGGCGGAGTGCCTCCCTACTACTTGACCCTTGTGCCTGGTATGTCGTCTCGTGCAATTGATCAAGTGTTGTTTTGTTGACCCTTAATAGGCGGGCAATCGATGGCCTCACCTGTAAGTCATTGTTTTTTACACTGAAGCTGACCGGCCATCCTGAGACATTTTCGAACAGATCAAGTCCTTCCCTACACAAACGGGCACATCCTATACTTGGAACGTCGATCTTCAAGCCAACACTATCTTGTGAGTCACTCCGTGGAATTCTTGGAGACGTGCAGCTGACTGGGATCCAGCAACATCGCTCTCAAGGACAGTACCGGTACTACGGCATACTCTGACATCGTCACCATCATGTCTGGCAGCGACACTTCCTGCGTCAACACAGCAGTAAATGAGGGTGGCTCATCGAGTGGTAGCGCTGTTGCAAGTGGTACCTCTACCCCGACCGCTGGGTAAGCCGCAATTGTTCTGTGCGCCTTAGTGGCTTCTAAGTCATCTGCTCGCTTAGATCTTCTGCTTCTGCCTCTGGTGCCACCTCTTCTGGTGTTAAAACCTCTGCCACTACCACTGCATCCTCTGGTACGACTCAGAAGACCGGCGCTGCCAGTAGCCTTTCTGTCTCTTCGGCAATGGGTGTTGCCGGTGTGATGGGTCTCATTGGTGCTGCTCTCTTCTAAACATGATGATACGGACATGATCATGACGCGCGGCGGATTGTTGATTTGATACATATCACCTGTCTTTTCTCCGTTCCATATTACTCTTATTTTAGTCACTTGTTTTTGTTGGCAATGTTGCCTACTTTGTGCTCCTTTGTGCATTATAGAAGAGCATCTTTCATTTGTCAATATGAACCCTATCTCCTGGTGTGAAAGGGTCGTTGTGAAATCACAGAATCGAGATTGAATATTGTGCAGGGTGTCTCGTGAACGGTAGCACGTGACCAGTCGCGTAGACTTTCAAGCGGATAGCGGATTTCTGTTGAGTTTCTTTGCGCACGTCGCTTGCATTTTTTTGCAGCTGCGACTGGTCGGGTTCGCTCACAAGAACGAACTTTGCAATCTCTCTCTCTCACTCACTAGAACCATAGCACACTCCCTACTATCATTATTCGAGAACATGTCTATTGTGGCCGACAACGCTGTCGTCGCTGACGACCTGATATCTAATGGCCACCAGGTGCACGACGGTCCCGATTCTTTCGAGACACCTAGTAAGTTGGTGACTGACGGGGAGGTCGTCGAGGCCACTTCAAATGGTGTGCGAGAGTCTGCACTAGGTGTTGAAGACATTTCCGGAACCGGTGACAAGACCGATGATACCTTGGTAACTGCCTCCTCTGACGACACCCTCGCGGTGGAGACGTCTATCGAGGTTCTCAATGTGGTGTGTGCCACTCTTTGCTGCGTTATAGTTCTTGTGTGACCAAGTTGTATCCAGGGTAAGTTGGTCGACGATATGGGGCCAGAGGCACCTGCCCTGCACACCAGTGACTTTGATAAGGATAACACCACCTTTATCCATGACTTTGAGCCTCTCGCCAACGGCTACCACAAGTCTTTTTTCGTAGAAGAGTCCGAGCAACTTACAACTCTCACAATCGCCTCATGCGACAAGCCGGCGAGTCTCGCAGAACTCGTCCAAGAGGACGCGATTGAGTTTTCCGGTACGGTCATTTCAGAGATACCCAAGGTATGCAAATGCGCAGACATGTTTTTAACGCGTCCATTCTCCAACAATCAGCTACAGGACCAATTCCCAATCACTGACAGCTCAGGCACGGAAATACCCTTGCTCAATGTTGCCACAATTGTTGTGGAAGCTTCTAAAGCCTCTTTAGATGATAGAGAGCCTCCTATCGCTGCCAGCACCGGCCCTGACACGTCCCTATCAGACTTTGTTACGACTTCCATAAATGGCGTCGGGAGCACTACTGCTGCAGAGCCTTCTCACTATCAGGACGAGGCGCCCATCTCCCATCTCAGCACCAAAATGAGCTCAATTGCTGATATACTAGAAGAGGTTGTTGTCCCCCCTGCTGTTGAAGCAGAGGTGAGTCGTGCTTCTAATGCGACGTATTTCCCCTCATTTTGACGTCATTGCAGGAAATATCTCCCATGGCCGCAGAACCTGAACGGGCTGTCGCAGAAGTTGCATGTGACCCGATTGAAGCAGAAGCAAGCCCAATGGAAGTGGAGGCTTCGTCCGCCGGAGATGAGCCTGCGGTCACTGAGACCGTGTCAGCATCCATCGATTCTGTAGCAGAGACTGCTCCTGATGGTGAAAACATATCGACCGAACAAGAATCTGCGCTAATTGAAGCAGAATCCGCCCTGGTTGAAACACAATATTCCACAGCCGAACCAGGGATCACGCCAACGACGCCTGAAGCTGCACAAATTAAACCAACATCGTGCGAGGTCGTCGTAGAGAGTCTGGCTTATGAGCCTGACGCGGAACTCGCGGCAACTTCAGGGCCCACCCCCGAAGCTACCGAGTTGGAACCGATTGAAGATGCTGCAACAACTGCGGAACCCGGCACAGAAGTTGCCGAGTCCGATCCAACTGAAGAAACTGTGTTGGTGACGGAAGCAGTAGCCACTGCTGCACCAGCCGCGATATCAGGTACAGAGGGGGAATCTGTTGCAGAGGTCGATGCACGTGTCACAGCGGAAAAAGAGGCTAATAAGGAGCCGCAGGGTGCTATTGATGCTGAGGACGAGCCAGCCGGTCCCACCGAACCGGACGTGAAAGTGTTTGTTCCCGAGGTTGTTTCGGCTCCAGCTGAGGCTGTGGCAGGGCCAGATGTCCTGTCAACTGAATCAGAGGAAGCTGCCATCGCGCCAACTACGGCGCCCGAGGTCCCTGTCGAATCCGTCGTTGCTGCCGAAGCACAGTCTGTTGATGCACACGACTCCATTACAGCTGACTCAGAACCAGTCACAGTCCCTGACCCCGAGCCCATTACTGCCACTGAGACAGATTGTGCAACAGCAGCAGCAGAAACCGAACCTACCGCTGTCGAGTCGGAAGCGCCTGCAGCAGTTGATGCGGAGCTCACAGAGCCTGCAGTCCAGTCTATTGTAGTGGAGACTGTTCAGATCGATGTCGAGCCACCCAGCTCTAACGTGTCATTCGTTGAGGATCCTGAGGTGGACTTCGCGTATGATGATGAGCCGCAGACGCCTCTAGCTGAGGAGACTCCTGTGTTTGAGGAGCCAGTTTTGGACGCCGCTGGTGTGGAATCCGAGGTGCATGTAGAAGAGTCCTCTGTTGAAGAGATTGTGGAGGTCATTCCAATCGACGTTGTTCCTACAGGAGACTCTGCATCAGTTGAGAAAGTTGCAGCGGAGGAAGTTGCAGCGGTTGAAGAGGTTGTAACGGTCGAAGAACCCGCAGCGGTTGAAGAGACTGTACTGGTTGAGAAAACCACGGCGGTTGAAGAAACCATACATGCTGAAGAGGTCGTCCCAGTCGACGTTGCTATAGGAGAGTTCGCACCAGTCGAGGAGGTTCCCTCAGTCGAGGCTGTGGCAGTCGAAGAACATGCACCAGTCGAAGAGATCACTCTAGTTGAGGAAGTCACTCCTATTGAATCAACTGCTCCAGTCGAATCATTCCCGCCGGTCGAAGAGGCTGTTGTTGACGAAGCTGAGTCTGCTGTCGAAGAGCTCGCAGCTCCCGTTGACGATGGTTCGGCGTTGGAAGAAGCCATGCCTTCTGTCTATGCAGCCGATGTCGAAGCCCCTCTTCCCTCCGTCGAGGATCCCTCCCTTGAAGAGCCTGCCGCATCCATTGAGGAGCCTCTTGTTCCATACGACGAGGTATTCGCTGAAACAGCCGCCCCAGCAATCGAAGAGATCTCGTTCGTGGTAGATGCCTCAACCGTTGAAGAAACATCTGCTCCCCTTGTTGAGGAACGTTCTGCGCTCGCAGAAGTGGATGTGTCTGAATCAGCAACGGTCGAAGAACTCTCCACATCAGTAGAAGAGCATACGTCTGGTGCGGTCGAGGACTATCCGGGGCATGAAGACCAGCCTGTAGCAATCGAGGAAACTCCCACAGACGCAGTAGAGCCTGTCTCTGTTGATGATCGAATTCCTCCCATTATGGACGAGACAGCTCTCCTTGCAGAAGTGCCCTCGGATACTGACGGGCCTGGTCTTGTAGCAACTTCGACCACGGAAAAACCTTACGTGCCGGAAGAAGAGTCCGTCACTGTCGTTGTGTCTGACGAAAAGATCTCTGAAGTGGCAGTCGTCGCATCGGTCGAGGAGGATATCCTTGTGGTCGAGGAACCTCTCGAGCCCTCAGACGTAGAAGCGCGCGAACCAGTTGTGCATGAGGAAGCCGCAGCACCAATGGGAGACCATAAGTTAGTTGCAGTCGAGGATACGCCGGTGCCCAACGATCAGTCACTCACCATCGAGGAAACTTCCGCACCCGAAGAGGCATCTGTCTCTCTCGATGGTCAAATCCCTCCCGCTATGAACGAGATATTCCCCATTGCAGGAGTGCCCTCGGCTTCTGACGAGCCTGCACTTGATGACAGTCCAACCACCGAGGAACCTTCCGCGCCTGAAGACGAGCCTACCATCGCTTCCACTGTGGGGGTACCGCCAACAGCAGAAGAAGTCACTGCTGCGCCCGAAGAAATCACCTCGAAAGCGGAGGGGGCCATCCCAGTTTTCGAAGCGGCCCCCGCCACTCCCGCGGACCCAATGATTGACAATACCTCATCTCCTGAGGGAACTACAATCGTCGCCGAGGAGTCAACTGTTGAGTCTGACGCTTCCGTAACTGGACTACCCGTGGCTGTTGAAGAATCCGCTCCTGCTGCAAGCGAAGTGCCGGTCGTCGAAGTTGTTCTCGAAGAGGTCCACGCTGCCCTGGAGCACACTGAAGACGCCTTGTTTACCAGTGAAGAGACTAAGGAAGAAATTGAGGATCCGCAACATGCAGAGGCATCCGTGTCTTTGCCTGAGCAACCCTTCGTAGAGGAGTCTTTCCCTACAGCTCGTATCGTTGAGGAGTTCACGGCCGTACCCGTAGAGGGGTCCGAGATTTTAGAGGAGCTGCATGTGGTCACCTCTCAATTTCCTGTCAATGGGGAGTATTCTGAAGTCGACAAGGACTTGGAGCCTCCAATTACACATGCAGAGACCAAAGCAGTCGAGCAACCCGAAACCACCGTAGTCGAAGAGGTCACTGAACAGCAAGAGGTGTGTATGATCCGTTGTCACTATCCACGTTTTCTCAGACATGTTTTAGATTGCGACATCCCCAGCTCTCAACGTTGCTACCGACATTGAACGTCCCAATTCACCATGGACCCCTTCTTACAGCGTCATCACTCAAGGACCAGGCGTTCCCGTCGAGGATCATGTGAACGTCTATGAAGGCGATGATGACGACGCTGCTCCTACCCAGTCACAAACACCCGAGATCATTATCGATGAAGTAGCCGCGGTCGTTCCAGAGATTACAGCTGATGTGGAAGTGTCCGGACAATCCCAAGTTGAGGTTTTACAATTGACAGAAGAACAGGTATAATTTTACCCCTGTTGCCTTTCTGCCTTGGACTTAACTCGGGGATAGGTTAGGCTCGACGAACCGGAAGAGCCTTGCCTTAAATCACCTTGGACGCCTTCTTACTCAGTGACTGTACAAGGCAACGTTGCTCAGACTAATGAGGGACTTGATGACTTGGAGCAACTTCCCCCAAGTGCTGCCCAGTTTGTTGCAGCTGAAGGATTTGAAGAGCAATCTGTTCCTTTCGCAGGAGCACTCATTTCTGGCGAGGTAATCAGTTCTGCCACAATCGTTGCAGACATACATGCTACGCTTTCGGCAATGCTAGACGAGTCAGATATTCCTGATTCAGCGGCTCCCCAGGATGTCGCTTCGGAGCAAGGTATCATCGCTCAAGCAGAACCTTCGGTACCGACTCCACCTACGGTGGAGGAAGTGCCTGAGGAGGACATTGAACAGGGATCGTTCATCGTCGTCGACGAGAGTACGGTAGGTTACTACTTATTTATGCGAAGATTAGCCACGCTAAGTGTTTTTTAACAGCAATTGGGTGCTACCGACCCTGACGGAGAGTGCAGTAGTTCTCCCTGGACGCCGTCCTACTCAGTAACTGGACTTGAACCAGCATCTGCACTTGACGGTCAAGCAGCTGCTAAGGACGGCGAGTTTGTTGAACATGGTTCATTTATCATTGAGACCCAACCACCTGTAAGATTGTATTGGTATCGAGCTTTACATTTACTGAAAATCCCGTAGGCTGTTGTAGAGGATGTTCCTGAGGTTAAATCTGACTCAGGGCTTCTGACGCCCGTCGATGACCCTGTTGGAGAAAGACCAAAGTCGCCGTGGACCCCTTCGTACTCTGTCACCAAGCAGGGACCGAATGATAGTGTTGAAGAAGCGGAGGAGCTTGACGAATTAGAGCATCTGCCTGGTCCACTCTCTAGCGCTCCTCCCTTTGTGGCTGACAAGGAGCCCATCCCGCCTGTCCTCATCACCGAGACGCGAGCGTCTGTAGATGAGCCTACCATGGCAGAGACTCCCTCGTGCTTCGAGGGTGACGCGACTGTTTCAGACCTCTCCGAGACATATGACGACGTTGAGGCCAGTGGAGCTCCAATCGCCCGAGAGATTTTCCCTGTTCTCGAAGAGCCACGGAAAATCGCCAACAAGTCAGTCCATGTTTCCCTCACTTCCTTCCTTATTCCTGACTCCGTGCATTCAGGCCAAGCTTGTCTGCCGTCGACGAGCTCAACGCCGCCGAGGTCACCGAATCCAGCACCCTCCGCATCGATATTCCCGCCAACAACGGAGCCAATCGCAACAGACTGGAGTCCACTACCTCTTCTCGTTTCTTCCCTGGTGGATGGTTCTCCTCTTCACCCAAGGTTCCTGAAGAAGGTCGCACATCGCTCGACGTTGCAGCTGGAGAATTCGTTCATAAGTCCTCAGTCGAAAACACTCCAACCACTGCTCCAACCACTGCCCTCCCCTCCGCTGTCGAGGAAGACAGGGAAAAGAAGTCTCGTTGGTGCACAATCATGTGAAAGGCAGCGTCCGCCACCACCTTATGCATCTGAATTCTTGAAACTTATCATCGTTTTTATCATTTTCACTCTCGTTCTCTACTCTACTTTCTACTATGCATGACCCTTAACGACAAGCAACGACTGCATATTCATATTTACTTTCAAGCGGATTCTGATACTGACATAAACCTCTTGTATTTCGGCTAATTTTCACTCTTGTCAATACGCTGTTTGCACTTGAAGCCTCTTAGATTGGTGGATGTTCATCCAAACATAACCGACCTTAGCTCAGTTGGAAGAGCGCGAGACTGTAACTGGATAAATTCATCTTGAGGTCGCCTGTTCGAGCCAGGCAGGTCGGATATTTTTCAGTGATGTTTCAAGTTTTCAACTTCAATCTTGAAACATCACTCCAAAAGATCCGCCATCGGGGGGGGGGGGAAGACGTTTTTGGTAACATCGTCGTTAAACGAACACATGTTGGCGTGTTCAGTGTCAGGAGATGTTAGGTCACAGAAACGCGACAGCCGCACCGAATTCGAGCTGGTAACATGTGTTTTTTGTGGTCAGTGCTACCGTATGCGAGTGCACCGCGACTGTTTGTACTACCTTCCTGGTATAATGATTCCTCCGGGGGAATTGTTTGTTCATCTACTGTATCGTAATTAAATGAATGCGACTGTTCCTTTGATTCGAGGTAAAAGAAACTTTAACAGAAAGGATGGGGTGGTCCCAGGTGGAGACTCCCCCACATGTACTGCATAGTATATAGTTACAATTATATACCTAACCAGAGAGGACTGCATAAGTTCTGTACCGTATACGTCACATTTCATCTCTTTCACGTACGTACTACGTATCATACTATTCATACGGTCACTCATGGAAGAACAAGCCAATGAACACACATTTGTTCAATGCCCTCTGATCAATATAGGCGTAGGGAACCGCACGGGTATCGGCAACGCACGTTTCGATCGTGAGAATGTTTACGATTCATGCATGAGCACTTCATAGGGATATCCGGTTGGGCAAGTGGGTATGCTCAACTCACAGTACAGTGGTAGACACATTACACGGTGCCAGTGATTTGCATATTGATTCAGTTTTCAAATCACATCGGATGAATAAATACATGTGTTGTATCTTGGCTGCATTTCATGACGCGCACCTAGGTCCCATGGTCATGTAACACATCAACAGTACTATCCAAGACCAGGCCTGTTCAGTGTTAATGCACTAGGACAGTACAAGAGAGCTAGATCATGATGTCGAATGGTCAATCGCGGATGACCAATATATTCGGAAGAAGTGACGTTTTGTGATGAATTCGGTATTTCGTAGAAAGTGTCAATGATACAGAAACGCCATTTGCCTGATATTATTTTGCCGAAGATCTTGTTAACCCGGCAAACCAACCAGTTTCCCGTTGACGAAGTACACCATTGCCTACGCCATATGGCGAGTGACATTGGCAATGCCGTTGAGGGCTTGAGGCGCAGATGTCGCAAACGTATGAAGGTGAACCACCCTGAATTTCGCGTGTTTTGCCGTGTCTGCATAGTATGAAACGCATCAGTCTCTCTGCGGATATCAGGAAAGACTGTCACTGACGTTTGTTTACAAGTGATCCGGCAGGAGCTGCAAGTATCAGAGTGTTCACTACTGAAAATACACCAGCGCGAATAGCAGTCTTGGGGAGGCTCTGCGTATGCTGATTTTCGCTGTTAGAAATAACGTGATGAGTCGAATGGCTTCAAAGCTCTTTCAAACGTAGATGATTACGGTACCCTCGTTCTTTTCATTCGCATACGACAACCGCCTTTCGTTTTCGTCGAAAAGTGGTTCGTTTTGGTGGCACTTGAAGCAGGTGCGAATGGGGACTACAAAGTAACACATGACGGCGATGCTACGAAGATCAAAAGTCAAGATGTCACCAGTCCTAAAGGCAAAGAATGCGCACCAACACAAACAGTGAGTCCAATATTCAGAGAATGTAAAGTTCTGAAGTCTGCCATGAGGCGGCCTGGTTATATATACCAGATGAAACTGTGGCACCGTTTCTAAGACTTCTGATCCACAAAGGTTTCCATTGTTGAATGACGTGGGTGCATACAATCGGGACGCTGGTCGCAGTGGACTGGCTGGATACTGGTCTATTTCGGGATGTGACCACGACGTATGAGTAATGCTTGTCCCTGTCTAGATCCTATAAGTATGGCACGATAAGTCGAGACATCCATAGAGTCAGACATGTGGATTCGTGATCAATCACGATCATATGCCTCGCTCTGCGGATTTCTTGATCGATATGTAGGCTAGCTTGGAGTCAGGACTCATGATCACAGGCCTCCCTGACTCGGAATAGTGAATCCGTCTGACAAAACGTAGACACACATAGACATGCATTGTGGTGATCCGTGAATTGCCTGCTAGAAAGTCTAAGTTGCCTGCGGGAAAAGAGAGTTAACGATCTCCGTGTAAAATGAAAGCTCGGGAATTCTTTCTCACGCCTGCGCTCCTCAAAGCTTGCATGCACATGCGGAAATAAAGTTTGATCTACGACTCGGACAGGCTGGATGTATAAATTGTTGTATAATATATCCAGGTACATATGGGCCACAAGGATCAGCGAGATGACTTAAAAGAAGCTCTCCGGAAGAGGGACGAACAGGTCAGTGGTATAGCAGTCAGTCAGGGTAATATTATTGATGAATACATTAATGTAGATTATCTGCCTGGAGGCTCGGATAGACGCCTATATTGCTCGAACATCAGAGACGCAGGCTCGCCTTCTCAAAACTATTGACACTGTCGACTCTCTAAAGGCTCAACATGCAATAGACTTGGCGGCGAAGGAACACGAGAGGGTAACCTTGTCCCATGAAATTGAACGTTGGAGAACCTTTGCGAAGGTGCTCGAAGTTGAGCGGGATGATCTCAAAAATGTCGTTGAGGACTTGATTCAGAAAGGTGCATAGCAATCTGCAAACGGATGCGTGTCTCACTCATGTATTGTTGCATTTCTTAGTCCAGATGTCCAGTGACTGGAGTATGTGGCCTTGCAGTCGCATGGATATAACAGAACATCTACGTCTGTCCATCCATTCAATAGCTTCGCAGACGTCGAGACTAAATGCCGAAAATTACACCCAGATCAACTCCCTGAAAACCGTTTTAAACCCAGTGATACAAGCTGCAGGGATTCTGAGGATATCTTGGAGTACGGTGTTTCTGTCATAACTAGGCTTCGCACCGAACTTGACCATGAGCGCAAAGCCCACTGCAAGGTCGTGGAAGAAGCCAACCTCCGTATATCTGAACTGGAGGCTAAAGTTGCTGCACGCGAGGTCGTACTAGAAGCATCCATTCGACACCATAAAATGGGGGATAAGTCGCCGCTGGATCGTTCTCGAGCCCCCGAAAGCGAAATACTGCCTCAAAAACCAATGACCGACGAAGACTGTCTCCGTGCATTAGCGGACAGCAACACTAGAAATAAATCTCTTGAGATTGAAATAAGGAGTTTAGCACAAAAAGTGGGTGGTTACATTTTTTCCACCGCTGATACAGTCCTATTGATTACGCGCTTGCTGTAGCTTGAGCGCGTGCGGGGCTCCGTGGCTTCACCTACACGCATTTCAGCAGATGCAACCCCCGTTGTTGGCCCCTCGTCACCGCCGAGAATTGCTTCTCCCGATCACCCGCACCAATTAGTCATCACGAGGAAACCTCTGACAACTGTTACCGAAACCCATTTTACACCAACACTGCATACAGTATCTACCCTGCCAGCCGACTCGCATGTAGTCACACGGCCATCATCTTACAATAGTCCCACAGCTTCGTCTGATTCTGCATCGCAACGCTCTATTGCGCAGCTGGATGGTCAGATTAACTCATACATCTCCCAACTTGATGCCTTTAAAGCAGAGAGGAAGGTACTGGTTGAGCTGGCCGTAAGGAAACGCAGAGTCTGTGACACGTCAATCATTACGTCATATCACTGAATAATTTTTGCAGGTGTCCAATGGAGGGGATCCTCCCGATTTCCCACAAATCCTAGTTATCGAGGAGGAATGTGTGAGGTAGGGCCCTTAGCATCATCGTATCATCTGTGCTCTCATCCTTACCGTGGTGTAGACTGGCCTCTCAGGTCTCGCATCTGGAACAAGAACTTCAGCATAGTCGAAGTTCTGCCAAGTCCCGCGAACATGAGTTGCTAAAGGAAATCGAGGCTCTCAAGCTGTCGATGCATCAGCATTCGCCAGTATGTGCCACCGTCCGTGCAAGAGAGACGCTGTAGCTCACCGAATTACCAGAATCTTTATCACGCATACGATGCTCAGCATTTGGATGATGGCATAGAGGTAGAAAAGAACATGGAGCTGGCGACACCTCTACAGCCCACCGCTATTCTGTCATGGAACGATCCTGGTTTGACATCTTTTCCTATGGACCCGTTACTGATTCCGCTCCCCTTCTCACCTGAAAGAGATTCATCCCCTACCATCTCATCCTCTCGTCCACTGCCACGCCCTTCCAGCCCCCATCCTGTAAAACTCAGGCGACTTGAAGAGGAATTGGAGGTAGCCAGGGCTCAACTGGCCACGAAGCAGCTGGCCCTCGATCAGCTCAAATCCGATATGGAAGAACTCGAACGCTTACTCCCAGAAGAGCCGCCGTGATCTTCAAGATAAAATGTATTACTATGTACTCTTTTTGATTTTGCCTTGCTCTCGCGCGCACATCTATTAGTATCTAATGGGGCTCGAAGTTTGTCTGTTGATATTTCTGCCATATGTATCTTGTATCTGTATGACCAAGTAGCACTGGTATACTGTATTTTACACTACCTCAGCCTATCATTCACCCTCCGTTATATGTGAGTTAACAAGGGCCTTGCAATCTCCTCAGCACCGTGACTACCAGCTTGTTATTTCACGGGAACATAAAGCAATTCCATACGCATATTGCTCCACGGATGATTTCGATCAGGTGTCCTTTTCACAAAGTCAACTTGTGGGGGAGGTGCTGCGACTCTGTGAACCTCTTCTTCAACCTCAGACTCAGCACGAGATGCCGGACGGGATGAGACAGGGGTGTTCGTGTATGATGAGACAGTGTATTTCTTCGTCTTGGAGTTCAGAGATAATATTTTGTGCGTCTGGGCCACGGGACGAGAAGGCGTGCTCGACAGAACGGGTGGTGTGGCAGAACCAGGGAGAACAGGGAACGCGCCCTCCGCATCGCGTGCTTGCTGGATAATTCGCAACTTCTCCTCTTCCTCTTTTGCTACTTGCTTGGATATCTCCTCATCAAAATGGACAGAAAGCGAGGAACGCGCGATGTCTGAGAGGAGCACTGCAGAACAGTGCGGGCATGCGTAGTAGGGCAAGTTGATAGTGCATAGGATCAATCCACAACCGCGGCATATGGGGGCGTATGGGGAAAGGTCATGTTCTCTTGCTGGATTTAATTTCAGCGTCATAAGCTCAGATCAGTTGAAGAGCCCTTGCCTTGGCAGAAACATCCGCCCTTCGGATCCTTCTCTCTACCAGACGACTTGCGAACGCCCTCGGCGAGCGATTCGAGCTTACGGATCGCTTTGCTTTTGGAAGGTTCTTGGGTTTTACCCTTTCCTTTGCTTTGTTTTTGGGGGGCATGTTGTGGGCGCTGCACAGGACGTAGACGGTCAGAGGGCACAGAGCCTGCAGCTTTAGACCAAGCAGTGCCTTGCCGCATGACGGTGATGATGATCCAGTTCCTGAAGTCAACTTTAACCAGCTACATCATGGATCTCCGGAGCCGCATTGAGTCATTTCCTACCGGCAACAGCCAGACATGTATTAAGCACGAGATAACGTCACATGATGCTGTGTTTTAACTGTTTTTTACGGTTCTTTGCTCAGTACTATGGGGATCTCTGCTTCATTTCACGGCGTTGTTGGACCACAAACTTCGACGACACCATTGACGTCCTCTTCCCAGCAATTCTCGAAGACGCTGAAAGCTGTCTTGATCGTGCATTCCTTTCCCCTCTGAACGTCTATGTTGATGGATTTTCAGTGACAAAATTCTAGACAACTTGCCAGGCGATTTTTGTAAGTATCGCAAGTGATATCAATCACACATTTCACTGACGAAGCCATGTAGAATCTTATTTTAGTTCAGACAGCCTGAAAGAAGCTGAGCAGACTCGATTGAACGCACCAGAATACACACTCGACTATCTTGCAATGTTAACCCATCCTGGAGTATGTAACCTCTCGGTAGAAATGGGATTCGTCAGAAACGCGCGGTCGTGCTGCATCGTCGCTTCCTCAACCAATCTCCAACTTCTCAATACATTTGAAAGCCACTGCATCCTTCGCATTCCATACAAACCGTTCGTCATGGACAGTGAACCGAGGACAGTTGCCTCTGCGACCTGCATATGCAACTACATTAAATGGATGTCAAGGTTTGACGCTAACGCAAATCGTGCTCGAGCTCCCGACCGCACAAGGAGCGCACATTACTCTTCTCTTGCCATCACAAACCAGCTGCGAATCGTTCCACCCGCTTACAATGTGTAGACGACGTGTAACTAAACCTGACCCACTTACGAAAATCCTAATGTGGTCCGTGGAATATAGCGCGCAGCATCTGAACATCGTGCTCAGCCATGATTAACTGTCCGTCTTCTGCTCCATCAGGTCTCCAGAGATGCTCCCCTCGGTATACATTCATCGGGTATCGGATTTCGCCTATCTTCCCCGACCAGTCGAAATCCACTAATTTTATTCCAGAACTGCCGTCTTTTTTCACCATGATGTTTATGTCGCGAATGTCTCCATGAATAAGACCATTTTGATGAAGATATTCGAGTTTCTGAGCAATTTCGTCTTGATGAGAGTGAGGAGCAGAACATTCCCGCAGACAAATGTAATCGTTCTCAAATAACTCCATGACGACCATGTACCACCCACCGGGCAGGTAATCAAGGCCGTACAGCGCTGGAGCGAAGTCCTCAGAAGCACACAGCTTATGTACATCCATCGAGTAGCGACGGACAAACTTGGCGCAGATCATCTTCTTGTTCATCGTTTGGGCGGCAAAGATCAACTTTGTATTGTCCATTTGGTAGATGTATCTGAAATGAAGGGTCGACGACGTCTCGATGCAGGTATAAGAACGCTGGAATGGAAATGCGGTAACAGGATTGAGGTCTGGATTGAGAGTTGGGGAACTAGCATTTGAATCCATAGTCTCGCAGTATTCATTCAGGGACCGAAGAGCTTTTCTGAGTGCACCAACATGGCGTGCGACGGACGTACGCATTTTGGTGTCGGTGTGATGATAAAGGAGGGGTAAAGCTGCCGAAAGCACCTGTATGGTCGGACGCTCTATCCAAACAGCGCCCGAAAAATCAATGTGGGGCCCTGTAGTAGTTATCAGCGCATCACCACTTACCACTTACACGATACTTGGGAACTTACCAAAGAGAGTAATCAGGATGCAGGGAAATCTACCACGCTTTGTGCCCACTAAAGGCAGGGTGGACCGTATGTAACATGAAATGGCCTGCATGTGAGGTTCAGCCTGCGTAGCCCCTAGCTCATTCTTGGCTTCAAGGATTGCATAACGAAAGCCCCTGTACTGAATATCGCCGTCGGTCTCGTATTTCGTATGTTGGATTTTCGAGGGAATCAGGTCTATACGATGCTCCTGCAGAATTTCCCGGAACTTGGAAGCTCGTTTCTCGTCGTCATCAAAAAAGTTGCACATGGCTTCTGACAATGCCATGACCAGGTCATTGTCTTCTTTCGTCGGCTCGTGACTTTCGCAGTCGTCAATGAACTGGCCAAAGATTGGATGGAGTAGAGTGGTAGGTATGGTGGAAGCAGCTGGACGGGGCCGCTCCCAACCAATAGTGAACGAATGATTTTCCTGTAACGTCTTATTGAATACAGAAGGAACTCCCTGACTGGAAGGACGGCCTAATGGAAATTTTTTAGCGTATGCCTCACGGCTTTCCTGTACCACACGTTCTGAATATGACAGTGGCAAAAGACTACGAGAGATCCCTAGAAGACGGTCATTATTTCAGCCATAATCTTGAGGAATGATAACGCACCGGCAGGTGGCCGTTGGACAACAACATGCAGGTGTCCTTCCTCAGGTAGACTAGAGAAAACCTCAGACAATTCGGCCAGGGGTAATAGCGGTAGCTTGTGCTCAATGTCACGTCGCACATTGCTCTCGAGGGTATCATCGACAGTGAGGTTGGCGGCCTTCCCGAGTATCAGATCAATAGTATCAGAATAGGCATTAGATTACTCACATTCCATAGCTGGAGACGGTCAGCGGCGACAGCGTCGAATTCAGGCCTCTTCTCTTCCTTGATCAACTTTTTGAGGCGACTGACACTCTCCGTCCGTGCGATCTTGATCGGGAAGCTGTGAAACTTGGGGTCATCACCTAAGACAAAACAGTTGAGGCTGAACATGGGGATAGCTGACAGTACAGAGAATGCTAATTCAATATAGAGGACAGAGTGACAATGTTGACCAACACAACTTACTAGGCGGTGGCGGAGGGAAAATATCAGGAGTTTGGACAACGATATGCAGGTGTCCTTCCTCAGGTAGACTAGAGAAAACCTCGGACAATTCGGCCAGGGGTAATAGCGGTAGCTTGTGCTCAATGTCACGTCGCATATTGCGGTCGAGGGTGTCGTCGACAGGTAGGTCGACCTTCAAAAGTATCAGACGTCAGCATCAGATTGTGACATCAGATTACTCGCATTCCATAGTTTGAGACGGTCAGCGGCGACAGCGTCGATTTCAGGCCTCTTCTCTTCCTTGATCAACTTTTGAGGTCACCGACACTCTCCGTCCGTGCGATCTTAATCGAGAAGATGTGAAACCAAGGGTCATCGCCTAAGACCAAACAGTTGAGGCGGATAGGCTGCAGATCTGAAGACACCATATGTAAGACCGGCGGCAATGTTGAATGAGGAACGAGCGAATGTTACTGGGCAGTTTTGGTGATGTGAGCAGCCATGTAATATGTCGCGCAACCACTACGTTCAGAGGCTCAAGTGCTCATACACCACTTACGAGTGTTTCTGAAGGTGTTGTTCAGACATCTTGCCTTCCCGCTGCGACTTGTAAGCATTAATACAAAGAAGGAATAATTCAAGCAATAGTAAAACTAGAAGGATAGCTAAACTCTACATACAAAACAAATAGAGCACTGATAACGGCGAGTCAAAAGAAGAGACATATCAAGATCCCTGGTTTCTTCTCCATGATGAAAGGCTAAGTGCGCCTATGACGCCCACGACCAGCAATGCTGTGCCGGCACCCACCAGGCTGGGAACATACAGATACCATGCACTATCGATGTCATCCTTGCCCTTGACCTCATCCATGAAGATAAGCTCTTCTTTCTTCTGCCTTCTTCGGCGCGGGATGATCTCTTGTTCTGAGTAGAGCGAATCCTCTCCAGAATAAACACTCTCCGAGGCAGAAGGATGAATTTCTAAAGATGGCATCTCAAGTTCATGGGTGCTTCCAAGGCCATGCTGGGCAACGCCTTCATCAGGAAGGACAGGAATGTCAAGATCGGGTTGCAGAGCGCGAGCACGCTCAAAGTATCGACCTGCAGCTTCCCTATCACGCTTCCAAGCTTCTGTACCACCTTCTCCGGGCTGTGGCTGTGGCGGCATCCTAATGGACGACAATGTGGAATAAGATGCTGACAGGAAGACAGAAGCTGCTCCTTCGAGATGAAGAAGACCAGCCTCCAAGAATAGCCTGGCTAGGCCCGCCGGGCCGCCAATGGACTGAACATAATATGAAACGGTTCCACGTTGCCCTTCTTCAGATGCATCAAGATGGTCCAATGATGTTTGGATAGGTAGATAGTGAGTCACCAATTTCATTGTAGCAGAGGGGAGGTGGCCGTGGTGCCACGCTCGTCTAGATAGTCAGACAGGAAGTCAGTCACACATGAAATAAATTTTCAGCACCGGCGTCACATACACAAAGCACTCAAATGCTTCTTCTTTATCTTTCCTGATGTCGTAAAGTTCTATGGCACATAGGACAAGACTTGTGGGGTCCATGTTATATTTGTACTCCAAGCTGGAATCGTATAGCATAGGGACAGGAGCGCATGGCGAAATTTCCTGGGGGATTGGTCCTTGCTGTGTAACCGGTGAGCTCAAGCATAGATAAGACCCTGATAGCGGAAGCTCACGATTAGCGATGGCCAAATAATCGACTGTTCCTTCTCGAGATGAAGCGTTACAAGTCTTCCTGAATTGGAGTGTAGTGACTCCAGGGAGGAGAATGATGATAAAGCATGTACAGGCAATGAAGGCGATGCAGGACTAGAAATAACAGGGATAGAGTGACGTTGACTTGAACTGCTCGTGTGCTCGTCAGCCGAGGAGATAGGCGATGATAATGCGGGTGACGGAGCCACAACCTCCTCTGCGTCGGACACTTGGCCACTTTCCAAAGAAGCCGCGAAGCTACTTGAGATTTCTGGGTCGGATACGAAAGCGAAAGAAGATTGGGTGGACGTTGTCGATATGGTCGATGTGGTACGCTCCCGAGCGGAAAGACGCGAGTTGCGTGGTTCGAGTTGCCACGCCGAGTTCGCCACGTCGACGTGGCTGTAAAGACAACCCTAAAATTGAAGATCAAGGATTACAGATCTGTCTTGTCAATGAGAGACTTACTTTCACAATGGGCTGTTGCCCTTTAACCCCAGCGAGTAGATAGTTGCGTTCAATAACAACCTACCACGGCGAACATGAGATTACACGTGGCAAACAAAGCAACGATACTGACAACAACGTCTTCTCTCGAAGTTTCATATGGGACGAGTAACAAAACTGTAGCCTGTAATTCGCCCAAGTGTCAGGACTATGGAACAAACCCTTACCCCATTGGCTTCACCTGATCATGCGACTACATAGGCCATGAGAGCGTAAGCCAAATGAAGCGTTAATTATCAGAGTACCGTGGCTCACCTGGTGCCACGAGTATGAGTGTTTCTGGTGCTCGCTCGTCTTTTCCATATCATTAATGCTGCCAGTCGTGAACAACGTTGTAGACGTAAGCGAGTAGAGTCTATTGAAAGGAGCGGAGTCAGAATGCTGACCCTCTGCGCATGTACTGCGTGAGCTATTGATACCGAGCTTAACTTTGTGGCGATGACTAAATTGATCCATTATGCTCATATGCATTCCATCACATAGTTCTGGGTAGGAAAATAGATGACAGGTATCAGAAGTACTCATGTACAATACAAGCAATGAAAGAGCAGCAAGAAAACAAGGGGCGTAGGTAAATAGGATAGCAAAAAGAGTCCTAAGGTAATTCAAGGTTTCGATACTTTAGCAGTCAGCGCAATTCTCCTCAACGTATCCTTTTCAGTCTCCATATGCTGTATCAGCATCCCATCCAATCTCTTCGATGACTCGGCCAGTGCTTGCTGCTCTTTCTGCCAGCGACGCACATTCTCCGATCCAGGTGTGTCCGGCCGCTGCGGTGCCGAGGCATCGACTGTGAGATGTTCTTGTGAGTGCTGTGCAAGCGTGAGATGGGTGAGAGAATTTGGCGTTGCCTTGATATTTGTAAAGTATGGAGTTTTTTGCGGGACGTTGCTGACAGGCTTGTGCCGCTCGGTTGGGCTTCCTTGAGGATGCAGCTCATCTGCAGTCCTGGCAAGGTTGGGAGTAGAGCGATTGCCTAAATCCATAAGTGATGGACGGGGAGAGGGTTCAGAGTCTCGGTACACAGTCATATCCTGGTCTATGTCACTTCTACTATCCTCAGAATCGTCCAAGTCATCCATAGCATTCGGATGGTTCTGGATGTGGTCAAAGAAGGTGGCTGGTGATGAGGGAGGTGGCGCAGAGTGAATCCCAGACGCAAAGCTGTCAACGGAGATTTTGACGTGAAGTGGCAGAGGTAAATGACTTTGGGTACCGTTGTTGCTGAGCATGGGAGAAAATGATTCAAAGGAGCGGAAGGTGCCTTGGCTAAAGTCTGAGGACGAATTATTAAGCGATAATGCTTCATGGAGTGGTGAAGGTCTGGGCTGGTTGGTATTGTTCGCCAAACGATGCGGCGGAGGTGACAGAGCGATGCCTGCTATCGATGAAGAAGGTCTAGGTGGTGGGGACATGGTAGAAAGACGAGGAATTGGGGTAGGCGGCGACATTGAGGAATCTCGTGAGTGTGACGAAGGATCAACGGGAAGTGACTGGGAGTTTGGGGAATAATAGCCATTTGACAATCTATCCCTGAAGGCGGACGCAGTCGGGGACGGTTGAGAGTACTCTGAAAACGATGGCCGACGCCCACTGTCGGTTGCTGGCACTGAGATTGCCAAGGAAGGACGAGACCGAAAGTCATCAAAAGCGGTCGAATCATCCGTAAACCGAGTTAGCGCGGTCATTCTGCTCATGCGATGCGAGGACGGAGGAGATATACTTAATGATGGCAACGATGGGTGAGTCATGATGGGTGTTCTCCTTAATTCATAGAAATCGGAGAGCATGGGCGAAGAACAGGATTTGCGAAGTGTTCGGCGAGGCTCTGTAGAACCTGCGGGAAGATAAGATTGTGAATGAGAGTACTGGATGTCTCCGAGTTGTCGGCGAGGAGGAGGCGCAAGAGGGGTATGAGGGACCGGGGTCTCTGCTCGGAGAGGTATATAGCTGGATAACCGCACATTTTCCCGAGCCGGAAGACGCGCAACAAGATCTCTTCCAGAAGGTGCGCCTGCGGTGGTTGTTGGTGGCTCAGGTTCCTCAAGGTGATCAACCATCGGATTCTCAATAATCTTCTTGTCTAGCATTTTCCGCGGGTTCGTGAGAGCGCGCTGATATAGTGACTCTGATGAGCGCAGATGGTGCGGTGACCTTGTCGGGGTGGACGGAGCAATGGACAACGACACAACAGACATTACTGCTGAATTGTTAAGCGAGTGTCCAACAACTTGATGTAACAAAGCCTTTCTCCACGCATCCTCATGTGGATCAAGACTAATGGAATGTCCAGGACTACCTGCGGGAGGTAAGCGCTCGGCCAACACGGCTGCTCCCACAGAGTCCTCAATTCCCAGTCCATGAAGTGCCGAGGCTTGCAAGGCTAGATTGTAGTTGGCCGATGGGGGAGGCACGTCGACTACTTCCGTGGGATCAATGATCCCATCAAACACATCAACCTTTGGTCTTCGTACACCCCTATCGCGGTCCGGATGAACGTCTCGACCCTTCAAATCTATTTCCGCTTGCTTTGCAGCAGCAATAAGATCGTCCATTTGCTCACGGACAACGACCACACGTGCAAGGTGCTGAACATTCTTCGGGGATCGGAATGTTTGAGGTACTCCACGTGGGAGGTAACCAGACACGGTCGTAGAATCTGATGTAACTCTCAACATCGGAGATCCATCGAAGGAATCTGGGCTAACAGGTTTGGATTTGGATTTTCCAACTCGAAAATAGTCTAGAAATGCAGGAGTGGTTGCTTTTTTGGATGCGTTTGTGCACGGTGCAAAATCGGTCGGACGTGGTTTTGAGTGCGCGGGAGGAAGGAAATAATTGTTCTTCACAAGCAACTGAAGACGGTATGAGACGTCGTCTGCATTGAATTCCTGCACCCTCATTGGTTCATCGATTTCGAGAGCTGGAATTATAACGCCATGGTCATGCGTCGTCGGCGAGAGGGGAGAAGGAGGTGACTCTGTCCCAATGGAGGTAGTGAGAGGATAAAGTGAGGAAGACGTAGATGACTGTTGCGTTAGCAAGGAGTCACGGACACTGCTTCGTGCATGGTCGCTGTCAGTGGGATTTGGACGGAAGGCAGACGGAGGAGACGTCAGCATTGCTCTATTGCCGCGACCTTTTCCCTTTATCTAGAACCTCGTGAGCTCCACTCGTCTAAGGAAACAGGCTCTAAACTCACAGGAATAGTTGGAGTGAATCCTGCTAGCGATTGGGAACCCGGTTGACTTTCGGCAGGGGCTGAAAGTCCCTTTTGCTTCACAGACACACGCAAATCACCTCCTACAGCGCCGAACGTTCCTCCACTCCGTTCTAGATCACCATGCAGTTGCAAATTCACGGGACTCGAAACCGGACTTCTGGTTGTTTCGAATCGCGTAGTAACCGGAGACAGTATACGTTCGGAAGAATCAATCCTAACCGGACTAGGAAATGGCTCTGCGCTATTTGCAGCTGAGATGTCCAGCACCTGGTCTTCTTCTGCGTGCGTGTCATCTGGCTTAGACTCTGGAGTTATTGTCCGTGTTCGTTTCCTTGTTGTCCGCGAACGGCGACTTAGACTAGCACCACTATTAATACTGCTAATGGTGCTTGCAAGTGAATTCGAGCGTGAGGTCCCAGGAAATTTAGAAGAGGAGGGTTCTTGCATGGGTTTCGTCGCTGGCTCATTCGTCCAGGACAAAGTACCAGAGCCGTTATGGGGACAGCACAAACCAGGATCTGCAAAACATGCACCTTCCAACAAAAAGCAGTAAAAGGAAACTTACATAAGCCCATACATGCTACACGTGCACCGTGTTTAACAGTTTCAACCGTACTAGTGCTACTAAGATGGCCACTCAGATTCAGATGCTGCTGCTGGACTGTGAGTGAAAACATGCTCTTGTTCTATGGCAATCTTACAAACTTGTGCCTTAGACCTGCCCAAAACTGAAGGCCTTTTGCCCAAATGGCAACTCATAGTCGCCACAATGGCTGTGTTCAACACTATTCAGAACTTTGCGACACTGAAGCTGACCCGCAGGCTCTATGCTCGCGTTCCGTCTGCCTCAAGTATGTAACCTTTCATTAAGGCCAGAATGTGACTCACGCTGATCTTATCTTTCCAGTAACAGCACTCCAGGCACGAACGTTTGCAGTTTGGACATTAACATCAGCAGTCATACGGGGATATGCTGCGTACAATATCAACAACAAAACGTGGGTTGTTCTCCTCGTGCGAAGCCATAATGATGAACCTCGGGCCCAACTTTAGGATTTATGATATGGCTCTCCTCACGTACCTTATCGCATTTGGGCACTTCACCTCTGAGATTTGCTTCTTCCGCACAGCTAAAATCAATCTACCTGTTCTGAGCCCTGTGATTGTCTCCAGTATGTATCCTTTGTTAATATTTTTCCATTACACATACTCACTAGCGCCACAGCTGCATCACTGATTTGGATGTTGAGACAGTATGATTTCTATGTCGCACCTTGATCTGACTATGTATCACGAATGCCAAGGTTCATGTTGATGCCACGTTTGTTCCCTTGAGGAAGCGCACGTTGCAAATTTAATTGTTACGCAGACCAGTGAATCCCGTGCCAATCAGCTTGAAGTACAACAATTCGCCACCGCTCCGAGTAGGACCCCTGATAATCCCTACCAAGGACTGCCCCGGCAGACCTAATTTAGGCCGAAGGTGGATGCTGGGGAGACATAGTCGTGACCCCCCATCTGGAGGTGGACAACGGGCCTTGAAAAAAATGAAAATTTCGCCCGGCCTCACTCCGCGATGCTGATAATGCATGCTAGCAGCTGATGGTAATTCAACTACTCGTCTTCGTCAACTTCCATGATCTCCGTTGCTCTACTTTGTCGTGAGCGAGCATTCATGGCTTTGATTGCGCCCAATATCTTCAGGAGTTCAAGAACAAGCTTCTTGAACCTAAAATCCTCATGGTCCGACTCCCGTGTCAAGAGAACTCGATTGTTGCGCAACGATTTTGGAGACGAGTGAAGTGAGTAATGAGCATAGATATAGTGCAGGGGATGAGCGCGAAACACTTCACTTGCAGTGCTGCGAGAAAGTTGCCGCTAGTTTACTGGGGGTAATGTCATTGAGCGCTCGAAAAGCTTGAGCTTGATGTGCTATGAATCGTCGAGGTACTAATAATAAAGGAGTTGGTACTACTCGAATTTAATAATTTCCTCTCTTTGAATCCAAAGTTAAACGATAAATATTCTTAGACTGGAGCCTGGGCTAATTCTGACATATTTTGACAGCTCTCCAGTAATTGTCTAGTACATTCTAGTACTACATAACACTCGGCCGATAACGATTCTGACATACATAAAAGTGTTGTATTTCGGAGGGGTGGACTGGGGGAGGCCTCCTAAATAGACCCCGCCGGGTTAGAAGCGGCCAAGGGGAAATTAAATGTCGGAAATAAATTTCCCGCATTACGATACCATGTAGTACATTTTAAGGGCCAACCTGGCGCATGCCGTTACAAAGGGGTACGAGAATCTAAGGGCCCTTCGACGGCCTTACGTTGAACGTAGCCCGCCACAACACTAAATTTGCAGTCACTTTCGAATCTCGATGCCTCGGCACTTTGAAGGCGCTGACTAAACTTGTAATCCGGCGGCATTATAATGGCCCTTAGGATTTTTACAAAGGCCTAGCAACGAATTTCACCCCCTCCGGAGGTGGATAAAGGTCGAAGGGCGATTATCAGGAGTCCTCTCGGAACTCACGGCTGTCCTGTAACCCCATGAATGTACGAGCATCTCTGAGACGTGGCATTTAAACCTCTGGCAGCCCCTACCTGCTCACCAAGCTTGAAGGGGAACGGATGGTAATATCGACCTGGTAACCAAGCGCGCATTAAAAGCGTATGTTACAGGACAGCGCTCTGATGCCAGCACAACAACCAGCCAATCGAGCGTCATCCTCGCACTCGTTTGCGGGAAACTTGTCAGATTGTACGTCATACTAGATTCCTGGCAAAATGCTAAGTGGTCCGATTGCATGAGAGTCACGTTCGAAGCAACGATTGATACGTGGACTGTGGGGTGACAGCCGAACATCATGATGCCAATGGTGACAGCTAGACATGTCGATGTTTGGCGACAGCGATCGTTCTATGCAGTGAATGACGAGTGATGGCTCAACTAGAAACCCCGCACCAGCAAACAAAATGATCGTATCAAATTATCCGTGGCAGTAGTCAAGTCGCTTTATTGCGTGGTCCAGTGCGCTGAGGAAGGGGACCTATTGCGACGAGATGGTGTGACGTCGCGTCTGTTCCTCCGATTTGGGCCGATGATATGTAAAACATGAGCCGGAGTTCCATACCAGAAGATCCGTCGGTGCGAGGAGGCACTGCAAAAAACTGGGCGGGGTAGTAAGACTGCTCTAGAGTCTACTAAATCTCGTCACTATTTGAAAATTAGTATAACATCCGTAAGTCGTGGAATGGTTGAACTCTACTCAATCTTCGTACTCATGACTTGAAATCTCAGGCTGTGCTGGCGTTCTCTAAAGGTGCCGCTAACGTAAAATGATGGTCCCCGCATTACATAATTGGGGTCAGGGATTGCCGAGCAGTATATATATAAGTCGTGTTTTACATTCTTCAATTGTGACTCCATTCAACGATTCAACGACCAGCTCGTTCATCCCGGCTTTCGCGTTACTCGATTTCTTGCTCTTTATAATTCCTATGTCTGCTGTGCTGCAATACCCCCCTGAACTGCTATTTACTATATGTGAATATATTTATGCCGCCGGTTTACCACCTTCCGAGTATGCCAGTTCTCTCGATCCACTCGCAATTGGCGAGTTCGGAACGCCAACGGCGTTACCATCTTCTATGCCACCGCCAAATTGGACTGAGCCAGAGGCACGGAAAACCCTTTCACGTCTCTGTTTGGTAAACCATGCCTGGTATGAAGCTGCCAAGCCATGGTTGTGGCACAAGATCGAGGTTCGTCTGCCCAGGAGCTGGCTCGCTCTCCTAGACGAAATCACAATCGATCCCGAAGACGATGAAAAGGCTGCTTTGGCCGTCAAAGAATCTATTCAAGCAGCCACTCACGCCGCTCTAGCTAGCGCTGTGCGTACTGGCGCATCTTCTGATGAGGATGCAGCAAGGAAATGGAAGGAAAGCATTATGGAGTCCTTAGCTGGCCCAGATGGTTCCATTCCTCCCGAGCTGTTGACGCCTCCAGTATCTCGCGACCCGAGTCCAAGACGTCTTAGGCCAAAGAGTAAAAGTCCTGCTCGGTGGAAGATTATGAGGTCAATCAATGACGCTGTTCAAACTGTCATGGATCTTACTGAACCTGGGGTTTATGGTGAGTTGCTCACTGTCTTACTCTACACTCTGCCATAATTGACATGTATCACGTTTGTAGTCCCGAGGCTTCATGATCCTCGTCCTGGTCGGTTTGTCCGCCATCTAGACTTTAACCATTTTCGTACCATCGGAATGCGTCGTTCCGTGGAAGATAGTGCGACTAGTCGTTTCGTGACCGGCGAACGTGTCGAAGCGCTTCTCAAGGTTTGACATGACGATTTACCATATTTCCATTGACTAACTATTCAATGCAGGAACTTCCGAACCTAACTGCTTTCGGCGCCACAGAGTACATGGATGGTGCTCTGTCGTTGCCTGTTCTGAACGAACTTTTACTTCGTGGTTCTGCTTCAAGAGGTGGGGGACGGCCCACCCGTGGACGAGGAATTGTGATGGAGGATCCCGAAGAAGAGGATCGCGAAAGAAGGAGAGATTGCAAGGACCTTCAGGCTATGGACCTTACTGGCTGCGTCAGCGCAGTTTTCGTCAGTGCCCTGACAGATTTCGTCAACACGCATCTTCTTCATGAGGATGAACAGTCTAGTGGAAGTGACGATGAAAGTCGACGTCAGATTAGACGTGCTCGTGCTCGATTTATGCAAGAGGAGCCACTCACATTCCCAGGGCTTCAGCGCCTTGGACTTCGTGGTGTGAAATCGATTCAACCTCAGATCCTGATGCCTTTCGTCCTCGCATTCCCTTCCCTTACTCACCTTGACCTTTCCGCTACCCGAGTCACACCGGAATTACTTACTGCTCTTGGGGGCTCAACCGTTCGCCTGCATTCGCTTGCGCTGGCCCGGTGTGTTCATCTAACTGGATCCTGTATTAGGGATTTCCTCGTCCGTGCACCAGCGGCAGCGCGAATCCGGGAACTCGCACTATATGGGGACCTAACATTCCCATCTCCGCTCACTACGGATGATCTTGCTGAAATAATATCTTCCGCGCCGTGTTTCACCTCTGGTGAACTTACGTACCTCGACCTCTCAAGCGCACCTGTGACTAGAGAGCTTCTCATTGATGTCTGCAAGCCGCAGTCAAAGCTGCGATCGCTTGGTCTATCATATATTTCTGATCTCAACTTAGACGTCATCGCTCAATTTTTAAAGAGCAAGGCTATGAATGTTGAGGTACTCACGCTTGCTCAGACCAGCCCTGATCTAGATTGGGGCAGGGTTGGACCTGGTGCACCTCGAGGCTCGGCACAACAGGCGATGATGGCTTTGCACAGTCAAATTATCGGGCCGCTGTGCACGCCCCCTTACATGTCCACTCTGCGTTCGCAGACGGTTGTTATACCTCCTTCTCCCACGCGGCTTCGGGTGATTGAGCTTTCCGTACCCGCCCTTGCTGCTCTCGGCGCTGGCGCCGGATCCTGGAGAATAATCAGAAGTAAAGGTGGTCGAGGCTGGTATGTCGACACGGCCAGCGGCTGGGTTGGCACGGGGCTCCAGCGAAACCTTCCCAAAGCGCATCCATTCCGTGTTCAAATGTCTCGCCTGGCAGATGCCAATGGGAACGTAAATAGTGGTGTCGGATGGCACGCGAGAAAGATGGAAGTAAGTCACTTACTTATCATATCCGACGGGAACGGTCGCTGACTATCATCGCTTTATAGGTTTTACACGGTTGTGGTATGTTGGGACGTGAGGATGGCCTGTATGGTGCCGTGTCGTTTGCTTATCAGGGATAGCCGGATATCCTGTTGACATTTTGCGTTACCTGCCGTTGACGGCTTCATAATCATTGCGTTGTATGTATTCTAAAGGATTCTAGGAACAATGTCTGCGTCATTTTTCTTCACAACTAGCGAATTTACCCACTAGTCATTTCATGTATAGGATTAATTAGTGCCCTTGGGAGGGCTGAATGTTAATATGGTTGCTCATCATGTCTTGTTGGGGATCATGACGCAACTGATGCAACGTACTCCAAATCGACTATCGCGGAGCAGAGTGGAGCTCGAGCCCCAGTCCCGATTTATTTTGACGTGCATAATTATTAGGGGAACCGCCACGATTGACGTTCAATTGATCATGCACTATGATAGTGAATGATCATGGGTGCGTGAAGTACTTGAGAACAGTGCTCGCGAAGGCCAATGACGTCAAGTTCGAATCCTCCTCGATATGACATGTCATCCTTGTGTCATTGAATATCGAGGAGTTGTTCACCAGGCGCATGGAGTCAATGTTTGAAGCGGACTGCGGAGCGTGGGCCTTGGCACTAGCATTGCCAATTGGCTGGAGCCGCTCAAGTCCCGTCACAACCAAAGGAAGTAATTTGAATGGCAGGCGGCGGGCCGCCATCGTTGGCGAATGTGCTGGGGACCAGGGAGTCTATTATGTCGCCCATTTGAACATGCCGACGCTGTACCAAGTTAAAAGTATACTGTATGTAGGCGGCTGTAATAAGCTGAATTCAAACCCAGCGGTCCCAATACGGTTGATCGCCCTTACTTGCACTGAGTTGCCACTAGTACATGTAGTACTTACCTGCACTAACACGTCCTCGTTGCCTTTGTTTCTACTGTTTACATTTTAATACTTAAGTAAATCTCTGCCGCGGCCACTGCCGCAGTGACAGCATTCTGCACGGTTACATTGTATGTCCCCTGCAGTACTGGTACTATTTTGTGTATTCCAACTATCCACTGTGAACAATACAACCCTACGTATGCTAAGAAGTACTTGTGCTTGATGGACGGGCATTTCAAATTATTGTGGCTCGTCACCCGTCAGACTCCCATTGATTACGTACTATTAGGATTTCACCGTCATCTAGAAATCTTTAAACATTCTACATAGAAGCTTCGATCTGAGGCTGTGTCACCGTCACAGCCCACGGGCCACAGTGCTAGTGCCACGCCTTAGCTTATTTAAAAGCAACCAAAACGACATCAACCAATCATTAGCACCACCCCCACCTGACCAGTATATAGCATTTTCAACTCAATTGCAACTTGTTCTATGACAAGTGAGCGTGACTCGAATTGCTAATTAAATATAGCTCACCCGATCTACTACAGCGTCTACCCATATCTCTGACCTTCCTGTCCAAACGGACGGGTCATCAGATCACGACAGGTTCTCATCAGAAAGAATATTCCGCAGGCACACTGCCACGGAGAACATTCCACTGTCGCAAGAGCTGTCCCATGCCAACCCGAGGCGTAGAAAAAGCACGAGTGATATCGGTCGTCAAAAAATGGCATTCTTTCCGACTTTACGAAAGGCTGCAACGTTGATGCTAACCCCAGAGAAAACGATCTCCAGAGCCCCCAGTACTTGGAGAAGCATCCGCGCCATCATCCTTTCATCATGTACGGGGGACATTCCTTCGCAGCTTATGGATTATGTTAATATTTGCTTGTGTAGGGTTCAACGTTCTGCTGGTGTTTATTCCCATATCTGTATGTCGTTTTCGCATCAGTTTGTATCATCTCTGACTAGTCGTCGTTTCAAGTGGGCAATTAACTTTGCTCTCCCTAATCAACATAGTCTAATCTTTGTCTGTAAGTTGACAAGTTACCTTTTAAATTTCCGGATGCTACAGCGTGTTGCTGCAGTAACGTTCTTGGCCATCATACCATTGGCTAAGGTGATTATAAGCTCCCTTTTTTGTAGTTGTATCACACTGAACCACTACCAGCTCCTAGCGTTCGCTACGGACGAACTCTCCATAAGGGTTGGCCAAACTTTGGCAGGTCTTCTTAATGCTACACTGGTTCGTGCATCATGTACTATTTCATGATTTCAATCTAACCACTGCAAAATTCTAGGGAAATGCGTCAGTTAAAATATGTTTCTGTCGATCATTATCTAACTATTCGTGCTTTTTTCCATAGCGTCGAGCTCATCGTTTCAGTGCGTTCTAAGCTTAGTAAACTTGCACAGCAAGATGCTGAGGTTGACACTCTAGATTATCGCACTCGTAAAATGTGAACTCAGAATCGTCCAGTCCTCCTGTATGTCTTCTTATCTTCCTTGCGACCCTGGACTTACAGTTGCCCCCAGTGGTGGGATCTATATTGAGCAACCTTCGTATGTATTCTTGCCTTCCGGTTTAAAGTTAATTAACCACACGCCAGTCCTGGTGCTGGGCATGTGCTTCTTTGCCGGGGGCATGCGCTTTTCAGAACAGGGTTTCGGACAAAGTATGTGTGAAATAGTTTTACAATGAGACCCTTGATTCTTACTTTTGTGGACAGGTGCTGTGCAACTGAATTCGTCACTGCTTACCATTAGCGTCATTGCTGTTTTACTGCCTGGCGCTTTCAACATGGCATTGCAGGGCCAGCCTACATATAATGCGGAGTCGACAGATGACAACATACTAAAGACCAGCCATGGTGTACGTGTCTGATTTGTTTTGACATGTGTAAAATTGTTCTCAAACTCTCACCCTCGTCCAGGTTGCCCTCATTCTCCTTTTCAGTAGGTCAACCAAAGTACAGCTGGTAATCACCTAACCACCTTTGTTTAGTTTACGGTTCATATCTGGTGTTTCAACTGTTTTCACACAAAGCCCTCTATGATGACAGTGGCGCGGACATACAACAGACAAAAGGCTATGAGGGTCAGAATCCATGGCTACAGTTGAGACTCTACCGTCGTAGGAATGCTAAACATGTACAATCCACTCTACCGACGGGTGACGAAGAAGCTGCATCTAATCCTGCTGTGCCTGCTGAAGGTACCGACTCGGAACGTCGGTCTACGTCCACGGAGGATGCAAACTCTGACGTAGATCCATATATGAGTGTCCCTGTGTCCCTCGGGCTTCTGGTCGCTGTAACTGTGGTACGTACCACTGTCTGTGCTGACAACAATCATTTGAAATTGTTCTCGCCCCAGTTGGTAGCTGTGACCGCAGAGTTCCTGGTCGATTCTATTAGCGGTTTGACTGAATCTGGGGCCATCGGTCAAGAGTTTGTTGCCGTGATCTTGCTTCCCATAGTCGGTAATGCAGCGGAACATGTCACTGCTGTCACAGTGTCCGTCAAGGACAAGATAACCCTGAGCTTGGGAGTTGCTGTCGGGTCAAGTATAGTGCGTCTGTTTACCTGTATGTTTTTCTGAGATTGCTGATCGATCTCTAGCAAATTGCGCTCTTCGTTATACCGTGAGTCTCTTCGTCGTGCCTCCTGTTACTAATTTTCACCGTTCCTATTTTTGCAGGTTCATGGTGACGCTTGCTTGGATTATGGGCAAAAGACTGACACTCCTCTTCGACCCGTTGGAGTCGATCGTGCTGTTCCTATCTGGTGTGTACAATGTTCAACAGGGTGGCACAATGATTAAACAAATGCTTTTATTAGTCCTCACCGTGAACTACTGTGTACAGGACGGCAAGTCAAATTGGTTGGAGGGTATGATTCTCATGTGTAAGTCCCAGCTGTATTTTGGCCTGCGTTCATGCTCACCACTGTGCAGGTTTATACTTGATCTTGGCTGTTACATTCTGGTTTTACCCTGGTACGTCGTTGACTCAAATTAATTTACCGAGGTGCTGAATAGCTCTTCCTTAGGCACCCCGGGCATCTTCGAGTGTTAGAAAGGACAATGGGCCGGACACTGAGCCAGCTATTCTCCCGGATATGGATTACGACCAAGAATACATACTCGCCTTTCAGAAGCAAATCCTAGACTAATGACCAGCACAACCGTACCACTTCTTTCAGTTCTTTCCTTGGGCCTACCGCAAGACATACAAATAACGACAGTTTAAAGCCAACAAGTGTTCATGAATCCTTCCCTCACCACGGTTTTGATAAGTATATATTTTCTCTGACTATTTAATTGATACGTACATTATGTCATTATTTCCATGTATATCATTCGTTCTTCTCTCTACCGTGCTGGATGTGTAACTTGTGGTGCCCTGCTGCAAAGACTTGCTCCACTCTAGTCTAAACAGGAGTTTGGTCGAACATATGACATCTACTTGGCCGGTACATGCGGACCTCATAGTTTTTGGCTAGAACAATATATGTACATGCAATATCAATTTATTCTTTCTCAAGTATCGTCGATCACCAAACTCGTCCTTACGTACCACATTAGAGTTTCGCCATCATATCGGTATCAGCAAGCGTCACTGCTGCTGCGGCGAGCACTGTGGTTCCCCGCTCCTTCGTCTTAGTGGCTACATATGTGAAAGAAGGCTCGACTTCAACACCTGAAAAAAAATGTGTCTATCGGACGTACAGAAGATCACTTTGCTGCCTGTCTTCCACATCTCCGTAACGAGCGTCTCGCCAGGGAATACTACACCGGAGAAACTGCGGATATAAGAACACAGCATTTCGAGCATAATAGGGATAGCACTCACCGAACTTTGATATCCTTGTAGGTGCCAAAAGATTGCAAAACATGTTTTCCTGCGATCCCCATAAAGCATAGACCTAAGATAGGTTTAGGATTTATTGAAATACGTAGCCCGGGCATAGTATTCGGATATTACCATGAAGAATGGGGCCAATTGCCGCGAAGCTAGTATCGATCTGTGTTGGAGATGAAGACTACTCGAACTTCGAGTATTTGCACGATCAGTGCGACTTACGTGTAAAGGATTATAGTCGCCACTTAGTCTATGTACTAGGGTCAGAAAAGCGAGAAGATACAGCAATATGTTGGAATCTTACCTGTATAGTGCAGCTTGCGAGGCACTCGTCTTCTCTTCGATCACAGCATCAGGTTGACGCTTCGGGGGTGTGTTTACGGCTGTTGCAGCGCCTCTATCTGCAGCAAACTCAGATAAGCCTGAACACGCCAGTGGTCGATTGATAGAAACTTTAATACCTTTGCCAGAGCGCTTGCCACCGAAGCCGCCGGCTCCTCGAATGAAGACCGTTATTTGGTTTTCGAAGATGATATTGCCTGTGGCTATATCCTTCGTATACACTATGGTGGTGACCGAAGCAGCCTTGCCCTTGTCCAGGACTTCCAAGAGCCTGTGTACGCGGCGGAGTTGGGGATTGGCACAAAGATAGCACGATTATGGACAAACCTAGTTTCATTGACAAAGTTTCCCTCTGTAGGTATAGGGCTCTTGATAGCCAAGTACTGTTCGCCATGAAGAAGCTTAGCCTGAAGCGCGTGATTAAGTTCCCGGGAGTACATTAAATTCTAACAGGGGCGCCTCACAGGATTGAAGTTCGGCAGCCAGCCTAGTGAAATACCAGAACTGGCTGCGAATTGCGGAATCACTCCAAACGTTGGGAGTGCCGCAAACTCCTCGTGGCTTTCATAAGTCCATTGCAGGTCTTTAGCTGTTGCGCCGATGCCAATGTTGTAGAGAATGACGTCGCGTTCGGTGTAGCTGAACTCGTGGTCTTCGGGCTTGTCTTTCTTAGCGTCGGCGACGAGTTGAGAATCCTCTGGGTCGGTGAAGACGTCTGGTAGTGTGGACATGGTGGGAAGAGTACTACTAGTAGAGACAAACTGCAATCAGAATCACATGCATGTAATTACACGGTTAACGGCGATATTGCCACGTTCACTTCAATTTGCCTGATCACAATCAACTATAAACATAGTCTCCCCTAATCAAACTATATAGACAGTCGTTCCTTCTTAATTATGCTATAAACATAGTCTTTGTTCGGTTTTGATATACTCGACCTTTTAAAAACATCTGCTCATGGACTGTAACAAGATATGTATCACTCCAGTTGGCGCCTTGAGCTCGGAGGATGATTGAACACGCTCGTCAGAATTGAGTCCCATAATCTACACTTCCTGTCACGGTGACTAAAATTTAGGGATCTGCATTACCTTCACGGGTACGGGTCCTGATTCTGAGACTCATGCTTCAACCGTACCCCTGGCATACCCGTACCTTGGTGTTTGCATTGCAGTCAACTGAATGCTAACGCGCTATTAGACGACTGATCATCATGATCTCCACTGACGCCAACATTTTGGTCAGCCTGCGCCTTACCCAGCCTCTTCCCTCCACCAGCGCCATGTAAAGCAAGTATACCTGGTCGGCGAGTAGAGTTTCCCTCGCTAGTCCTAATACTGGGTTCACTGACTCACTTTTCCACTTAGCTTTCCTGGCTCTCTATTTCTACCTACTCCCGAAATACCAGCCTGCGTACTTGCATAGGGGGCCTCACCACCACCGGTCTCATGCATTGTGTAGGTTATTTTCCAACTCCTCCCTCATGTACTTCCGTCTCTTCCCCATCGCCATCCAACCGATCTACCACAAATACGACGCTACGCTGGACTGCGCCATCGACACGGTGGTGCTGCCAGTTGGCACTGAACGTTGTGCTGAGTGAATTGGTAGATATGAGTGCTCGCACTTTTTTTCGGTTCTTCCGGTTCCGAGTCTTTGCTTTCTGTTGTGTTTGTGCGGCTCCGTTTTCAAATTGGATACCACGCACATTTGATTCGCGTCATGCTGCCAGTGTGGGCTTCGACTAACTGACCTTATATTTATTTCTACGGAATATCATGGTGATGCGCGAACTCGGTGCACTGGAGGGTGCCGTTCAACGCCAGCAGCTTCTCAATGTCGACGGCTTCGACGTTGTCCGATTCCTCCACTCGCCACTACGTCTTCAACCACGGAAGCTCGTGATTATTTACACGGCTTCTGACACTCGTGTGCACATGTTCACATTTGTTCGCGCTCGCGTCTGCACCTGCTTGCGCATGTTGGAACGGTGGGTGTTTTTTCAGTATCTACATTTCCTGTTTGTAGAATAGCTAATTTAATGTATCATTTGTATGTACTACCTGCGGGTAAACTCTGCGCGGGTACGGGTAAGGGTACGAGCTCCCCGTACCCGCCAAAGGAACCATACTGTTGGAGCGGGCACAGATTTTTGTCGGGTATGACCCCCGCTACCCGGGAGTTTAGCCGTGCAGATCGATTCACTACCCCATGAGATCTTGTGTGCGGTAGATTACCGTGCAATTGACACGAAGAGATTGTGCTACTTGGACTTTACCGACAGTAAATTTATGAGATAATCCCACAGACTTTCAGACAGGATGCGTCGTGCGAGCACCACAAAATGGGCGATCACACCATAGATGGGTCGTTATCATGAACCAAGTGCAGACTACGTACTTGGATTTGTCGGATCTCAATTATTATTTACTAGGCTAGCCTAATATACTATGGTTTCATGTCTGTATACGCGCATTTGAATTCCACTTTATGAGACACTCATATGGTTGTCCGTTGACTTACTTCAATCTTTACATGATCGTATAATAAAAGGATCCAAACATGAGGTAGATGCATGAATGAGCCAAGTTGACTGAGCAAACACCGGACCGCAGTAGGCTTCCGGGATGTTAGACTTTTAAAACTCAGCAACTATCACTATTTGAAGAGCATAGACCTTAAATGCCGTGCGTGCCCCTGACGTGGCACGTTCCAGCAAAAAGTGTACCATTTACACGTTGAGTTCTCGTCAGTGCCACTGCCAATAGGTAGTAAGCAGCTCTGGCAGGATGTCATGCATAACCCAGGTCTCTGTTATCCGGCCGCGGTGTCAGAGATGCCGTATTGAGTTCTTAAAGACTCACTTTTGACGCTACAGCGAATCTGGTATCAATTAGCTTTTTCAAGATACACACACGGTCTGGATCATGCCGATACCAAACACCATATGGGTGTGAGCTAGAAGGAAGGTTCAATTTGTTATGTAGCTAGACTGTAACTGGGACAGGTGAGGGCAACCTGATCCATCCGTCCCGTAAGTATGCAATATGTGAAACGTTCTACACACTCTCAGTGCCGGCTGATGATACATCTATCGCGGCCAGCTTCTCCTTTGCCTTTAAAGGGTTCAGTGATGATCGTAAGCATGGGTGTCGCAATGACTAACCTGCTCCAGGAGATCACTTTCTACCTCAGGCAGATTCTCCCGCGCATCTCCTTCCCGAGGCACAACCTCCCATCTCGTTGGTGGATTCTCGATGCACAAACAGATGTCCTCTGGGATATGTCGCCCATGCTCTGCATTGAAATTTTCTCTTACCTGACGTTCTTCTGAATAATATTATCACTCCTTTAGCAACCACCCTAATAAGCGACCAGAAAGAGACGAATAAGGCTAACCTTCAGTCATTGCCCTTAATTCCAAAACAATCCCTTCTATAAACTTTTCTACTGCTTCTTTGTACTGTCGTCTCCTTCCGATCTCAACAAGGAGTTTCTTGAACGAAGTTTGGTACTGGATAAAACGGTGATGAAGGTCTTCAACGATGAGAAGTCGCTCCTGGAGCCCATTGAGAAGCTCTTGGCACTCATTCTGTCGCAAAGGATCAAATACTGATCGCAGCATATGATATGAAATATTACCTCGATATCTTGCTGCTTTTGTAGCATGTCAGACATGATCTCACCTAGCTCGTCGAGGTTATCGAGAGTTATAGATTGTGTGGTTAGTCGCTCTTGAGCAGCTGTCTTTGCTGTCACTAGCTGGTGGCTAGGCGGAACATCAGAATGCCACATCATGCACAAAGCAAAATGCTAGCTTACTGAGTATCTTCGATCAGGAGTGCTTGTTCTTCTAGCTCAGCCATGATAGAAGGTAGCTCTTCAGTATCACGGTTCATGTCTTCAACGCGTTAGTCAAAAGCTGAAGACCAGACACTGCGCAAAAAGTTAATTCCAATACCTTGCAAGTCCTCCTCGCCAAATATTTCTCCAGCTTCACTTTCTTTCAACGCATCTGCCATTTGCTCATAGTGGGAAGTAAGACTACTGAGGTGGCGTGCCATAAGTTCTGAAGGCTGCTGCTGTGCATTCAATATATCCTCTATCGAAGGCATGTTACTAGACGATGGAAGAGTGTCGCGAATGGACGATATAGCAGCCGAGAGAGTTTCTGGGTAGTCATACGTTGAAGCCATAATATCCTTTCCGCAGATTGAGTGGGGTATTCTCCTGAGCATGCAAACAAAACTCACGTCTAGCCTTGTTCTATCACTCTCTAGTGTGTCCAGCACATTTTCAATAGCACTGTCATCCACGAAGTCACGCAGCGTCTTCCACTTGGACCGGTCTGCGTTCTTGCCGTGACGGTCGAATGGGTTCTCCCGTACAGTTGCGGAAGGGCTCTGTTGTGCATTGAAAATTACATTATCATTCTTGCCATCAATGGAGTGTTGGCTTCCGAACAGTGAAGAACCAGAGGAAGACTGGTGAAAAGCAGGTGGTACTAGCTGTGCCCCTAGGGATTCGAGGATGTTGTCGAGTGCTTCAGTACGTTGCGAGCGTACAACATCCCATGCCTATATACATTACTGTGTAGAAATGTCACCAGATCGATACACGGGGAAGTGCCACACACCTTAACTTGTTTATCCAGCTGGGCACGCTTATGCTCGATACTCTTAGCAACATTCGCCGCAAGCTAGAATCGCAAAATTTCCAGTATCGAGTTGAATTGGTGGCAATAATAACGCACCTTAAGCTGCTCGAGGACGGCCTCTGTGATCCACTTAACTTTCGCGTCTAGTGTAAGTACGTCCAACGAACATTGCGCGGACGCGTTTGAAAGACTATTAGCCTTGGAACAAAGTTGTTGGCCGTGTTTAAGTGCTTTCTTGGATTGCAGAACTAGAGAGACGAGGTGAGGCTGCTCTGTTTGCTGTCCCGGTGGTGGGGAGGCCATGTCAGTAGATGTCAGTACAGGCCGTCGTCACTACCAAGGAATAGCGGGGTGGCTGTGCTAGTATTATGTATGACCTTCCGAGTCAGCACACAGCTCCGAGTCTCAGGATCACTGGCCCTAGGTTGACCGCCACCTCACTCTAATATCTTTATTTCTGAGACCAAATCATGCGTTCAACCGCGCTCTGCTTGACTTGCTCATCGTGTCTTCCACCAAAACCTGACGCAGACTTATTTATGACCAAATGCTGCGCTCGTCCCATCTGTCCAACTTGTATCAGCTCAAGCCCTCGCCTGAGGAGCTATAACCCCTGCTTGTCTTGTTTAGGCGGCGTGGGCGTGGTTAGCTCGGCTTTCCCGCGGAACATCCGCGCCGCGAATAATGACACGGTGCGGGACGAAGATATATTTATTCTGGGGGATGATGAAGATGATGAAGACGAAGCTCACGAGATTGCTTCGGTGTCCCCGATCTCCGAACCCGCTCCGCCTGCATATCCTTTAGCGCTTTCGTCATTATCCAGTCTAACCAGTGAATCAATACTCATCACGCAGACTAGTGATGTATCCGCAGGACATGCGGATGTTGCAATCACGGACGAGCAATACATCCCCTCTAGATATTACATTAATCCTAGGGACACACTGCAGGGGATTGCTCTCCGCTATGGAGCTAATGTAAGATACGCTGTGCGCATTTATGGCCATCACTAACCAATGTCATCATCGTGAAGGGTCGGGAATTATGCCGTTTGAATAACCTACCCCCAAGCACCCTTTCTACTACCCCTCATTTACTCCATACCCGCACTTTTATTGTCCTGCCATCCTCTACCAAGTCACTCTCCATTACGCGGGATGCGGATACGGACGCAGGAGCAAGGCGCGTCCGCGAGAAAGCCGAGAAGCGTTTGCAAATGCTGACGAAAGAGGTAGACTGGCGCGTGACGAAGGCATACGTGGCTCTGGCCGATGATCCTGACGAAGAAGCCGTGTATGGCGTCAAGTGCAAAGAAACTGGTGGCATTGGTGCCAGCACCTTGGAAGCCCGTGCGGCTGATCAGTACCTAGAAGATCAGGAATGGGAAGAGGAACAGAGAAGAGCTGGCAAACGCATCTCGTTAAAATCTCTGCCACTGCTTCGAGGCAAATTTATTGGATAGACATGAGATTCCGCCACTAACGCTCACGGCGATTTGCGCACGTTGCCAGTAATGTCATTCTCCTTACAGATCCATCCAGCCATTACGCGCAAAGTTATCTATCCCTTGTCGTCTACTCAAGGCGCTAGTAAAATTTCGTGGGTAAGGTGATTTATTCAAATTATACTTATCCATGTCGTACTTACATCATAATATATATTGAGACCTTCATTGCAGATTTCCAAGCGCCCTTCAGTAAGAAGACAGAACGCAAGTGGAACAGACATCACTGCTTATCCTGAAACCTTACCCTCGGTATAAATGAATTCGAGCACGCGCAACTTAACGTCAAAGAAACACGAGTCTCCCTTTTCAAAGTGCTGAGCTGAATAAATTGGGCTAGCAGTCATCGAGTTTGCAGAAGGTACTCAGCATTCTGGGGTCATGTTCGTGCCAATTCTGATAGTGCTATCTGGTTGGCATCCTGAACCCATCTCCCGACAGTGCCAGAAAAGCGGGGATAATCAAATTTCAACCATCTGGATAGGGGCTATCAGCTTAACACGCGTGGCACATTCGCATACTGTAATTCCTCACCTATCGAAAGTTTAGTGGATTGGATGATGCCATCGTGGCCACAGCTGGCTACAGGTGGGATACGCGAAACTAATAACAACTTCAGATTACAGTGTGGCGACCACCTCTGTGACCGTGACGGACTCGGTCCGACATTGATCGAGATCCATTCTGTTGCTGCTCTGGTCATTCATCACTAAAATGCCATCAGAAGTTACAGAAGCCTACCAGGAGCTGTCAAAATTTAAGACGTATTGGGGGGCATAAGCTCGTGTAGAGAAATTGAAAAAAAAAACGGAGTCTGCAGGACCCATAACATCCAAACGTGCTCGTATCGCTATGGACCAACCTCTCCAGACTGTACGGTACTACTTGGCTTTACCTTGACTAGGTAACCATGTTTTGATCCGCTTGTTGATCCGCCTTTGTAGTGCCTTCATCACCATGCTTTCTATACTTTGTATTCACGTACTTGTAGCCCACAAATTGTACTCACGACTACCGTAGATAGGTACCAGCGCTGTCGTCCGAGTCGTGCCCTCGCTTCAATCACTCGCGTATGACTCTATAATGTTCTTCGTGCTATTTTGCAAGTGATGCCGGAGTATCTGCTATATATGGTCTAATTGGCGTGACTGTAACGTTGTAACGGTGGTGGTTGTCTAGCCTGAGATCTACCGATATAGATCACAGTGACGGTGAGTCTGAAGCTTTAATTTTTTTGAAGGCTGGTATTATACATATGTGCATTCAAGACAGATTACGTCGGGTCATTCACTGCTGCAAGTAAGCCGATACTATAATCTCTTCCTGCCTCTTGTCCCCGTCTTTCCCTCCGGATTTTAGACGCCTGGTCAATTTGTTAGTCAAGAATTGTAGGTCATCATAATCATGATTAGGCTACAGCCCGGTGGTATAGCAGGTACCCCAGACTCCTTCACAGGAACTTCTAGGAACATACAAATTCATATCCAAAAGTTCTTTGTACCCATCTATCGTTCCGGAACCTTCGACTCCCTGCTCATCGTCTCTGCCGCACGTTGTGCTTCCACAAATGATATAGATAGGTCGCGGTCAACCTCAGAAGCTCGACAGTACATTCGATTTTGCGCCGCGGATACGAATAGCCTGAGCTATGCCTTTATGTAAAAGCTCCTTTCCTCTTTCGAATGTTCTTAAATTCATTTACTCCCTTGCGCACGTTTGGCACATTGACGCACGGAAACAGATTAATTTTAGTGTGCACATGTACCCACCAATTGTACGTACTTATTGATTAGCCTCAATAACGACCCTCTTGTTGATGGAATACACAGGTTCCACAGAAATTACTAACACAAGCTTTAGGGCAGTCACTTTTCACGCCCGGAACAATGATACAGCTCCATGATTGGCAGGTCTAACATCGTTTTCCTCATCTACAAAATGGTCAGTATGGATCCCGCTGATAGAAATTCCAGGACAGCTTGCTTTATCCAAATAGGTAGCCCCCAGTAATTTGCTTGAAATAGCCTTAAGTTCTATAAACCGATGAAAGGGACGGATTTGACTTAGAGATAAAAGAAGGCCGGCAGGTAAACGCATTGCATCTTTTACTTTCTCTCCCTCCATCACGTGTTCATGTCTCGCGACATCGAACCTCTCGTGAAACCAATAAACCCACCGTTTCCCTTGGATGACTCATTATATTGTCTAGACTCTGAGGAGATTGCCTTCTTCAGGAGACAGACTGGCATTCAAGATGAAGTGGCCCTGAAGACACATATAATTGATGTGCAAAAGGAGGCATACAAGGTGCTCTGCGGTTTATCCGAAGACTGACTGGATATACTTATCGCGAGTTGTAGGTAGCTCCCTATGCTTGCATTCGAGGATTTCATTTCTTGCAGTAAGTGGTAACCTGGACTCGCGAAGAAGTTAGTCACTCACCTTCGTGACGTCGTCGTAGCCCAAACATGTCTAAACTACATATTTACGACCACATTTTGAAGCGTGGTTCTGAAGGAGCAATATTACTCGATGTCGGTTCTTGTCGTAAGTAAACAACAATCTTGCATGTCCTTCCTAACTTATTTTCGCAGTTGGTGCCGATGTTAGGAAGGCAGTTGAAGATGGATTTCCGGCCCATAATATCATCACTTCTGACATTGAAGAAGGTTAGTTCCTTCAAAATATTTTCTCTCTGTCACTAACAAATCATCTTGAATGATAGCATTTTCCGAGTTAGGATGCAAACTCTTTAAATCGAGCTCGAAGTCAATTTTATTTATACCTGGCGACATATTTGACCCCGCATTTCTATCGATTTCGCGGCCAGCTAGCTCTGTCCCAGAGGGTGCGATGCCGGACATTCAAACACTGCGGTCATTAAACGACCTTCATGGTCGCGTCGGTGTCATCCACGCTTCCAAGCTATTTAACCTATTCGACGAGGAGAAGCAACTTGAACTTGCTCACGCCTTAGGAGGCTTGCTGTCCTGCGAATCTGGCTCCACAATCTGCGGCACTCACGTAGTTGCATCGGAGAAAGGCGTTGTTCGTCACACAGTGTTAGGCATTGATATCTCCTACTTTTGCCACTCCCGGGAAACTTGGACTAGTTTGTGGGACGGCGTCGTGTTTGAGAAAGGTCAGGTAAAGGTTGAGACGACAACATCAACCATTGACCTGGGCGGCATTCCTTTTCGTCTCTTACATTGGTCTGTTACGAGACCGTGACTGCGAGGGTAGATTTTGTCCATTCACAGAAGAGTATAGCCATTTACATAAGTACCGACTCGGATCGGCCCAGGTTACCTTCTACTTACTATTAAATAGTAGCTACCCAACAATTGCTGGAAACAACACACTCGCCCTTGTAGCAATGACACGCAGTACGAGCGCTCGCTTATTCTCAAGAACGGTTGATGTATCTCGGAGGAATTCGCCACTGACCCAGTAATGAATGAGTTTCTTCTCATAATGCGCAGGAGCCCTCAGACCCTTTCTGGCCGACATCGCGGGCCCCTTCAAGTTCGATGGCGTCCCTGCGAGTGGTGGTTGACATTACTCTTCTCCCTCTGTAGTCTAATGAGGTTGATCAAGTGACGCGCATCCATGCCCATCTCACGAGGTAGGCCATGAGGATGAGGCTCGTGCTTCCCACCAAAGTCTCCTCGACCTTGCGACTCAGGACGCTGTTTGGTGCAGGGAAACACTGAAGGGCGATATTTGGGGGATTATGAACGATCACCACCTCGCTAAAAGACGGCAGCTCCGCGTCCTTGTATACGCCTGTTATTCATGCCAATATTGTTTGATGGCCGACCTCAAACCCTTACTATCTCAGCGTGATATACCACCTGATGTGGAGGAACTTCCAGTATTCGAAGTGACAGTCGACACCAAGGTGAAAGGCCGAGATTGACACGGAGATGAAACACAACGGAGATTAAGCAGAACCATCAGGCCTTTGGACACGGATAGATGGATAGTTTATTTGTCAACAACGATGATACAAGATGTTCGAGCCTATCAATGTAATAAAAATATAATCGAGAAGGTCAAGGACCTCCGAGGCACAGCTAAGTTGCGCACATAGTCATGATTACAAGCGCGCATTCTTGGGCATCTGTCGAATTGCCTGTCTCACTCCGAGGTCACCGAGCACATCTTCCGCTATAATGATTCAGTTGAAATACCACCTTCGGCCATGACAACACTGTGGCACTAACCTCCGCCGAGAACCGCATCGAAGGGAATCGTGCGATGATACTATCGTGGGCATCATGATCAGCTGCACGATAAGACAAAGTGGAATTCTCACATGCTCAATATACTGACCCATACCGGTCTTCGTGATACCCCGTCCGCCGAATATCTGAACGGCATCGGTAGCCGTTTCTTGGGCACACCTCGTTGCATACATCTTGAGCAGACCGATCGGTCTACGGAAAATAACGTGTGAGCGAAACGCCACCATGGCTTATAGCTAAGACTACTATACCCCGCAAGCTTCTGTGCCTGTTCCTTGTAGGTCTGCAACACACGTCACCCGATGAGTCCTAAAACCTCAAGAGGATGGAATAAACCTACCATATTGCACATTTGCATAGTTAAATTTTCAAGCCAACTCTGAACACTTTCTGTACGTGAGACCATGGCCGCAATCTTCGATCTGATTACCGCCAGTGAAGACAAGGGTTTGCCAAATGCCTTGCGCTGATTGATCCATCTAGCAGGTGATATAGTTAGCTAATGTTTAAAAAGGAATCAATGAACACACTTGAGGCATTCCTCAACGATCAGTCGCTGACCTCTAGCGGAAGAAGCGCACATCACCCACCGCTCGTGATTGAAATTGCTGTACAGCTATATAAGTCTCTCAATTCATTTCGTTGAAAATGATACACACGAGAGAATGACGAAGATTCCTCCACCCTCGGGTCCGAGGGTATTTTCCATAGGGACTTTAACGTTTTCAAATGTGACATAGGCGGTACCAGCTGATGATGAATAGCTTGTTTTGATGGGTTTTGTCTCAACACCTTCCGAGCGTTCCACCAAGATGACGGTAAATCCCGTCTGTGAGGATGGCTACTCAATCATTCCATTTTGATAGCGTCAATCACGACTTACATCCGTTTTGCACCCCACAGTGAAGCTAGTCGCAAATGTAAGTTCAGGCAGCACGGCTTCAATTTTTGCACTTACTAGTCGGCAAAGCTGCGACCCAAGTCACGTCAGTAATATGAACATGAATATTCTACAACCACTTCACTCACGTCCCGTTAGTTATCCACTTCTTTGTGCCATTGATGATCCAATACTTCCCGTCTGAACTCTTCGTTGCACGAGTCTGCAGGCCGGAAACATCGCTTCCCGAAAACGCCTCAGATATCGCCAGGCAGATGAACTTCTTGCCAGAAAGCACTTCAGGAATGATCTTCGATTTGAGTTCTGGCGATCCAAAGTTCATGATTGGTGGTAACCCTATGACAGCTCCGCTTTGTAGACCTGTACATCTCCTAATCAGTATCCAAATAACCGGAATCTGAAATTGGAGATATGTTACCATCGCCATATCCACGCTGACCGCAGCGAGAAATTTCCTGTATGCAGACAAGCTAAACTTAAAGTTAGAATCTTGACAATAAAGTCGACTACCACTCTCACCTCGTGGAAGTAATCAAACTATGAGTGTTACAGGTGTCAAAATTGAATACACGTTCAACTGGAGCCCCTCACCTCCTCAGGAGACACGACACCACCCATAAGGGTGAGGCCTTTCAAGTGTTTGCCCGGGCCAATGCGCATGGCATGTACGTTTAGCTCTCTATGAACATTCACGTAAGAATGAAGCGCTTATGTATCAATGAAATGGACAAACGCCATAGCTTTGATTACATGGGCACTTGGCCGTTTGCCGTCTTCCTCATGCAGCTGAGGAATGTACATGAGAATTTACCTTTGCAGTAATTGGTAGAACTTACCAGTGCATCTGGAGTGATAACCTCATCCACAAACTCTCGCATCGCTGCTTGTAGGCGTCGATGGCTCTGTTTTGATGGTCATGAGCATTGAAATCCATATAGGTTTGCCGTGAATTTCACCTCCTTGAAGTAAGGGCTGTAGTACCCAGCACTGAGCCAGGTAGGCTCTGCATATGGCACATCACTGAGCTTCCCAAGATCTCGAGAATACATAACGCTCCTCTCTCCTTCAATGTAACCTATTTGTAAACGAGTATATTGTGGTCGCAAAAGAACTTCATGACGGTGGAGGCCGTAAAACGCCTCGGTGGCATCCTGACCAGCTGAGGGGTCCCTCATTCAGTTTTTCGGACACAGAACCAAGGAAACAAAATGTGCCTATATCTTCTTCTGCGAATACTGAGGCACCCCCTGGGTGCAAATCCTTGAAACGAGTGATATTGTACACCTTGCTATCAACAACAATCCACTTGACAGGTATCATGCTCAGCCATAAATATAAAGCAAAATGGAACTCTTACCAAGTCATCAGGCTTATTGTGCTGTGTAGTATCTAGGTCAGATAAGACTCCACGCACATAGCGCGTTCTAGAACGGACCTTTGCCACCTCTTCACGGGTAAACACCTTCAAGTCTTTTGATGCCATGTTATGGTTCAAGCTTAAGCTTCAAGCTCCAAGGACGTCTGTCTGTGTGCAGGTGTTGATGCTTGCACGCGGTTCGAGCTTCAATGAAATCACATGCTTGTGAGTTGTCTCGGATCCGGTGAGAACTGCCAGGGAAACTGCCGGTCAACGAAAGCATCACGAAAGAGCAAGTAAACGTTGAAAAAGGTTGGTGAAGTGACCACTGCCGCTGACGGTCATTCGATAGTTTTTAATTCATTAATGTGTTCAAAGTTCTAGCAAACCTCGCAATTCCATCATTTGAAATTTAATATACACAGGGTTCTCACACTCCACTCTCTTCCCTGACATTCGTCGGCATTTTCGAATCTCACTCATTCTACTCCACGACAACGTTAATTCCAGAAGACTTTCGCTAGTACTTAGGCTAATAGGCTCAACTAGACTTGCCTGATATGAGCCCGACTCGGACGGTTGTGTCAATGCAGATGTAGTGACTAACCGTATTCAGGCTCCAGACGTTGAGATACTGCGATGCAACTTGATTGATACGCTCGCGATGGATTGAAATCCTGGTCAGCGTTGGATGTTGAAACATTCACTGGCAGGTGAACTAGGCCGCACTGCAATACTCCTTGTGCGCCACCACTGCCATAGCGTGACGATCGCTGCAGTCATACCAGCGGCCCAAAGCGAAGGACCGATTCGGAAATGGCAGGAATTGATGTACTTGTCAAGCGCACGGATTATATTGCAACCAGTATGTTACTTACCAGAGCACAGGTATCAGCCATCTTAATCAAACTCGCAGGGTCAAATCTTGCATGAGTTCGGAGAGGGTCTTCGCTCCTGCCCTATGATCGATAGTACCCTTCATCAGGATGCAACCAGCCAGGGACACGTTCTACATGCAGTAGCCTTCAGGCTTCGAGCTTTAACTTCTTGCCGGTGACCGACCCACCAGCATTGCAGTAGGCTATCATGCAACGGTAATTTTTGCTGCATGCGCGATGTAGCTTGACCTAATACTTGAGTACATGGGTAGTCATGCATTAGTCAAATTAGCACACAGTTGAAGTCAACGAGTGTGACAGGGACCGCCCATTACCGTGTCTCCCGATTTCGACCCAAGGAGTATCCATGCTTCTTGATGATACATTCGTCGGCGTCACCAGAAGTCGGGACTACATCTCAACTATCCTTCTCTTCTGACGATTAGGTGCAAGACGAATTTCGCGACAGGCGTCAGTACTTCGGATCGAAGGAATCAAAGGCTACTGCCAAGCATTGAAATTTTCGTTCATAATAGTGCGTGAGTTCTATTCTCCTCGAGGATGTAATAAGACTGAAAGGGGTAGCGGGGATTCCCCTTGTATTTGTGATTCCAGTAGTTGTTATTACGACCGGCGCCTCTAGAGCTAGCCTAGAGCTGTCTGAAGACAGATCTGGGAGTCTAACAACTCTGCACAAATGACTAAGGCGTAGTGTGGTGTCATGGACGTCATCGTCCTTGTGTCCTCAAAGAATCTCGAACCTCGGGCACTGGCTACCCGGTAGCCGAAGCATTGCAAAATTTGCTTATCACGGGTGGAAGCTTTGCTGCTCGACAACGACAATGTGTTTGTATGAATTATGTTCATGACCATCACTTCTTAATT